AAACAAAAAAATTGTCAAGGTGCAGGCGAGCTGGTGTGTGTTGATCATGATGCAAAATCCCGAGGCTGGGAATGAAATTCGCAAGAAATAGTGTAAGAAAAAAGAAAAAAGGGGACAGGACAACGTCTCAAATTCAGCTGAGTTGAGTTTGAGACGTTGTCCTGTCCCCTTTTTTCTGTCTTCTTACACTTTTTCTTTCAAATTTCATTCCCAGTCTCAGGATTTTGCATCATGTACAACTAAACTTACTATATGCCAGCGTCACTCGGGCGGTGTTCGATCGGTTTACTACCAGCGTGAGAGGGGGGAGGGGGGCAGTTTGCCATATCACTTCAAGGTTTTTCTGAACCTCAACCACCTGCCTGCCCCTGGCTGTTTCGAACTGGATGAATATCGTTAAACAGTGCGTTCGTAGGATCACTACTTTGTAATGCGCGTTAATGACCACCCCGGGCTGGCGGTCACAATTACTGATCTATTGTTACACGTCACTGCACTGGCAAATATTCCAGCACATCCGGGACACTCGTCGTCTCATTTAATTGCCTGACCAACTTCGCGCAGTCTAAATATCACACCCGAACTTTTCTAAACCTGATTTCGTGAAAACCAGTGAGGCGTGAAAACGTTATTTGAAACTGCAACTGTGGCAGAACATGAAAACCGGACTTCGAACTTTGCACACTTGGACTTCAAAAAAATTAAAAACCTTCAAAGTTTTTTTTTTTTTTTTTTTTTGAGTTTACCTTTTAAAGGGAATCGAAACCTTCAAACTTTTCGAACTTTATGTAGAAAGAATTTCGAAATCTTCGATTTTATCGAACGTTATGTGTAAGAATTCAAAACGTTAAAATTTTTCGAATTTTAGATCCAAATCAATTCAAAACATTCGAATCTCTCGAATTTCAAAATAGAAAAGTTCGAAATCTTCGAATTTATCGAACCTCAAGTAAACAAATATTCGAAATAATCGAACCCCAACTTTTAGAGACCGTGAAAGCTTCGAACTTTTCGAATTCGAAACCCCCCGATTTTGGAAAGTTGCGAATTTCTCGAATTCGAACCTTCCTACGGTCGAAAATATCGAAACTTTTCAAAATCGAACATCAGTTCGGTTTGAAAATTTCAAAACCTTTCCAATTCGAACCTAGGGTGGTTCGCGGCATCCCTACTATTTACAGTCAACTAATTTACTTCTCCCTGTGGGCTCGAGCTGCCTTAGAACAAAATATAACTTATTTTGTATACAATAATACTATTACCTTAATACAGTTAAGATTCTAGTATAAATGCGGTGAAGGCGATAAAATAACATTAGTATAAATTAACACATACCGTAAAATATTGGGCAAGCGCCCACTCAGAATTTAGAGATAATCGCGCAAAAAATGGGGGATGGGCGATTGTTCGGTTATCAGTTTTACATATAAATGTACTGTGCATATTTTTTCATATTTTAGAAATTTGGATATGGGTGCTTAATGTGGAATGGGCGAATGCGCGGTATTCTATGGTAAGCGCAAACAATGCACTTCGTATATTCACACAAACTTGTTATTCACCTTCCAGTAAAAACTAGAATATTACCACACATATTTACAAATGTCAACGCAACCGTACACGGATAACGACGTACAAGACGCCATTCTATCACGAAAAACAAAAACAAAAAAAAACAACTCGACTGCAGCACTTTACTTGCGTCCCACATGACCAAGAAAGCCAGTAAATAAGTTGTTTCTCACCTGTCAATCGTATCCATACGTCCCACAATATCTGGCACGAAAAACATTTGAACGCAAACTTTCTCTCTGTCGAAAGAGAGGTCTATCGATAATTGACTAGAGTCATTGTTGGCTAGTGGCCACACATGTCACTCAAACCGTAGCAGGTCTTGTTCCGCGAATCCACGTAAATTCCATAGTATCAAGCGAACACAAAAAAACTGCCTGAATCTGCGGTGATGACCAAGAAACGACGGGAAGGATCAAAGGAACCACACACTCACACGAGAGCAGCGGCAGCAGTGTGGGGGGCTTAACGTCGTCGACCCATCTCTTGCTCGCGTGCGCTCCCTGCGGCGATGACTGGATTCTTTTCGGTTCCCTTCCCTTCTGAAACTCTCAGCGTTCCTTTTTAGAAAGTTGGCAGCTCACGCACAACATCAATTTACCAGAATTGGAGCCCGTACGAGGGAAGAAAACGTCGCTGCAGACCAGTTCATTCGAAAAGTGTGGAGATCTGCGGGATTGCATATAGTCCCGCGGTTACGGGGATAATCATAAGTATAAAATTGGTACTTTCAACCTTTGTAGCGCGTTGTATATTACATTTATATTATATATATAATAAATTGTACAAGACTGCACTTTTAAAGCATGTATTAATGCCGGATAAACGCTCATTAACACCACCGCGCCACTCAACAAGAAACGTTTTCACGTCGATGCCAGAAATTTTCTCACAGAGTTGTGCCATGTACTTCCTTCTCCGACATTGTGACGTAATTACTCGGAGCGCTACAGCCTTCTCTTCTAGGAGGTGTTGGCTCCTTCCTCCTCACCACGAGTCTCTTCCTCTTTCATTTCGACGCCGCGCCTCCTGGGCTGCCCTTTTGCCGAGCGCCGCGACAGGCGACTTCTAGCAAACACTTGCTAGATCTGTGTTTTCTAAGCGATTTCGACTCGCAGCTTTCATGTTTTTGTAAGATATGAGTGGCTGGTGTCTCTGACGTCTGGCACGCAAGTTTTGTCAAGGCTTTGGCTATGTGTCTGCTCGGATCACTCGATTCGAGATCAGATGCAATCTTTTGCTTCATAAACATCTGTACAATAAAATTGAACTATGAGACAGATTGTCCTAATCTTATTTCCTCTTCAGCAGACAGGTGAGCCAAGGCAATAGGCGTGCACATGTTTTGTTATGGAATGCGAGGTCGTGATCTTGCGCTGTGAACGGAGCAAGGCACACCATAGTTTCCGTGTTGCCAACTTGCTAGTTTTCATATCAGTTGACAGCAAATATCATCACTGCTTGTGCCTTTTTGTTTCTGACTTTACACTTTGAAGCGACAAGAGAGGAAAAACGTGAATGAGCGTTTTGCAAACGCATGCAAGATAATTTAGTAACGCCACATCATAGCGGCAGTTCGACATTGTTTTAAAAGCAAAACAGAAAACGTATGCTTTACCAGCAAAAAAAAGCTTCGACGGGTGGCCGGCAACATGGTATGTACTAGTGATGGACTGAACTTCAGATTCGGCGAAGTTCGGCAAATTCCAAACTTTTGAAGGAAAGTTCGGCAAAGATCCGGCAAAAATTCGGCAAATGTCTGCGCACGCGCGAGAACGCGATGGGGCCGTGGATTGCAAATGGATGCCGTGCAGTCGTGCAATTACTATCGTGCAGTGCACGGTAGTGCAGTGTAGTACAACCAGTGGTTACGGCGAGGTGTAGAGTGAGTAGGCAACACGGTAACTGCGTTTGTGAGTGAGTGTGGTTCTCTTCAATATTTTCTGCCTCAAGAATAGAAGATCGACCAGTAATTTACGCAGTCCACTGCGCAAGTAACAAATGATGCGGTACATTCTGGATGACTATATTTTCATTGACATTTCCAGTGATGCAACGAGGTAGTTGAAACATTGGCCGACAATTACTTTAAAGCACTCTTCGCAAATATAACGACTCTGTTTTTGGCTCAGAAGTAGTGTGTGCTAAAACCAAATAATATTGCTTTTTCAATTAGTGTTATTTCGCGATTTTCCTGTATCTCCATAAAACTAAACACAACCATAATGCTCGTACGTTGCACATTGGACGTTGCTAACTTTTCCTATCTTCCTAAGCGTTTGTGTGTCATGTTAAAGGTTAGAAATGAGACGTTGCTAATATGGGACGTACACGTTCATGCAAAGCTGACGTCAAGTGACTCAAATCGAAAGACATGCATATTTGCAATAATATTATCTCTTCTGGTGAAGGCTCGGCAACCGTTGCATTTGTTTTCGCACACAGAAAGGTGAGTCTCAGAGAAAGCAAGAACGCAGAATTATTGCCCTCATTTTAACAATGTACACACACACACAAGCATTTTTGCGCTAATAAGGCCTCAAAACCGAAACTCTCATGGCATGATTCGGGACTGTGCCACACTCGCTTCTGCCCACCCCAACCATGCCACTTCTGCAAGAAGTCACTAAAATTGTTAGTAAACACACAACAACGACACCGATACAATTATCTTGTAGCATATCACCTTATTAAGTAATAACTGTGCCAATATGCATTACATGTTGCATTTAAGTTAAGAGAAAGACACTGTAAGACCTTTTTTCATTAAAAAAACTAAATTTCAACATTAAGTTTGTTAACATTGTATTTTGGCCGAATCTTTGCCAAATCTCTGGAAAAGTTCGGCAGAAGTTCGGCTTTGCCGAATCCAAAGAATTGGCGCCGAATTTTTAATTCGGCAAAAGTTCGGCCCATCGCTAGTATGTACATATATGCACGCCGCCGGAGAATGCGAGGCCGCAACATGGGAGGGCACGAACGATGGATGGAAGTGGCGAACCAAAACCGGACGGACGCAAGGCCAATCAGTGGTAGTGACAAGGGAAACTTCGAAGATGAGGAAGACTTTTCTAGAGGGTGGGAGTGTGTTGGAGGATCAATCGACGGCGCTACTTTCAGTATAGAGGGGCTTTAGTTTTACCAAACATGCATGGTTCAAATGAAAAAAAAAATATATATATACTTTGTTTCTCTACCAACCAAATATTGTAAGAGTTACTTCTTGGAGCATATGAACTACATGCAAAACTTGCTTTTGTCTTGAGGGGACAGTGAGCATTCTCAGCTTGCACCCTGTTGCTTATAGCTTTTTTATTGTTTCCGTTCTTGAAGTTGCCGTGGGAGTGGGACTAGGGCGGTCTGCGCAAAAGCTCATGATTTCTGCGGGGCAGTCTTGGTGAGAGGATTTGCTGTGTTCCGTCCTGCAGGTGACGGGCGAGGGGATGGGCCCGGTGAACCTGCGGCACAAGAAGCAGCGGATGAATGGCGCGGTGCAGCTGGGGGTCTCATGGGGGGGCGCCACCTCCGCGGCGGCGGCGGCGTCCGGGGCGGACTCGGAGGAGCGGGAGCGCCCCATGTCCTGGGAGGGGGAACTCTCGGAGGACGAGGAGGACGAGGATGGAGGAGGAGAGGACGCAGGGGGGCGTGGGGCAACCCACCTGGGCGGAGGGGTGGTCCTCATCCGGCCGGGGAACAGCCCCATGCTGGTGGAGAGGGACGATGGTGCAAACTCCCCCATCAGCCTCACCACCACGCCCTGCGGGAACTCCAAGGTGGGGACGGATTTTTCGATCAAGGATTTGCGAGCGTCCGTCTTCTGCCTTTCTAAGTTTTCATGTTTTTGTGGATTCACAGACTTTATAATGTCACATGCATACGAGCTGACTAGCTTCCAAACCAAGTAATTTGGCTAACTAGCTTACAGTGTTATATTTGTGTTTACTGTTCTACTTTTTGTTTTACTGCCACCCTCTCGTATCATGTAATGCCCCACAGGCCCTCGAGGAAAAGAAATGATGATGATGATGGTGTGTGGCGAAGTTAGCAACGCACGCGACTGTTACGTGGACAATCAGGGTTCAAACCCTGGTCCTCCTGGCTCTTCCTTTTCTTAATCTTTGAGCTTCTGGAAAGTCCCGGCCTATTCTCAGCTGGCCGTGGTGTGTTCTGGTTCGGAACATTCTTGAATGTTCCGAACTAGTACCAGCGCGTGTATAAAGAAGTGGTTGTGCGCCGCCTTTCCATTGCCGACGCAAGATGCACGGTACTCTCTCTAGTTTGTGGGGCTTTATTAGCCTTATTAAACATTTATTTTTAGTTTTATGCTCGTTTACCATTTTTCATCCTTGACCATATTCCCATTGCGGGTTAAGTGGAGCAGTACCAGCTGCTCCCGCAAAGCCTCCCGCTCTTTCCACTTTAGGGAGCAAACACTGGAGAGGATACAAGTGAAATCTCCCTCTCTCTCACTGCATCGCTTGCTCGCTAAAGGGGAAAGAGTAGAGGGCCTCATAGGAGGAGCTTTTCCCGCTTTTCTTAACCTGCAACAGGATATAGTTGAATACAATTAAAGAACAGGTCAAATGGACACTGGTGCGTGCAAATTGCAATGTCAAACTGCTCCACGGAACATCCAGAAAAAGCAGTATGCTCCGCAAGTTCCGTGTCACGACAGGCTGTGCATCTTTGATCAATGCGCTGTAGCCTCGGTAGTGGTCTATTTGTGCATCGTGGAGAAGAATGACTGGCGGTAGTGAGGGTCTGGAAGGAGCTTCCGGTACATTCTTAACTTGTATCCGACTACAAATATCTGGCTTTTCGTATTCTCGTCGCGGCGCCCTTTACCGTTTTTTCGAGTTAAAATGTTTTTTTCTTTCTCTGTTGCATTTGCGACGTAGGACAACAATACGGGAGACAAGTGCGTCTCCCGGGTAAACGTATCGGACAGCAAGGCGTCCAATCACGTGATCACGTACGTCGCGCCGGTGTCTCCGGCTCCGTCGACCCCCTTCGGAGGCGTGACGCCGTCGGTGCCGGCCTTTCAAGATCGACAGCATGCTCACAACAGTTGTTTCGGTGAGGCTCCTGACGCTTTGCGCCTCTTCTTACTCTGTTTTCCTCTAGATGTTGCCTCAGAAGCGAAATTCCCTACCGGAGAAGTGCCCACGAAACTGGGTTAATCTAGATGTGGGCGCTTGTCAGGTGAAGTCAGGCTCTTAACGTATAATTTGAAGAATTCCCAAGTTTGGGAAATGTTAATAGTGGGTGCTTGAACGAAGTGGTTGCTTTTGCGCTATTTCGCGGTATTTATTTATTTTTAAATTTTCTTTTTTTTTTTTGCGTATGAGTTGTGTCAAACTAACGAAACAAATTTGGAGAGGTGGGGAGGGGATTCGAAAAGGAGCTGTTTTATGCGCCGTTTTGTGATCTTCTGGTTGTGAGCTTTATTTATAATTTGTATATTTGTAGTTATTTGAGGTGAGGAAATGAAATTAATGATGAGACATTTTTCTGCAGCGAGTTGTAGTGACGCATGAGAGAAAACATCTTGGCTTCTCGTTGTTTCGACGGAAAAAGTAATTAGGTGGTGGGTCACTGCTTTCCAACATTTAAAATCCGGCCAGAAAAAATGGCTATTTCATTGTCCGCATGTCCGTGTAACCTCAATGAAAAATTTGCAAGTGGGCAAATCCTTCACTCGTGAGCCAGTTCTTTGCGAGTGTTCCTTAACGGGGATGAGGAGATGCCAAGCTGGACCGTCCGATTAGGACGGGTGAATGGCATATGGCCGAACCCTTTAAATTGGATGGTGGCTTACGCCACTTAGCCGGTGTTTATGTATTTGTCGTCGCTGACTGGGGCGCTTTCTGTCTCCTCAGGGGAGGTTTCGACGAGCTCTCGGCCCTCGGCGATGCTGGGGGGTGCGTTCCAGCCTCCCTCATCGGCGTTTGGGGAGAGCCCCATCCTGACACCCCGCCCGACGAGCTCCTCGAGCTCCCGGTCTTCGTACTCTCCTCCGAGCCAAAGCCCCCTCCTGGGCAGGGGAGGGGCACCCCAGGGGCCCTACCCCCACGCCAGCCACCAGAGCCCCCTGCCCCCGAGGCATGGGGCCGCCAGCTCGGACGGCTCCGTCTACTCCCCTTCCAGCAGCCCCCTGCAGGTGAGTGACTCTCTGGCACTTTGGAGACTCCGAGGGACGGCTCACCAGAGAGAACCTTTCTTTTAGGTCGACGGTGCAGTAGGCTCGCAATAATTGAAACTTTGTTATTTCATACTACTGGTCAGTTCAGACGAAGTTGGAAATTTTGGTTTTCCTGCGTTTTTAATGTATTCATAAGCTGCTTAATTCGAACAGAGTTTTCGTGTAACTAATACTTATTGTTTTCGCGACCTCTTTGAGTGCGCTTCTTTCTGAGCACGGGTGCAATGCAGAGAAGCAACACCTGTGCTGCTGCTTCCCAGTGCACCGATGCTCGGTAAAAAGCACGCTCAGTGGGGCTAATAGTCCCCAATAGAAAACTTTTCTTGCATGAAGAGACTTAGTTTTGTTTTGAGGTGTCATGTGCTGTCTAAACAGTGTACGATAGACAACATTTAAGCTTGCCTTGTACATTTTACCAATGTTTCTAGTGTGGCATATGTCTGCTTATAATTAGCAGGCGTGTGTAGAGGGAATCGTCACATATCTGCTTCGTATGCGTGGCCATCCATATATCAAATTATAATTTTATCTTGCGTCATATTTAGATAAATTTCTGATAATTTGAACTTCCCGATAAATCAAACAAAGTTTGTGGCTTCCTGAATTTTGAATTAATGAGAGTTTTCTGTACTATAGTCACTGACAAGGTGAGAGCGGCAGGGGAGGAGCTTCAGTTGTTCCACCTCCAGCGTGGGCTTTCTACCTTTGACAATGCGTCGGCGTATCGTGCACATAGAGTGCGCGCACGCAGCCAAAGCACAGCCGAAGGCATAGAGCACGTGCCGGAGGCTAGGCTTTCGAGAGAGACGTCGTGTTGTTCTCACTCTGTCGGTGACTATGCGGAGCGCAAGTTTGTCTGCGTCTTGCACGAGGGGTGCGACGATGTCAGAACGCCGAGCTCTTATTGGCTGATTCCAAAAAATAGTGGGTCTACCCACTATCACTTCAGTCAGAACCAATTGGAGCTCGGCATCGTTCTGACGTCACCGCAACTCCTGCGCAATAAGCAGACAACTTGCTCTCCGTATACAGTATAGACCACTTACAACGTAACCGCTTATAGTGCAGGACCGGGTATAGCGCGGTTTTTTTAAACCACCGGTTCGTCTCCCATAGAACTCTATGTAATTACATACCGCTTAAAATGCAGGCGCGCGAAGGGAAACACCGGTTATAGTGCGGTTTCTGGCACAGCCCGCCGGCCGCGCCGACGACCGGAGCAGCGAGCGCGCTTCCCTGTGCGACACTAGATAACGGCGCTGACGGCGCGAGCAGCAAGCGGCACTCGCGTGGCAGTTGCTCCACAGCCGAGTTGCTCGAAGAAGCGAAAGGCTTCAGTTGCCATAGCGACGGAGGGACGCACGCACGTGTCGTTCACGTGCGTGCATCCCTCCGCTGCGTTGGAAACAAACAACCGCAGCGACAGACCAATCGCAGGTCGAGGAGAAGTGTTGCGCGCGTTACATGCCGGTCGCGGGCCGGCTGCTTCTATCCGCAAGCACGGCGTTGGTTGTGATCGTCGTCGTAGACGGCGTTCATCTCATCGTTCCGCGTAAAAGCGCTATCCTTGACTGTGAATTTTCGTTGTGTGTCGCTATGATAACCCAGCACGTGCTAGAAGGGAAGATCCACCTACTCGTGCGGCGATGTCGTGGCGGCGCGCGGCGCTCTCAAGACGGCAGAAACGCCTGTGTCGTCGTGTTTGTTTACTTCGACTACAGTGGTGATTTCTAAGCATTTGTGTCCTCGAACATCGCCCGGATTTCTTATTTGGCGCATTTCATGCGTGCGCTCAAGTTCAAGGTATTACTGGCGCGTACCGTGTGAAGGATGCGAATTTTCACGCGTTTTCACCTCCGGAGAAAAGTGATTAGGGTTAGCAATCCTGAACGCTCTCAACGTCCGTCCGCAACCCGCGACGCCGTTAAAAGGCTGCGCCAGGCAAAAGCTGCTCATTTCTTTCAAAATGTGTAACACACTTGAGACAGAACTGTACTAGTCAGGTGAAATAAAGACTTTCCTCAAACTAAGCTTTATTTTTCATCTAACATAAAATAAATTCTTTTCACAAGTGTAAGTTGTCTCATGGCATGTATTTTGGCCTGAAAAATTGATGTTTTGGTTATAGTGCGGTACCGCTTACAGTGCGGATTTTCGCGACTCCCGCGACATACGTTATATGCGGTCTACACTGTAGTAGATTTATCTCTGCTGTGGACAAGTAGCCAAAGAAAGAAATACATTCTGCAACTCTAATGTTTTACTGGAGTTATCATACTTGTACCAGAGCAATGCCAGCATGTTGTGTGTGCTCCTTGCAAAGGAAAAAAAAAAAAAGAAAGTCAAATTAGACAAGCGTTTAGACAGCATCAGGTTGGTTTGCTTTCAAGATATGGTGACACCTGTCCACGTTCTAGATGAGAAATTTAGCCACCGCAGTATGTCTACTAACCTGAAGTCTTCAAGACAAACTACACGGTAGTGATTGCACAAACGCCTGCTAATGCAAAGCTCAAATCAAAGTGAAATGGGGGTGAAGACAGGAGCAAAATGTGACAAATCGTAAGTGCCGGCATTGCTGGTCCCAAAAGAAAGCGAAGGAAAGACGGCGAGAGAAAAAAGAAAGCAGACAATAGGTTTAGGCATGCTCATTTTGCCACGACGGGGATAAGTTGTTCAAGTATTCATCACCTTTATTTATATTTATATGTCACGCAACGCCGGTATTTTTATGATAAAGCTAGAAAACTGAAGATACAAGACTTTCCACGTGATGTTCTCCCGCTTAAAATTTTTGTATATGAAAGCGTCGACTGCAATATGGTCTCATCGGGACCGCCGATATGTGCATCTATACCCCCCCATTCCGAAGAGACCAAAATGCATGGGACCTTTCCCTCTAGATCATTGCATTAGCTCCCCGTATCAAAATGGGTGGGGGTGGCAATGGAACTTGTAATTCCGAGATTCCGGAGCGCGAGCTTTCACGTCCCGTGCTGCGGCGCGTTAACGCGTGTCCTTGGCCGGTCCTTGCAGGGGAGGCACGTGGCCGTGGCGGAGGGTGGAGTGTACTCTCCCTCCCAGAGCCCTAGCCAGGGCAGGCACCGGCTGGGGGACGGCCTCTCTCCGACGGCCGCGCACCTCCGCAACCTGTCGGTGTCCCGCAATGCCTACCCTCCAGGCGGCGACGTACCCGTAGCGCCCTACCCGTACCTCGTGGTCCAGCCCACACCAGACACCCGGTCTACGGGTGAGTGGACGGGAGCATTCGGTGCTCGTAAATGAAGCTTTATATTTTCTATAACCTTGTAGTGTATTCCCCTTCACCACTCTCCCCTTATGTAAGGTCTCTCTTAAAGGACCTCTAAAGAGACCGTACAACAATGTTGGGTAGGAATGTTTCTCGCTTTACACAAGCTTACTGGCACTAGTGGGAAACAAGTAAGCTCGCACGCGACGCCACTGACTAAGATGTTTTGTGGCCGCCGCATATTTTTAAGGATAAAATCTGACGTTTTCTTTCGGTCTCTCCTTCGCAAAACTTGACACCGAAGCTGCGGGGATCGCATTCTTGGCGTTATCAAAAATGCGATCCCCGGGATTGTGTCATCAAACTTTGCGATCCCTGCGGTGAAAATATTTTAATGCAGCTCATGTAAAGCTCGTGACAATCGGTGCTTCGACGTGCATTCGGGTAATGGCTTGTGCCCAATTGCTGCAATGGTGGGAATAGCTGAACCTTAACGATGTGTGGAACTCGGCACATGCCCCGATAAACAATGGCGGCACATAATCGGCTCCAGACCATGTGGCAGCTTGTCCCGGCTGCGAGCTGATAAAGTGGCGCTGCTCATTTTTCTTGAATTTTCTTTTCTGGGACTGCCATTGCTTGGAGAAAGAAACCAACAAGTGTTTTGTAAGTTATGAATACCAAGCAATAATTCTAAGCGGTATTTACTGAAAGTACGAAAATTGTTGCATTGCATCTTTAAAGGCACACTGACACCCCCCAAAAATGTTTTTTTAATCTTTTTCCAGGCGATTTATTGTAAGACTACCAAATCAATATTTTGCTACAGTGTCACATATATTTTAATAAAGTCTAAAAACGCAATTGCTTGAAACCGAAACTGGACTGGGGAGGAAGAAGAAATATAGAGGAAGAGAAAGTTACCAAAAAACACAAACGTAAGTGCAGATTTTTTTTAATGCAAAAGCATTAACTGTCTTGTGGAGCAAGCTGACGTCATCAGTCTGAAGCGCGAAAATGGCAGATAGTTTCCTTCGGTTCCATTGGCTGGCGCGCGTCGTCGGTGCTCCCATTGGCCGCTGCGCTCGTCAGTTTCCACGACCGCTCACCCCATGGCGTTGCGTGTCCATCAGCGCAGAGCCTCTAAGGTCACCAGGGAAGCACATGCGCCGACCGGCGACGAAAAGTACGCAGCAGACAAAAAAGGGAGCGGACGATTGTCTTGCATGCTTTCGTATTCACAACTCCTAAGGAATGCTTAGGTGTACCTCAAATCTTTTTTATAGCGTAAGCTACACTGGCCAAGGTTAAGCAGTTTCGCGTGGCTCCTGGAGAGCCGTGCTGCACTTGTGCGAGGAGCAGTGACGGAACGGGCAGGATTGGTATGGCGCCTAGGTCAGTCCCCGATGCACGCGCCGTGCACATGCATCCGCTCGAGATCATGGCTCGCGCTGTCCGGTTGTTCTGGGCGGCAGCTTGGTTGCTTGATACATAACAACACGGTGCACAGCTGGCCAAACCAACGACAAGCATCTGGCACGCCCCAGCGGAGGATTGAGGATTAATTTGGACCACCTGGGGAGCTTTTGACGTGCAACCGAAAGCTCGGTTACACGGCACCTTCTCCGCAATAAGAAGAGCGGAGAAGCTTAACTCATCGGATACCGAAGTAGTCACATAATGCGTATACTGTGTGTGTGTCATTGAAGCAGCAGTAAGCATGATAACCAAGTTAATCCTAGACAACCAGGAAAGCTAAGAATAACCAGCTGAACCTAAGCTTACGCTCATAGATCCTGGCATAGACGAGCTAAGCCACTGTTTTTTTTTTTTGTTTTTTTGTTTTGTTTTGCTTTCAGTCAATGTGTTTGCAGTTTTTTAGAAGCCACAAAAAATGGATGTCTTATTTTTTGTCTTTTTTTTTAGTATTGAGTGTGTGTTTTCGATCACCCACGACTTTGATTATCTTTGGTGGTTGTGGGTTAATTCTCAGTTGGCGGTTTTTGGGCAGAAAGAAGCCAAATTTCGAGCCGCAAATTGTGTTCTGGGTAGTTGGGCTCCCATATGTCATGCACAAATAAGAACTTTGGCGAGCGTAAATACCCTGTCAGTGTTCCTTTAAGGGTACAATAAACAAATTAATTAATGAATTTAGAACTGGGAGTTGAGCCAAGTTAGCTATGATGAAATAAGAAAAACTTTTCAAAAGCTAGAACAAAGATTGGGAAAGGTTGCGACCAATCACTACAGTAATCGCTTCATTTGATGCATCATTTCTTGGTCTGCGTCTTCGTTCTCGCTCCGTGTTATTGTCGTTTGTAAATGCCACCACCCAGGGCCACGTCTATGTAAACCCTGTGTAGTTCACATGCAGGAGATGAAGCGCTCTCCAGGAGGAATGCATTTGTCATGATTGCTCTTATATGACCACATGCTTTTTTAAAAATTTTTAACGTATGAATGCACCTGGTGGTTCCACGTGTGTTTGCTGACACGGTGTTGCTTGGTCGCTGGAGTGGCCTTCACACTTTTCCGAGGTCGAGGACAGGGTCATCCTGTCACGCAACCCTGTGCTAAGAAAACGTAGATGCAGTCTCCCCAAACTTAATTCTGCACTTCGCATTGTTAGGCTTGCAGAGCATTTCCTGTTCGCATTTTCACAGCCACGTGAGGCAAGCATAGAAGTGCAGTCAGTCGTTCAGTTTTTACTATGGGACATGTCGAGTATTCCTAACTTTTTTATCTGTTTGTGTTGCACATTCCTTTCTTGGCTAGTGCAATGGCGCAAATTATTAGAGAGATCTCTAACATGCTGTGGTGTATCTCCTGCAACCTAATTTCCCTTTCGTGGTATTGGGTGCTCTCCAGTTAGGACGGAAGCATACTACATCGTTTTGAACTGTCAATGGAAGCAGATTACCATAAGATACCTACACTCCTGCCCACAATAACTCCGAACGGCTGACGCGGTTTCTTTGCAAGTGAAATGACGTGTCCTTTGCGGTACTCCATTCTTCTCTGCAGCGTCGAGCGCGTCGGTGGCGTCGAGCGCGTCAGATGAGTCCAACGCCTCGGACCTGTCGAGCCCCACGCGACGGCCCTCGGTGGCGGAAGGCCTGGCGGACCCCCTTGGGGAGGCAGGGGGCGGGGCGGCGGGGGTGTCGCGGCAGCAACTGCTGAGCGGGCCCTGCCCCGTGTGCGGGGACCGCATTTCGGGCTTCCACTATGGCATCTTCTCGTGCGAGAGCTGCAAGGGCTTCTTCAAGCGCACGGTCCAGAACAAGAAGCACTACGTCTGCCTGAGGGGCGCCAACTGCCCTGTGGCCATTGCCACGCGCAAGAAGTGCCCCGCCTGCCGCTTCGACAAGTGCCTGCGCACGGGCATGAAGCTCGAAGGTGAGTCCGACGTCCGCGTGGTAACGAAGGTTCACGCATTTGCATTTTAGTGCGTTTGTGTGCGTTTCGTTCTATTTCAACCACTTAAAGGAGCTATGCAACGATTCTAACGTTGAAAGAATTTCCATCTTCTACTTTTGACACTGTTTATCTTGTCAGAAAGGACAGAAAACACTTCTCCTTCATTTGAAATGTTGCAATTCCGACGCTTAATCGCGAGGCAAAAATAAAGATATTTCCCGATCTGCAGCCGCGAGCTTGTACGTCATGGCCCCATACGTTCTTCCGCCGCCGCGAAGTGTTGCTAAGAAGCCCGGAAAGTACTCAACCGTAATGCTAGAAAAGAAGGCAGCAATTCTCAAGCTAATAGAAAGTGGCCAATCGCAAGCGGAGGCATAACCTGAAGCAAGGTACTAGTGACTGCTTTTTTTAGCTTGCTTAGACTTAATTAAAGCAAGTCTTTTACCTGTTGATTTTCTTAACTGTTCTATTATTCGGACATTTTTTCGGTTCCTGCAAAGTCTGAAAAATCGGTCGGTAACTGTACGTTGTCGAGGCTACCGTAGTTTCCGCAGTGCTGTAGCTTCGCACGGCTCTGAGAGCAGGTGACTTTGTCTTACATCTTATTTGCCTACCGTAAAATACCATGGATGCGCCCACTATTGTCGTTTCCCAAACTTAGGAATTTTCCAAATTATATGTTAATTTTAAGTGCATGATTGGGCACGGTTCAATTTAACCAGCATCTGTTGATTAAACCAGCTTTCAGTGAAACTGTGGTGGGCGCTCCCCCATTATTTTACGGTAGCTTTAATGATGAAGTATAGTTTATGGTAGTTTGTAGTCGGAACGGCTGTTTACGCGCTTGTATGTATCACAAAAATTCGTGCTCGTCTGGGTGACCATGTTTTTCGCAACATTCCGACGAAACGGTTAGGACTCGTGGCTGCAGCAAGCTGAGGTATTCCGCGTGACTTGCCTCTCTTGCACCAAGATGAGGGATGTCGGTGCCACTGACGTTACGTTGCCATTCAACGGTCAATGGTTTGTTTGGAAGCAAGAAAAAGACAAAAACAATGGCATGAACGTAATTCAGACACCGATGCTAGGCAAAACTGGTTCTCCCAGTTTTACGTGGAATGTCATGACTTCCCAGTGAGGAAGGTTGTCTCTTTGTTCCTCCGAGCAGCCATCCGAGAAGACCGAACGCGAGGCGGCCGCAGCACCTACCAGTGCTCCTACTCCCTGCCGGCCCAGCTACTGGACTCCAGGGCTGCCTCCGACTCCAGCGAATCGGCCCAGGAACCCATCCCTCTTCTCCAGAAAGGTGTGGCCACCCCGTTCGTTTTGAACCGAGCAATAATTGATGAATATTAGAATTGCCCCAGCATTCTAGCACACACTCGAGGTATTGTATGTACAGTGCTCAACGAAACGAAATGGGCCAGCGGAACGCGTGGCCTCCAGAACTTGCTGCGCCATCTACCAATAAAAGACGGGCTGCCTGGTGACGCGAGTCACACATGCGCAAAACTGATACGAGCGCTCAGCGGCTGTTCGCACACAGGCGCGCAACCCCCGATAATCTGCGCAGGCCATGATTTTGCGGAGTGACCACGTTTATTTTTCCTCAGAGACACTGTCGTGATGATGTGCATGAGTTTATCTTGCTTCAAATATATAAAAAAGAAAAGATAAATCTTCATTTTTTTATTCCATAAAGGATTGATGAGCCAGCGCGTCCGGCCTTTTGCAGCTATAATATATTAATGCAGATAGTTTTATTTTTTCGTGGTTTTATTCAATTTTAGCGAGTGTCTGACAGTCATTAAAAAGCGTGTGCTGTGTCAACATAGTTTATTTGACATGTTACACAATGCTTCGCCTACCAGAAAAAAAATAATATAAGTAACGTGCTTGTTTTATTATCAGCACCTTACTCTAATATTTGCAGAACTCTCCATTGGCTTCACAAATAGCATTCATGCGACGCGGAAGGGATTCATAAAGATTCACCACCAACTCTGGACATTGCCGCAGCCTGTCCCATTCTTCCTTCACAGCATCCCATAGCTGGTCAGTCGTGACGGAGTGAAGTCCTCGCCGCGATAGCTGGATCTTCATGTTTCCCCAGATGTTCTCGATGGGGTTCATGTCAGCCCCTTTTGGGGGCCATGGCATAACCGCCACTCCGCGTTCCTCTAGAAGGTCACGCACACGATTTGACTGATGAACAGGACAAAGGTCATGTTGAAAAAAAAAGCATCCGTCAGGGAAAGGTCCCTCAAGAACGTAAGGAATGAGCTCGTGCTCAATGACGTCGCAATACGTTTCGGAGTTAAGCCTCTGGATTCTTACAAGTGGACCAAGTCCTTCCGCTGACAATGCCCCCCAGACGTTAACAGTTTGTCGCCCACTCCTGCCCACACGCTGCAAGTAAGGGGCATCATACCTGAAACATCAAAATCACAAATTATAAGATCCGGCTTGTTAAAAATTGTCGTGTTGCTCAAAAGTAACATACCGTGCACCTCGCGGTCTCCAAACTTGTTTTCCTTAGTGCCAGTCAGTTGAGAAAGAGGACTCGTCACTGAAAACAACGGTTTTCCAGTCTTGAATCGTCCATGATGTCTTTTCCATGGCAAACCGCAGGCGGATATCTTTTTGTCGAGGAGTTAAAATTGGCTTCTTGCACGCAGCATAGCTCCTAATACCCGCTTCTGCAAGACGGCGTCGCACAAGTTGGTCACTGACATTCAGACCAAGTTCGCCTCGAATGTCACGGGCCGTAATAAAAGGCTGGTCGACTGCAGCCGCAACGATCCATTGATCTTCCTCATCGGTAGTGGACCTTGGGCGGACGTCGTGAGGAGCGTCATGGATGCGGCCGTTGTCGTCTCGAAACGCCGTGAAAATTCGGGCCACTGCGGTTCGGGTCCTTCCTGTCATCTGGGCGACTTCTCGTTGGGGCATTCCCGCGCGGCATAGGGCCACAATTCGCCAGCGTTCGTGAATTGGCACTCGCGACGGCATCTTCACGAATGGATACTGATGGCAGTGAACCGACAATTTATAGAAAAATAAATGTGAAGTGAAATGGCACTGTGCTTTTTATTAAAATAAAAAAATATTGCCCTTTTGTTCCTTTTCTTTCATATTTGAGACAAGATAAAAGTATGCACAGGGCGTCAAACAGATCGCGATAAAACCACGCGGCGATTAAATAATAAAAAAAGGCTATCACTCTGCAGAGATTACCCATCGGGGGTTGTGCACAGCGTGGGAACAGCCGATGAGCGCTCGTATCAGCTTTGCACACCTCCGACTCGCGTCACCAGGCAGCCCGTCTTTTATCGGTAGATGGCGCAGCAAGTTCTGGAGGCCACGCGTTCCGCTGGCCCATTTCGTTTCGTTGAGCACTGTACCATATTTCGGCAAAACCCGCTCATGAGTGCACTCACTTGGCAATCAGGCATGAGGATCAGGCATGAGGGTGAGTGAGTTCGTAAGCCTTGAATACTCATGAGTTTGAAGTTGAGTGAAGGGCGTGAGTTAGGTGAATTAGGTGAGTTTATGAGTTTGGTGAGTTCATAAGTTTGATCAGGGGTGCGAGTTCGGGGAGTTCATGAGTTTGGTGAGGGGTGGAGTTCGGTGAATTAGGTGAGTTTATGAGTTTGGCGAGTTCATAAGTTTGATCAAGGGCTCGAGTTCGGGGAGTTCATGAGTTTGGTGAGGGGCGTGAGTTTGGGGAGTTTGAGTTTGGTGAATTCATGAGCTTGGTGAGGGGCATGAGTTTGGGGAGTTTATGAGCTTGGTGAGAGGCGTGAGTTTATGAGTTTGGTGGGGGGCTTGAGTTCATAAGTTCTGTGAGGGCCGTGAGTTCATGAGGTCGGTGGATTCATGTTTTTGGCGAGGCATAAGGTCCCTAAGGGGCCGTGGTTTTGGTGAGGGTTTGCGGGGTGACGTCGAGGAAGGGTGGGTTATGTGACTTTTCTGAACATTTTCGGGGAAGTTGAATCAAAGCTCAACTTTGCAATGGTGCTGTTAGCTTGTTTGGCTGGTTCTCAACGAGTGATGGGAAAGGAGGAGTGGTGCCTATTGAGTTATCTGCGCTCTTTGGCTCTGGCTCACTTTGCGCCGGCTTGGCGTGGTCTTTTGCCGCTGGTCACTGCTTTTTGGCGGGATGACGAGAGAGGGGACTGGGCTCTCCCGCTTGCCTCGGCCGCTCTCGTGGCGGCTACGAGGCACTGATAGATGCGCAGCGTTTTGTTGTTTTGTGAAGAAGGCAAACGGGCGCTATACTGATAAGCCTGAAAGCAGACGGTGCTATTTCCAGTGGGCTTGTCTTATGCACGGTTGCTAATTCTGAAGCCATTATTAAAATGAAAGCCAGCTGGGAACTGTCGTGATTCGCATGTATACTTTTTTGTTCAAGTAGCCTGGAGTTCTCTAAAAAGGTATGCATACACATCTTTGTGCTCGAGTACGCCCAAAACGCCGGACTTTTTCACAATTGGGTTAAAGGGAAGATGCTCCTCAGGCATACTTTTTATGATTAGGGGGCCGAAATTTCCGCAATTAGTAGAAATTGGACTTTTCTTTTTATTTACGCAATCCATTTCCTGATGGCTATTCTAATTCAATATCTGTGCTGCATGACATACATAAGAAAAACACCTATTTTGTGCACACAATTTTTCCTACTAATTATAAAGATAGAGCAGCCTAAATAGCCAGATTGGTTCCCCATAAATTACACTTTGTGCATTACCATTTGAATCAGCAATACCTAAAAAATCTTTCTTATAAAAAAAAAAAAAAATGTTTCAGTATTTTTAGAATTTTATTTTTTGTTCTGTACTTCCTTAAAAAGGTGGTAGTGCTTATCTTGCAACTAACAAGATTTCCACAGTCTGTACACCCTCAGGTATTACTGTGTAAAATTTCATTGTAATTTGACAACTGCAAGAGGAAAAAAATTGTATGTACAAACTCTGGAAACAGGCAAAAGCACCATTTTGAGAAAAACGCATTTCAAAGTTTATTTTTATTCGAGATAACAAACTTCTCGCTCAAACCACATGAAACTTGGGGATGATACAGTCCCAATGTCTGTCTCTGGATCCTCAGACGAAAACTCTCCAGCAACTCACAATCGTGACTGACGCCAATCGTGTGCTCTCCGAGCGCTGCCTTAATGTTAACCGCGAAGCTGTCGCTGGCGCTTCCACCGCATTATTCCGGGTCGCACATTTCCCGGCCGGTGGCGGCAGCACGATGCAATATGCACGCAGCCAAAAGAACTTCAGGAGGGCATGCAACGTTTGTGCACTTGAGCTCCAGCAAAGATGCAAGACTCTTGCGTTTGTTCTCGGCATCCATTGCGGCAAGTTCGCACTTGCCACATGCTCCACATGTCGTGCCGCTCACAAGTCGCGTCAAAGTTTCACTTTCGCAGATAGTGGCGTTTCCGCCGCTTCGCTTCTTGACGGGTTCATTATCGTGAAATGTTGTCAGCTTCTTTTCTGAAGTGCTCGCGAATTCTGACACGTCACTGATGGGCTCCAAAGTGCTCCCTTGTTTGGCGCTTGCGGAGCTCTATGGTGCGTCGTCATTCTGCTGGAGTGGTAGGTTCACGGGCGGGTCCATCGCATTCGTCGCACTTCTGCGCTCTTGCTTGAGTTTTTTTTGTATGGGCGCAGTGACCGGCTCTTCTGGAGTCGAAAGTTGTGTTTCTTGACGCCACTCATCGTAAAAAAACTCTCTATAGGCGAGCAAAAAACTTGGTTCTCGTTTGAGACAATGTGTGATGTGATGCGACCGTAAACGATGCACTAGCTTCACTGCATGGTGCGTCAGGGCGGCAGCCAGTGGCAGTGCTGCAGTTACGTCACATGGTTTTAAAAATACCATTTGGGGCCTCGTCGGGACGTGGGAAAAAGTTTTTTTTAATATTATTTGTAACGCACGTATGAAACCATGGAAAGAGTCAAAGGAAAGTAGGCTTCCTTCTCCTGGAGGAGTAAACCTTCTTTCCGTTGAGGGATGCAAGCTCGAAAGTGACCAACCTCCGTGGTAAGGCGTTCAAGTTCTTTTTTTTTTTTTTTTTGTAACTCCTAGGCCGAAATTTTTAACAATTCTTTTTGTGTATGGAACTAGAAGATGTACAGATTAAAAAACACATTAAAAAACAAAAATCTATTTCGAGTCGAAACGTCAATTTCTCAAACCGTATCTCCTGCTACATTTATCTGGTAGGATATAAAATTTACTTTGATTGTGGATTGTCAGAAAAAAAATTGCAGACAGTAGGTCTCTAGAGTCCATCCAAAGAGATATGAAACAATATTTTTTACTTTCACTTAATATTGGTCATAGCAAATCAACGTTCTAATCAGCTATCTTGCACCCCTTTAGTCGCTCAAGGGGGGGCCATTGAGCATAGTCGAAATACTGGCTGTACTTGAAAACGTTTTGCGTGCCAGAAAAAGGTCTTTTACTAGTTCCAATGGTATTTAGATATTAGTTATGATTCCTGTATATTATTTATCAACTGGTGCAGCTTGCAGTGGTGCACGCCCCAGTCGTTTAAGAGGAGTGCTGTTTGTCTTTTTAGCAACATGATTTACATTTACTATACGAGTAAATAATAGGGGGAGGGGGTAAGATTCAAACCTAATTCGTTAACAAATATTTGATATGCATGCATGCACGGAAGCAACCTTCCCTGCCCGAAGAAATTAGGCGCCCCAATATTTTGTATCTAACAAAACAAATTTTTAAGAATTGTAGACCGTTCAATTAAGTTGCATACCGCACCCTTCCCCCTCCTCAAATATAGCATGGATATCCGTATTAGGTTATGAGTTGTTAGAAGTGAAGTAATTTAAATACGGAAGGTAAAGAACTTCTTCTTACACTAGTAGGCTGTTTATTCATTCAAATTAGTCGAGACAAATTAAAAATTACCATCCATCAAAAACTAATAAATTATTTTCATAGAAAACAGAACTTCGTATGCGAAGTTTGTAAATATTTGAATTCAACATGTTGACAGGTTTGAACACAAGCACACACTGTCTGAGCAACTAGAATACCGAAGTCATCTGACACCGATCATGATTTTTGTCAGGAACCATAAAGCATACATTTTAGGAGGTACAGAGTCGGTATATTAGAATGTTCCAGTTTTAATTGGCATGTGCGGTGCAACATAAAACGGGAGACGTGAGAAAAAGATTAATATACAGTAATATGGTACGCACAAAGTTCTTCCATTGTTCCTTCCAGAAAATGAATATCCGTGTTCATACAACCACAACATAGACAGTGCTTCAAGATACTAAGATGTAAGTGTTCAGTCACAAAGTACAAGCGCATGTGTAAAGATAACTAGATTTTTTTTTCATCACATCTACTCGTGGCTATATTCAGGTCGTGACTTTCGAGAAAGAACATATTCACAAGTTTGTGCAAGGCCAACTTGACACTCGAAATGTAAGAACAGACAATTGGGAAAGTGCAAGGAATAGCTAGATTGTACTCGTTCAAGGACATATTATTCATAAAAAAAACTGTAAAGTAGCGACAAAAGTAACATCGTTACTTTCATCGTTACCTGAGAAAAAGTAATAGAACTACAGTTACAAGTTACATTTTTAAAAAGTAACTTGTTACAGTTACAAGTTACCAAAAAAGTAACAAAATTACAGTAACGCGTTACTACCCAAGACTGCTAACGAGTGCATCATGTATCTTTGTTTTCCTCGTCTGGTGCAGAGTCGAGAAGCCTGTCTGCGGGCTCTCCCCACGAGGGGGGCCAAGCGGCGTCACCACAGCCTTTTGGGCAGCAACCCCCCGTGGTTCCCTCCTTGGTGCAAGAGATTGTCTCGGTGGAACACCTCTGGCACTACACGGACCGTGAGATCAGCAGGTGATCACGGGCTTGGCCTTATTTTATTCTATGGTACAGCCCCACTGACATGTTGTTTGTTTCCCAGCTCTAACGTACAGTAGAATCTCGATAAACGGAAATCGCTTAAACGGAATTGCCGCTTAAACGGAACAGTAGCCCGTAAGTTGGTTGGTTTTGTATTCAGATAAGGTAAAAAAACTTTCGGTAATTGGAACTAAAATTTGCGCTTCACTGTGTAAACGGAACCGAAAATAGAACTTCTGGCAGACCCATTGCCATGAGCATCAGCCCTTTCCGGTTCCGGCTGTTTCTTTTTTTTTTCTTTTCTAGCCTCGTAAGCCTCGTTGGCCTCGCCTCGTTGGTAGTCGGCACAACGAATGCAACACTGCTGTTCTTGATCAAGTCGTTCGGTCTCTGTTCGAGTTGCCTAGGTTACACCCGCATCGTTCCTGCCGTCGTGGTGCCTATCGTGCTTCATTGCCGCGTTGGTGTCTTCCAACTTCGGTGGCTAGTAAGCGCTCGCGAAGTTGAGGCCTTGCCTCCGTTGTTTCAATGGCGACACAGAAGCGGGCACACCATGCGCTGACGTTGGAAAAGAAGATGGACGTCATTCTTGACTTCGAAAGCGGCTCATACTCGAAGATAGCGCTCGCGACGAAGCACGGCGTCCCGAAAAGCAGCTTAACGAGGATCCTGCACGACAAGGACAAACTACAAGATGCCTTCGAAACTTCGCGATTCGGGCCCCCCAAAGGAAGCGTCTGCGACACGGCGACCACGAAGAACTGGAGAAGTGCCTGGTTTTGTGGCTTAGGGGAGCCCGGAGCCAGAGCATTCCCATCAACGGGCCACTAATCCGTGCCAAAGCAGAAGAGTTTGGCACGGATTAGTGCCAAACTCTTGTTGGCTTAAGGAGCCAGAATCGGAAGTGTTTCTCCAAAGCCTAAGTGACATGGAGAAAAAGATTCTGAAGATGAAGATGCAAGGACTCAAACAAAAGAAAATTGATGCATTTTTCAGTCCACAGTGATTAACTGCTGCCTAATAAACTTGTGAATGCTATGTAAAAACCTCATGTAGTTTCCTTGCTTTCTAAAAAACTATGAGTTACATTCACCTCATAGTGTTTAGACATTCATAAAATAGTATTAAGAGAGTGTGCACACATAAAATCGGCACTTTTTACATCTCTCTTAGTAAACGGAACTCCTGTTAAATGGAACAAATTTTTTTGGTCCCTTGGAGTTCCGTTTACTGAGAGTCTACTGTATGTGCCTGCTGATACCTTTGCACTCCTGTAGACCTAAAAGAAAACTGAAGTGGTTTTCAAATTTGGAATTACTGTAAGGGTACAAAGAACCGTAGAAGGCTACTAAATTCAGAGGACAACAAACTGTAGAAAACCGTTTCTAACTCAGTTTTTTTTAAAGCGGTAGCTTTATAGGGCCAACCAAACTCATGAGCTGTGTAAGTATGAAATGTGTACATCGGTCTGTCCGTAACCTCTAAACAATCTTAAAAAAAATTGTAGAGCTTTTCCACCTCACGTGAAGATGGAGGACCAGCGAAGCTGTTATTTTTACAACGTCTAGGACGATGCCTAGAGAAAGACGTCTAGGATGTCCTCAAAGACGACTTCTAGGACGACCTCAAGGACGGCACCTAGAGGACATTGTCTAGGACGACCTCAAGGGTGCTGTCAAGGACGACCTCAAGGACAACCTTGAGGACGATGCCTAGAGGACGACGTCTAGGACGACGCATAGAGGACAACGCCTAGGATGACCTCTCGGACGACCTCAAGGATGACTTTAAGGACGACCTCGAGGACGATGCCTAGAGATGATAACGAGGGATCAGGACCTCACTATAATAATGCCAAGGAAGGCTGACTCATGCTCGTTGCCCCCTCTCTTTATTTTTATTTATTCATACTTGCCACGACCAAAGGGGAGTTTTCTGTCAACATCCGTGGACATATTTTTCCCCAGATCCTAGCGCAAAACAGCTTCGCTGTAAAAACGATGACTGGTGCCAGGGATTGAACCCCGGTAACTGGTGTAAAAGCCCAGTTCACTGCTGACTGGGCTACGGACCCAGCAAACAGGAACAGGAGGAGCAGAAACGGGTGGTGTGTGAAAGCGTGCTGAGCGGAAAGAGCAGGAAAGGGAGAAAAGCTGAAGCAGGTGGTGTAGAAAGAGCATGCAGAACGAGAAGGAGTGGAAAGGGCAGGAAAGTGCTCTTCCCTTCTCTCGGTGACCCAGAAAGATCAGTGCAAAGGCTTTGTATACGGGTAGTGCTGAAAGGACGTGCGCACAGCGTTACAGAGAGACAATGGTGCGACGTAATCTGCTTCCATACAAAACCCAGCTTCTCTCACCGCACGCGCCATTCAGCCTCTAGCATTCACACACCAAAATGGGGGCTCCCATCTCTGGATCAGGGTCGCGACAATCGGGAGTGGAAACGACGACGTGCAGAGGCAGTGCATGAACAGCGGGCTCACACAGGTGCAGCAGCTGGGTCGTGTTGCTGTAGCGGTGGCAAAACATCAGCAGCATGCCGAGTAGCCATCAGTAAACCGGCGAGCCCTGGATGTGGCGACTCAGCGTTGCAAGCGGCAACACCTTTAAGAACAAAAAAGACGGTGACAACAACCCTGACAGCCAGTGCAGTGCCTCCAACTATGCCATGTTGTGTTTGCATAGGTTGAATTTGCGTAATTACCGCAGTAAAAATCGTAAGCAGAGTTCGTACAGCTCCTTGAAATTCTTGAATACCCGGGATTTCGTTAAAAGCCTTTCAAGGGCCCTTAAATATCCTTGGAAGTTGAAGCGATCCTTGTGTTCCTTGAAAATCCTCCAACAAATGCGTAAATGGGGCCGCGTCGTCTGGCAACATCCCATGTCGTTTGTTCTAAAGGCCAATCCAATCCAAGGCGTCCTGTGTCATGGCCATTTTTGCTTTGTGTTGAGTGTGTTAAGGATTGTGTTGGTGAGCGTGAGACAGTGGTGAGACACTTTCAATCGAGATTGAAAGCCGAAATGGAAAGTGTAAGTTCCAGCCTTCTTGGCTGGAACACAGACTATCGGGTGAGACCAGATACGAATGACTCCTTCCGAGCGAAGTGCGCGATCTGACGAAAGTCGATTGATGCCGCCACAATGGGGGAAAGTGCTTTGAAGAGTCATTTGAGAAGCGCAAAGCATCAATCTGGAGCCAAGTCAGCTCTTCCTGCTTGTCTATCACCTCTTATCTACCAGCATTGGCCTTGGCGCCGGATACGCCCAGGCACCAGCGTGCAGACGCAAGTACCTCACTGGCGCGACCCTTGACACGGATTGTCGGAAGGACGAGATAGTTATTGAAGCCGAGATCCTGTGCACAATGAAGGCTGTGTCGTCTCACTACTCCTACAACTTTTGTCGGGACGTTGCCAGCGTTTTTCAAAGAATGTTTCTTGGTAGCGAAATTGCGAGAAGCTTCAGCTGCGGCGAAGGCAAAGCCAATAGTTTTCGCCAAACAGCAAAGAAAAAGGAAGCAGCTATAGCTGCTGTAGAACGAGAAATTCTTGCCAAAAAGGAGCTTATTCCTTAAGTCCTCTCACTAAATGAATTTCTTCGAACCTTCCTTGAATTTTTGTCTTCGGATGCCCTTGAAATCCTTGAAAGTTCTTGAATTTTGCATCAAAAGTAAACCCTGCGTAAGGTTGAAAAACTTGTGGAACTGTAAAACTATTTAATTAAAATTTTATTTAGTTTCGGAACACTTTTTACGAACGATGGCCCTCTAAAGCTACTGCTTTTGAACGTGTTTGGCAGAACGACCCAACATGCAGCCAATTTTTTTAAAGTGCTTCAGGTTCATTTTAAAACACAGTGTAGGGGAAACGAGATGGCCGCTGCGTTTGCTTCAGAGTGTGGCCAACGTGACGTGCCCGGCGCAGGTTATCGGAGCAGTTTGGCCACAAGGTGTCGGCCAACAACTCGGTGATGGAGGTGGGACCGGATTCCCCCGGAGCGAGCTCTTCCGACGGAGGCTCAAACCTTCTAAGCAGCCTGTGCAACATCGCCGACCACCGGCTATACAAGATTGTCAAGTGGTGCAAGAGCCTGCCTCTCTTCAGGGAGATACAGGTGCGTTCATGTTTCTCCACACGCTGGGCTCCAGCGTAATACGTCTCCGAATCGTCGGTTCTGTCTTTTTCTGCGGGTGGTTACCAAACGGGTTGAGTTGTACCCCCCAACTGAAAAGACTGAAATCTAGGGGTGTGCGAGTACCGAATTGTAGTTATTGAATCGAATCCCGAACCGGATTAAGAAAACAAAGCTGAATATCAAATTGAATATCGAATAGTGATTTTATTTGTAGCAATTTTTCAAGGTGTGCTGTGAATGAGATTATTATATGTGCAGAGTATGCGCCTGGTGCAGAATATGCGTCTCGTACGGAACAAAAGCTCATATGTATAAGAGTTCTGGCGAAAAAAAAAAAAAAAAGAGACGCAGTTGTTGATGGACGTTGGGCACTAAAGATCCAATTTTGTGGCGCAAACATAATCTATCTACCTTGAGCGTCACAAAAACACCCAAAGTATAGCCATGCATGCTTTTTTTTCTTGTTAAAAGTACAACCTAGCACCGCGACATGCCGTTTTTTTTTATTTGTATATCTCAGAAAAAGGAGCATTTTGCGATATTTGGTCTCAATTTTAAGAGAGAAAAAGGGCACCCGGGATTTTATTTTATATAAATAAGCAGACAGCTGTTAAATCTGAGTGAACACGCTTAAACAATATAATCTGAACCCAGCCGTATGTGGGGAGAGTTTGGCCAGTCTATGATTTCGCCGCCGTAACGTCCCTCTCCCGAGTGGCCAATCAGCCCGCGGCGCAGAGCGAGAGGCGTGAGCGCATGCGCGTTGACTCTCGGCTGCTCCCAGCTGAGCGGAGAGGGCCGCCATTTTCATTCATTCGCCCGGCGGGATGCATGTGATCGACGTCCAAACCTCGGTCCTTTACTTTTATTTGGTAGGCATTGGAAAAGAAAATTATATAAAGTTATTCCTCGGTGGCTTAAAAAGCCAACGAATTGAGTTTCTCCACGTTTGAACGCAAGCTTTGGGTCAGGCGGAAAAGAAATAAGCCCGTACAGACGACGCGTAGCCTCAACGATGTTGACGATTGGGCTAGTTGGTCATTCATATTAGCGGAAAACAAACAGCGCAAGGACAAGAACAGAGTAGAAGGCGGTAGACACACACAGCGCTGACTTACAACTGAGCTTTATTGGCACTGACAACCTGTATAAATACACAATTTGCCCTGCCCAAAAGCCAAGAAAAGAAACACAAGAGGAGGACTACACGTGTTCCTAGAGTCATCTGCAGGCGCCGTTGCTCTCCGATCTGAGTAGAAAAATACACTCCTTTTCCGTCAAGGCAAGTGACGGGGCACTAACACACTCAGAGCCCGATTGTCCAATGGCGCGGGCTTCTATAATCTCACGTGTCAGTTTATCTTTTTGTTTACTGATGACCGTGCATCGTTCAAAAAACGGAGTACATCCGCAATCGCGGCAATGCACCCCAAGGTGCCCCGACACAACCTGAGACACATTATATCGATGCTCTCTTAAACGCTCATTAAGACAACGTCCCGTCTGCCCTATGTATCTCCGGCCACAGGACAGGGGAATAGAGTAGACAACACCCGCAACGCATGTAACAAACTGGCTTTGGTGTTTCTTGGCGCACACCTGTCTCTCTATTACATGAGAGTTCACTCTTTTGCACATCATAGATAGCTTGTCTGGAGCCGAAAAGACCACGTGAACACCAGCTCGGCGTCCCACTTTTTTCAGATTATGGGATATTTTGTGTAGGTACGGTAGTACTGTGATGTTTCTGTTTTTCCTGTTAACTTGTTCAGCATTCTCAATCCGTCTTCTCTTTAGTAGAGTTTCTGCGACTGCCGTTAAAAGGCGCAACGGGTAGCCCGCGGCCGTGAGCCTCGCTACTTGATTCTTAAAGCTATCCTTGACTAAGTGAAAGCATGATTTATTAAGGGCGTTTTTAAAGCAAATGTTGATGATTCCCCTTTTTACCAGTTTAGAGTGGGCAGACGAAAACGACAGGAGGGGTTTATTACTCCTTGGTTCATAAAGCCAGCAGGTGTGTGTGGGGAGACACTGCAGCCTAAGGTCTAAAAATCTGTGCAAAAGAGTGAACTCTCATGTAATAGAGAGACAGGTGTGCGCCAAGAAACACCAAAGCCAGTTTGTTACATGCGTTGCGGGTGTTGTCTACTCTATTCCCCTGTCCTGTGGCCGGAGATACATAGGGCAGACGGGACGTTGTCTTAATGAGCGTTTAAGAGAGCATCGATATAATGTGTCTCAGGTTGTGTCGGGGCACCTTGGGGTGCATTGCCGCGATTGCGGATGTACTCCGTTTTTTGAACGATGCACGGTCATCAGTAAACAAAAAGATAAACTGACACGTGAGATTATAGAAGCCCGCGCCATTGGACAATCGGGCTCTGAGTGTGTTAGTGCCCCGTCACTTGCCTTGACGGAAAAGGAGTGTATTTTTCTACTCAGATCGGAGAGCAACGGCGCCTGCAGATGACTCTAGGAACACGTGTAGTCCTCCTCTTGTGTTTCTTTTCTTGGCTTTTGGGCAGGGCAAATTGTGTATTTATACAGGTTGTCAGTGCCAATAAAGCTCAGTTGTAAGTCAGCGCTGTGTGTGTCTACCGCCTTCTACTCTGTCCTTGTCCTTGCGCTGTTTGTTTTCCCTCAACGATGCTCTGCGCCTACAGCTTTGCATCAAAATGGCAGTCATCTCCTCTTTGCTCCCTTCTTTCTCTCTTGCTCCTTCGGCGCTCCCCTCTCTTTCCTTCACTTTTCTCCTCTCCTGCGCTTTCGTCGCCACACCCCCTGGCCAAACTCTCCCAATATGCGGCTCTGAATCTGAAGTAACAAAGTGAAAGCCGTTTACAACTCCCTGTAACACCGAATTAGAGCGCAGCTCTTGAGATGGAGGAGGGAAGGGTACTGGGGGGGGGGGAGTGATTTGGGGGGGTCACGTGACCTTAGGACCTTGGGGGTCACGTGACGACGCCGATGATGTCATCAGTGACGTCACTGATGACGTCATCCGTGATGATGACGATGTGGATGCCGGTGACGTCACCAGTGACGTCACTGATGACGATGACGATGCGGATGCCGGTGACATCATCGGGGAGGTCACGTGACCTAGGCGGGGGGGGGGGGGGGGTCACGTGACCTTGGGGTGACCTTGGTTACACCGACGCCGCTCAAGCTGGGAACGGGCCCCTAAGAGCTGCGCTCTAAAAAAAAAAAAAAACATGGCATTAGGTGGCGCAAGCCACCGTCCAACTGCTGCTTTGCATCTGTTTCCCCATCCATCTATCCTGTTTTAGAGAGCCTAGATTTAAGGGGGAACACTGGTCTTGGAGCTTTTTTTCTTATTTTATGACCAAACCCAATGAAACTGCACAAGCTTGTTCAGCTTTCTGTGCTGATTTCATATATCTGGTAATTTCTTCATTCAGTAGAATTGTCCTGAAGATAATTAAAACTTGCCTGCCTTTGTTTGGAGGAATGATAGGGAAAATACTGCTCAACAAAATATCCTTTTTAACACATGGCCAGATACTACGAAGTGTAAAGAATACAATGTTGGAAGTACTTTTAAGATAAACCCATTATTAGTGATTTTACAACATATTGAAGTTCAGTGCTCAATGCATGGCTAACAAGTAATAAAACTAAAGATCAAATAAAAAATTTTCTATACTTATATTAAAAGATCTGCTCTCAACATTGTATGCTTCACACATTTAGCAACACATTTCAAGAAAGGTTATATTTCTGGCTGCTGTAGATGCCGAGATATCCCTCCCGCAAAATTTCAACGAGTCCAAAAATTGTGTTATGTGAAAACAATGTTTTAGAGTCAACTTTAATGCACATTCAGCCTGCATAGACATAATAAATTGATTTATAGCTTGAATATTCATCCACGATATTAGAAGCGTGGTAGATTCAGAAGAACAACAGCCATTGCCGTTTTCAAAAGAATGCAGTTTTAGGAAGTTTTTGGCTCCAGAGACCCATGTCCCCCCTTAAAAGAGGGAGCAAGCGAAACTGAAACCACGGAGACTGCTCCTGCGCAGATTGGTTGTAAGTGCGCATGTGTCATGTTGTCGCTTGGAAAGAAGGCGAGCAAACGGAAGAGCGACGACGCTTGTTCGATTGACACTTTTGTCTTTCCGTCTCCTTCTCGCAGTTCATAATTCAAATGCAGCTATCGAACTGTTGGAAACTTTCAAATCCAGGCACACTATTTTTCCGTTTCGTTTTGAATCAAAATTTGCGGCTTGCGGTTCCAAAAGAACGACGACAACAAGTCGGCCGTTTTTATCGCGTGACTAGCGTGGTTTTCTTTTTGTGATCTTGCAGTCGCCGATTTTTGTGAGTGTGGCAAGTGTGTTCTACATCGGCACTTTAATTTGAAACGAGGGGCTTTACTCATGAAAAGAATTAGGCATGGCTCGGAATTCTGGCCTCCCAACAATTCCTCTCTGGAAGCGGTGCAGACGGGATGTTTTGGTTGTGATTCAAGATTAGATTGTGTCACGATCATGAGTAAATCTGCGTGCTTTAAAGTTTGTGGCGTTTGTTACTTTCCTTTTTTCTAACCTGTACGTTAGACTTTTGTTGAATGGTAAGACCAATAGGTGTTTCTCGCATGGTCTGTCTAACATCATGGCGCTAACATTGGCAGAAAAAACGGCTCTTTTGTGAGCTCCGCACCGACCACGCGTTTTTGGCCAAATATATTGAATATTAGAGTGACCAAATACTAGGAATTCGATTCGCGAATTGAATTATTCGGGAACTTGCTATTCGATTTGAATTCGTATGTGCGAGTATTCGCACACCCCTACTAAATTCCAATTGCGTGGTTGTTTTAACGTACGCAAGATACTTCGTTTCTTAGAACACAAAGAGTTTTGTCTGTGGTTAGAGGGATAATTATGCTGGTGCTTTATGACCAGTAACCAAGGGTCGTTAATTTGTGCGTCGCATGGTAGTGATCCTGTGAACGCGTACAGGTATTTGCGGTTTTTCGCAAGCTTTTACTTTTAGTGCTGTTGTGTCGTAGTGCATTAACAGGCTGGGCCGTGGAGCCCTCGCACAAGGAGAGGAATGCGGTTCAATTTAAAATCGTTGGGGTATGTCAATTGGCTGTGGAAGAGTCCAGAAACTTTGCTGAAGGGCAGGCATGATATAGTATAAATATAAATGGGAGTTTCTCTTTATCTCAGTTTTAACTTGTAGTAACTCATTTAAATGCAACATATCACATTACTTCGAGAAAATTATGTTGAACATTTGTGAGTTGTAATGTGCTCTTGTATTTTCAGAAATGAACAAGGAAAAATCGAAAGAAAGAAAAGGAAGTAAAATATTCTATTTGAAGCTGTCATACCCTAATTAAGGGGGAACACTGGTCTTGGAGCTTTTTTTCTTATTTTATGACCAAACTCAACGAAACTATACACGCTTGTTCAGCTTTTTGTGCTGATTTCATATATCTGTTAATTTCCTCAGTCAGTAGAATTTTCCTGAAGATAATTAAAACTTGCCTGCCTTTGTTTGGAGGAATGATAGGGAAAAAACTGCTCAACAAGATATCCTTTTTAACACATGGCCAGATACTATGAAGTGTAAAGAATACAATGTTGGAGGTACTTTTAACATAAACCAATTATTAGTGATTTCACAACATATTGAAGTTCAGTGCTCAATGCAAGGCTAACAAGTAATAAAACAAAAGATCAAATAAAAAATTTTAAAGACATATTAAAAAATTTGCTCTCAACATTGTATGCTTCACACGTTTAGCAACACATTTCAAGAAAGATAATATTTCTGACTGCTTTAGATGCTGAGATATCCTTTCTGCAAATTTTCTATGAGTTCGAAAATTGTGTTATGTGAAAACAATGTTTTAGAGTCAACTTTAATGCACATTCAGCCCGTATAGACATTATAAATTGATTTATAGCTCAAATATTTATCCACGAAATTAGAAGCCTGGTAGATTCAGAAGAACAACAGCCATCGCCGTTTTCAAAAGAATGCAGTTTTACGAAGTTTTTGGCTCCAAAGACCCATGTCCCCCCTTAACTCAGTGTGGCTGGAGAAGGATGTGGATTAGTATGCACAGAGAAAGGGCAGCTAGGTGTGGGGTCAACTTCTTTGAGCACGACCCACATTAATTAGCCTGACAATTGTGTCTTCAAACCATACTTTGAGAACATCTTATGCTCCTCCGCACGTCTATTCCACGACATGGTTAGTTTATAGCCTCTTCTGGTGGAGATAACGACGGTGACCGAGGAGTTGAGACCCGCGTTCCCGTGGGCTTCCTCTCGGAACCAAGCGCGATACAAACCCGGCTTTGAGCGCGTCCGGCTCATTGGAGCGGTGGCATCCCCAGGTGGACGACCAGATAGCGCTGCTGATCAACTCGTGGTGCGAGCTGCTGCTGCTGAGCTGTTGCTACCGGTCGACGGGCACCCCCAACGAGATCCGGGTGTCGATGGGCAAGTCTGTCACCCTGGGCCAGGCCCGGCACCTTGGCATGGGGCCCGTCATCGAGCGCATGCTGGGCCTCACGGACCTACTGCGGCGGCTGCAGGTGGACCAGCGGGAGTTTGTTTGCCTCAAGGTCATCATCCTGCTCACCTCCGGTGGGTCCCTGCCCTTGCATGGTGCCGGGGTTCTCTACTTCGTTCCGCCACGAGTGCGGGCAGTGGCTAGAGGACGTATACAAGCACAGATGCGTAGACCGAACGCTCAAGGTCACGGCGTGTGCACTGCGATAGTTGGGCTTAGCCAAGGACAGTACACGTACAGATGGGCAACGAACGCTGTGACGTTGCGCTTTTTGGCCCTGCACGATAGGCCGCATCAACTCGTAACATTGGCTGTGCTCAGACCTGCGACGGGATTGTCGTTGTTGAACTGTTTTCTATTTGGCCTTTCCATTTGCATACTCTCGGGGATGGAAGCGCTTTGCCAATTGCGCCATTGTGTGCCAATCTACTTTTTCTGCGTCATCCTGCTCCCAAGGACAAATGTTGCACCAAAAAAAAAATTTTTTTTTTTTTTTAATTTTTATATTGATGTGGTGGTGTCAGTGTCAAAGCAGGTGAAGGCCTGTCCAAACAGGACACTAGGAAAATCGACGGGCGACACAACTCCTGCAAAAATAGTCAAAATTGAAGCGGACGCTTCGATTTTGATGATTTTTGCAGGAGTTGTGTCGCCTAACGTTTTTTGTGGGCAAGGCAACACCACGACTTTTCTCCTCGCCTCCTCCACTTTTTTTTTACGTCAATGCTCGTCAGATTTGACGTCACAATGCCACCTGCCACTGGTTTTCTCCTGCGGCACACTGACCTCGCTGACTTTGCCTCACCTGGAAGGCCAAAGAGGTTTGGCTTTGGGTGGATTTGGGAATTTCCTGCGTCGAAGCTTGCGTTTTGCTTCCCGCAGGGAAAAGGTATGACACCTTTGTGTCATTCCCTTTGCCGTTTTCGGGTTTGAAAAACGGCAGAGACAAACAGCCAACAGAGCATGTGAGTGGCTCTCCGGACCCATGTGATGAGCAGATCAAGGCCGCTGTGGAGGGTACGAGTAAGACTTACCAAAAAAAGACATTCCCCCTGGCAAAAAGAAAAAAGAAAAAAAAAAGATATTGGTTGGAAGTTGAGCGTTAAACGATTCGTCGGTGTCAAGTCGCCTGACGATTTTTGTAGTGTCCTGTATGGATAGGCCTTGACTCTCATTCGATGAAAACAGGTGCCAAGTGCCTATTTTCATCTAACAAGAAGGATCATGATTTATTCCAGACCAAGTAAATAGACAATGTTTTGTTTGTTTCGTGGTCTCGTGTTGATGAGCCGCCAAGCGCCAACAGCACATGGGAGAACACTGCGCAAGTTGGTTGTTCAAGTCGTCCGTTTCGAACGCGAGGAAAAGTAAATGCTTTTATTGTTGTTCAGAAATATACTTTATCTGGACAAATTTAGATGAACAAGCCACTAAAAAGAAAAAACAAACATTTTTTTAAACATCTTAGTTGGAACACACTTGCCAAAAAATAAATTTTACGCGAAAAAAAAAAATTTTAGAGTAATATTATTGGCACAAGATTTATTTTAAATTCTGCGTGCAAAGTCTTTGACGTCCCGGAATGGTCTACACTCTTTCCACCTCAACGAGATGGTCACACATTCTCTCCACCTCAACGTGATGGCCAAGGTGATCCACCTCTCCTCCATGCGCCCGAAATGCAGAGAGAGAAAACAGGCGAAAAGGAGGGGACTACTAAATTGTGTCTCATGCCGTCAATATTGCTCTAAAAAGTTTTTTTTTTTTTTTTGTGTGAAATTTATTTTTTGTCACACCAACCAGATTGTTAAAAAAAAACATTTTTTTTTTCTTTTCATTGGCCCTTGAACAAGACGTACAATAATAGTTTGGGGGTTTATTTCCATTCCCCTTACCAGTGTCTTCGAAGCTCTGGCTTGGGCACATTGCTTTGTGCCGTCAGTGCCACAGCTCAGCCAACAACAGCGTGTAAATGTCTGATCTCCGAAAATGGTACATAGCGTATGTGGCCTTGTCAGAAGTACTAGGACATCAATTCGTCGTTCACTTTTAGGGGCGAAGCTCCTTAGGGTCTAGTCTTGTCCGGCATCCGTGCTCACATCGATTGCCATCCCATCTGTCTTCTTAAAAAAAGGAAAAATGTTTGCGCAGTCGACAGGATTCGAACCTGTGCGGGGAGACCCCAATGGATTTCTAGTCCATCGCCTTAACCACTCGGCCACGACTGCGGGACCAGTAGGGGGCTCTGAGATGTGGTACTAACTCAAGGGCTGGAGATGTCATGGATGAAACGTTGCATGTAGCCACTCAACGTCTATACAGGAGAGTGTGCTGCGGCCAAATGTGTATATAATCGCGTTAAACTTTGCATCAGCACTACCTATGAACAAAATCAGTATCATCAGCACCACCAGAGCTTCGCCCCAATCAACATCATTCACCACATGGAGATGCGGTCATTCTTATTTCACTTTTTAGGGGGGAGGGGGCACAGTGCAAAATATGCTCGCATTAAATTTTGTATACCGTAAAGTCTCGTATGAACACCCGCCCCCGATAAATCGTCCATCCCGTTTTTTGGGCTGAATATCCATAACATAAAAATACTGAAACATATACTAGGTCTGCTACAAAACTCGACCTTTCTGGCTCCTGGGCTGCTCCAAAGTAGAACTCCTACTGCTTCAAAGCTGCTCCAAAGGGGCACCATTGCTGCTCCCGGACCTGCTACAAAAGGCTGAAGCTTGCTTCCCCTCCTGCAATCTGCATCTGTGCAGGCCTACGGTTCTGTTGTCACCACGACAGTCTGGTGTGGCGACGAGGGGAAATACTTCAATAGGTGGAAATGCTGGCGCTTTTAGTGTCCCGTAAGCATCCGAGATTTGTCAGAGTTTTAGCCACGGTCGGCTTGGGTCAAAGCCATCAGGTGTATTATTAAATTCACGCATGACAGATGACAAGAATGTTGTTTTGGATCGCTACTTCGCATCGCCTAATCCCAAACATTACTTTTGCGCTCGCACGGCTGCACGAGCGAGCAGAAATTGGTTTTCTTTTTTCGATGGGAGGGCTGTGGAGCAAAGGGGATTCATCTCATCTAGGACACAGCTTGTAATAGTTATAAAAATCGCCTGCACCTGCTGTATAGAAGTTTCCAAAAGCATGCAGTATAGTCTTGAGATCGGGAACTCTGTGCATTTGAAAGAAAGGCAAGTGTGCAGGCCAGCTGGTGAAAAGTCGACATAACACGAGACGGGGAAGGAGAAAAAAGACACTTAAAAAGAAGGTACAGCACACGACGTCTTCGGCGATGTCGTGTGTTGTCCCTTCCTTTTACGTGCCTGTCTTTTCCTTGCCTGTCTAGGGTTAAGTTACGTCAACTAGATGTCTTTCATTTTTGGGACTACTTGGCGAACACTTAAAACTTGCATTTGAATGTGCTTTCATCACATTGCGGAAGACACACTTTTAGGGTAATAACTAACCACATCTTCTCTCTCTTCCTCTTCTCTTTCCTCGCTCCCTCCTGGCAGACGCAAGCGGCCTGAAGGAGCCCGAGAAAGTGCTTGCCTGCAAGAAGCAGGTGCTGGAGGCGCTACAGGCCTACACCATCTCCCACTACCCGACGCAGCCCTCCAAGTTTGGGGAGTTGCTCCTGTGCGTGCCCGAGCTCGAGAGGGCCTGCCAAGTCAGCAAGGAATCCTTGGCCGCCTCGAGACGCATCGCCTCCTCGTCGGCTCACCTCGCGGCTTCGGCCTCGGCTGCGGCCGCTGCTGCCGATCCCCAGGCTCCCAGCTTCAACCTGCTCTTCGAACTGTTGCGGGGGGACCACTGAGATGGGCTACGAGCAACACTGGTGTACATAGGCGCATGGCATGGTGCGCTGCCACAAACTATGGTGTGCCTTCCGTGCGGGACCCTTCTTATTCTAAATGCTCGAATGGGGCGGCTCTTTGCAGCATGCTCCGATGTCTGTCGTTTTTCGGTTCTTCTAGTTTTTTTTTTTAATTTTCTTCCACGGTGCCACTGTTCTCGTTTTCGTGTCCCCACCCCCCTCAAGGTGCCCCTGGTCCTGAACCATCGTCTCCGCATCGCGACTCAACCAAGAAGAGAGCAGAGAGCAAGTATTGATGACGTTGGCTCGGCGATCTCTTTTTTTCTTTTTTCCGAGTGGTGGCCTTTGCCATTTTTTTTTTTTCTTCTTCATCTCTTCTCACGGGAGGCAGATACAAAGGATGACTTTTAAGTGATATGGCTGCGCATTCGGCTGCTTGGAGTGTTCCCTTTTAAAGGCTTCTGTCCGTCGATTGCTTTGGTGACCGTTTTAGGTCTTTCCTTCCGCTCGCGTGTCGTCTCGCGCCGATTGTTGTTGTTTCTTGATGCTTTCTTAGTCTCGCCTGTGAAATGCGCGAGTGCTCGTGGTTTCCTCTTTGTAGCTTTTTGTTGCCCATGCCATCTTTTTCTCTTCTTAACTTAACTTATGGTGTACAGAAAGAGTGTGTTGATTCTTTGACATCACCGAGTTAAGACATTTACCTTTTGACACGATTATCGAGCATTGGCCCACCCCGTGGGGCATCTGGTTCCCTCGTGACATCTTAATTTAAAAACAACTTTTATAAAATATAAAAGTTGGGAGACTACAAGTTTTATAAAATATGAAAGTTGGGAGACTATCTGGTTTTGGAAAGTAAAGAAACGATAAACCAGTGCCAGATGTACCTCTGTCCAGAGTGTTAACGAGGATTTTCTTTTCTGAAACGTGACTTCATCCTCTCGTCCCTTGCTTGTCTACTTCACGCGCCCCTAACCTTTTTTCGTCACTTACCGTTTTCTGCACCGTCCACTTTGTGTCAGCACGCCTTCGTAGGCCCAGCTATTCCTTCCGCCGTCTCGTGTGGACCACTTGCGGCCCGCGTGCATTCAACCTCGCAGTACAGGGAGCTGCTGTGATAGGAGGAAAACGAGAGTTCTTCATGCTCCCTGGTTACAAGTTCCAATTTGTTTTTGTGTGTGAATGTACTTAGGCGTACCACGCTTGTGCGGGTAGCACACCTTCCCATCTGCCCATTTGACTTGACACGACGGAACGCAAGAGGTTTCCCGCATCTCCAGTTCTTAGTTTCTGCCCTAGGTGATCCCCAGGCAGCATTTCTCAATACTCGTACAGTCTGGAATCACGTGGCAACCGAAGCTATGTCCGCGCTTTCCTTCCACTCGCTGCTGCAGCGTTCCTCTCGGTGAAGATACCAGACAGAAAGAGAAAGTGACACCTTTTTACACTTGTGTATAGGATGTAATGTACATTAGCTCGTGCCAAAACTTCTCTGCCCCCTCCTTGCTTAAAATTCTATGTACACAATTTTTTTCCCCTCTTGCCGTCACACAACTTAAAACCTCGTTAGCAAGTTCTTTTCTTTTTAATTCATATTATTTGTTATTGCCTTGTCCCGGTGTTTTATGCTCACTTGCTTGAGCTAGTTGCAATTACGTTCCCCACTCTTGCACCCCACCTGTTTTTTTTTTATCTTCTACCGTCCCCTAGGTTTGAGTGTGCGTGCCTCGGAAAGCCCCCGCACCCTAGTTTAGACGCTGTTGCTTGCACGCTACCACCTGGCCAACGGCGCACAAACCGGTGTTTTACCGGTCGCCTTCCCCTTCACCTCCCCGTTTTTCAAAGTATTTTTAGGCCATTCTAAGTACGGAGCATGCCATCCAGTGGTTTCGTGCGAGATTCAGTCCACCTTAAAAGCGCAGAGCACGACTGCTTCTGCACATTGCACCAATCGCATCCGGTGCCAATGACGTCGCATTTTCAGGAGAGACTGTGCGCCAAAACAATCTTGTACACTGTGAGGACTTCTGCAGAAGAACGTAAAGCGCAGAGTTAAGCTGAGCAGGCACGTTTTGAAAGCTCCTGCACATTTGAGCTTGCATCAAATGCACCAGCAGGATTTGCACTTTTTACTTTTTTATGACTGCACTCTCGTTCCTCGCACATGCTTTTGTCACGTAGCAGACACAACCACTTGCTGGGAGGAATACGGGGTGACCCAATCCGCAAGAGAGTGTCCTAGACGCAAGGTGCATTTAAACATTTCCAGTAATCCCTCGAGCGAAACTTACGGAAGGCACATTGTGGTCACCGACGAGATAAGTACGGCAGAGAGGTCCCTTCAGTTGTGTCCCGTCTCCAGTGCAAGCGTCGTGAGCCTGCAGCATGCACGCGCACCCAAGGCAAGGCGCGCATACTGGAGGTTAAGCATCATAAAGAGATTTGCCACCATTCTCACTTTGTCGGTGACTACAGCGGCGCCTGAACGAATGTAACAGGCATCCCAGTGCAACAACAGGGTTCTGTGAAGTCATCCTCGAACCCTGCATTTCACGTGAAACTTGCCCAATCAAGGAATTCTTCCGCGGTGGTAGAAAGGGATACTCGCTATATTTTAAAATGCTGTTTCGGTGGAACCGCGACTATGTGTCTTTTGGCCCAACTTGTGTTTTCCCGCACTGTCGGGGTGCCTTTTTTTGCAAGAGCGGAACAAGGTGCAGGCCTTTTTTTTTTTTTTTTTTAACCACTGTTTGGGGTCTTGCGAGTTGGAGATCAACACTTTTCCGTGTGACTCTCGTACGCAGCTTTCCTCAGTTTGCGCATGCGCATCCGCGTGTGCAAGGACCAATCGCAGCTGTCCATGTCTGTTTTTTGTCTACGTTTTTGTTTTTCGTTCCACACTTCTTTCCGAAACTCTTTGCTTCCTCGTGAAAGCGACCGGAAGCGGTCGCAAGCCAAAACTTTTAAGTTGTATTTATTGTACATAAGTTGGTTCGAAGAGGAGTGTATGGTCGCAAGAGAGAGAGGAGACATTACAAATGGTCGCTCGGACTAGTATTAGCAATTTTTAGGTTTTGTTTCTGCGGTTGTACAGCGAGTGTAGGATGGCGAGATGTCTTCATACCGGATCTATGCAGAATACCATCTGTAGTTGCGTTTCTTTTTATAATCTTTTTTTACTGCTGTCCGTCACACTCATTTCTTCAAAGTCATCAATCCAGGCCTTCCCCCGCCTTACCTGCCAGTCCCGTATCCATCGATCACCACACTTTTTCCCCGTCATCTGGGACCAAGTCATTCTGGGCAGGCGTTATGGAGAAGTAGGACTACGGTCTGGATCATCACACACAGTTTATGCAAGGCACATGCTGTGGCTGCTGCATGCAAAGTGCATATTACCTTCCTTCATGTGGGGCCATGCTGCCCCCAGGTCTGTGACCCCCTCCCTGCCCTGTCTGAAACGTGTCAGTTGAACAAATTCTCCGATATTCACTGTTCTTTTTTTCCTGTTTTTGTGGAATACTGTCGCTGTATGTGGGTATAGGTCATGTCTGTTAAGTGTTTCTGGTGCAGAAGTCGCTTCTTATTTTCACAGGCCGACGGACTATAGGTGGTCATTGAATTGTGCCGTAATCTGTGCAGTTTGACTAGACCTAGACACCTACTTTAAAGCTACTTGGAAACCGAAAGCTAGGCATTCGTGACGGGCACCAAAGCCCTCGCGCAAGGAGATTGCAGTTGCAGAATTTACTTTTATTCTATATTTATGTGTATGTTCGATAAATCTAAGTCAGGTTTCTGAATGTTTGTTTCGCTTGTACACCTTTCCAGTGATTATTAGCTGGGAGTATGCAAATATTCGAATTGTCATTTAGAATAACACATTATTCGAATTCGCTTCGAGATGAACCGCAATATCTGTACTTTTCGAAGTGTTCATCGCGGCAGGTTAGCCTCTTTAAGTGTGCTTCTCACCGAGCATTCGTGCTCTTAGGGGAAGCAATACCTACGAAGCTCACGGGCCTTACAGATGTTGCTTCACTGCAGTGCATGCGTGCTCGGTGAGAAGCAAACTCAACGGGCCTAACTCGCCCTGATTATGCATGTGTATATGTTAGGCTGCAATGTCTTGACAACCCGTGTTCATCAATCATGTTTGTTGTTTTTTTTTTGGTCAAATTTTATATATAAAGGTTATTTACATATAACAAGCGGATTGATACATCTTCCCAATTAGGATAGTTGCTACAAATTTGTCGTTCACACGCCACAGTTCATAATTATAGTTAAATTAAAATTCACTTCAGTTTGGAATGGACAAGTGGAAGCTTGGGAGTAACCTTCACAAGTATAGGTGGGTTTTCGTTTGTGCATGGTGCAGCGGTAGTGAAAGGCTTGAAACTATACGATATTCGATTAGAAAATATGCGGCCAAAACCACTTTGCTTTGAATTCACTTCAAACTTGCAATCTACTTTTCGCACATGCATACTATTACCGAAGCTACAGGTGCAGTGTCACTGGGTCATGTACGCTTGCGTGGCGACCAATATTCTGCAGAAAACAGCTGGCTTGCAAGCTTGGATTGCATTCCACAGCTCGGTGGACCAAGGTGCCTGTTGGAATGGTCTATACTAGCACTGTGTCTGGCATGTGTGTCAGGTTGTGGAAACTCTGAAACATTGTATTGTCCGCCGGCCTGTGAAACTGTTCAAAGCTCCACCAAACACGCTTTACGGCACACGTTAGAGCGAATGAAATTTTCACCGAATGGCACCGACTAGCTGCTTGGACAAATATTGTCTCGCACGCCTTACTTTTTGTAATGGAGTTGCCCAGATCGCTCATTCGAAAGCAGGGGTTTGATTTGGAATGTTGCGGTGTTTTGCGGTCCTTCAGAGTTCTTTACGGAGCTGATTTTGTTTCTGAAGTCGACCGTGTCTTACATTTGTGAGGGAGAACGGAGATTCCTTTGGCCAGGAAGGAAAGAAAAGACCATTTGTGACTTTTTGAAACGCCTGCCCACCCTGCTCCGCCGTTAAACGGTTCCTTCGTGACTGATCTGAGTGAAGGAGCGAAGTGGCTTTAAAAGCGGCTACCTTTTGGAATGTTTTAGCAGATTTGACAGGGGCGTTCCATTTGTTGAGCCCCATACTTGTTAATTTTAAGCTTTCCTTTCACATTGCTCTTTTGGCTTAAAGGTGGTGCATCCAGTATTGTCGACAGAGGCAGCTAACCACTTTCCTGCCCGTTGATGGGTTATTGCCGCGACAAGCACATTTCAGCTTTTTTCTTTTTCCTGCTTCGTTATATTTTGCTACCTAGGTACTCTTCGGTTGTGTCGGTTTGGGTTTTATGAATTCTTTTTCTTGGTGAGCTTTTCACAACCTTTGTCTTTTTCTTGAAGAGTGGCATTGACCATGTTTGCTGTGTCTTAAACGCGAGAGAAAAACAATGATCCTTTCGTGTGGAAAACTTTATGAAAGTTGCCGACAATTGGAGAGTAGAGTATTTGCGCGTCTCGGTTCCAAGCATGCAACAGGCACTTCGAATCAGGTTATTCGCTGCATACATTGTTTGGTTGTGGAGTTTGGAGAAAGTATCGGATGCACTGTCAGCATACGTTGTGCCCTTATTGCGTTTATTTCGAGCAACTCGTTACGCAAGACTTCTGGCAGAAAACAACGCGTGAGGAAATGGCAGGTGGCTTGCCTGTCGCTGCCACCAATTTGCAGCAAAAAGTCCATATGTGAGTTGCGTCAGTTTGCTGATTTAAGACCGTCTTTTGCCCTTTGGAGCCTTTTTCCTGGTGAGATGGGGAGCTAGCGTGCAAAGTAGACTGTATCTTTTTGGCGTCAACAATCCCAGTGACGAAGAGAAAAACAAGTACTGTCCCGGTGGTTTTTAGTAAACGAAAGATAGGTGTGTTTTCTAGTAAAAGTGTTTATGGTGGGATTTATGCAAAATGTGCAGGAGGAGACGAGAAAGCGATTGAATATATACGGTGCTAGAGGAATCCGTTTTTTTTCTACGACTACGGTGCCACATTTTTGTATCTGTGAACGTGTGCGTGCATGTTTGGAGTGTTTGAAATGCTCGTGACACATGGATGTGATACTAGTAAATATTTCTTTGGGTTTCTTTTTTTTTTTTTTTTTTTTTGCTAGAGCTAAACTTTGGTCATCATTTTTTTAACTTATTGCATATTTCTGTTGAGAATACATGTTGTGCATTCTGACATTACACATAACACCCACATCATGCTTTGAGAAGTGTGAATCTCAATGTTGCTGCTGTTTTTTTATTTTGCCTTCTCAGTAATTCTTCTCTTGACCAGTGGATGCGTCACATTCTAAGCAAGAAGAGATGCCGAGTCAGAAACTGTCTATGCTACAAAAGTGGTGTGTGTTGTCCCTGTGGTGTAATTTTTCGTAATTTTTCCGTCACCCTCTCTACTCTTAATTGACGCATACTGTCGGTTGTGGTGTGGTTAAGGTTTCATAAGTGAAAGCGAAAGAGTGTATCAGAAATCAAAATAGACTCTCAGACCCATCATACCTCATCCTCTGGGGATAACCATTGCATCCTTTTTTTTTTTTTTTTTTTTACCTGTATATACAAGTGACATGCCACCACCACCACCCCTGGGTTTTTATAACAACAATAACAGTGCGGAAAGAGAGAGAGAGAGGAAAGAAAATGAGGCAAACAAATTTAGGAGCTGTGCTGCGAGGCACACTTATTTTCTGGACCTTTTTATAGTTTGTATACTGTGGGGCCTAACCCAATTTAATAAAGATTTGCTTTGCAGTAAGTGTTGTGTGCCTCTTCCTATTTCTGGATATTAAAAGGCCGGACAAAAGCTCACCCTTTTTCAGCAACACCAAACAAAAATTCACCTTTTTTTTATTTTGCCAATTGGAACATTTTTTTCGGCATAAAACGGGCTGTGCAAACAGCATGCAGGTTAAAGATAACTGCCATTCTAGAAGATATTCTTTGAAGCCAGATATCTAAATAAAGTTTTACAGGTTGTGTTGAGCATAGTTTTATTGGTCCGGGAGTCTGCAATTACTAGTACGGCATGTTTGGTAAAAGGACAGGAGCTTGCCTATCTTTTGGCAAACCTAAACCGGAGCTCACTTTTTTTTTTTTTTTTTGATAAGTTTAATAAAATTTATTTGGGCTAAATTGGGCTGGGCTAAACTGTGGGCTAAATGGGTTCACATGAACAGCCCTTTGAAAAGTATATGCTTTGGACCTGTTTAATTAAAAACCAAGATCAAACTTTTAGAGGTGCTGGGATTTTCCCTACGAGTGGATCACTCGATCAGGATGACCGTGCTCCGACGATGACCAAAATTTTCCTTGGGGGTGTGGAATATGTACAAGGCCACAGTAATTGACGAGGACGGGACCAATAACTATAGTGTGAAGGGTAAAATAACTGCTTCCACGAGCTTGTGGGACATGATCATCCAAGTGTCTGGAGGCTGAACGAAAGTCTTCAACAGGATAAAGTGTTGGTCACGGTAGCTTTGCTGCAATCACGCCATGGTGAACCCCTGGTAAAGAGGGTTTGGAAGGCAACGAAGGGTCTTCAGAACCGCCTGACAAAGCTGCTTTTATAGAATGCGCTGCTTAATTTGTCATGTTATTGGAGCTCGTGTAGAAAAGCAAACAATTTTTTCCGGGTGAGCTATTGTCCGCTGAAAAATCCGGTTAGCTTTTGTCCGGTGAGTTTCTGTCCAGGATTCGGCATAATTTAGTCGTAATGCTTTTACGATGCAATCTGAATATTTTTCTTTGTATGGTCTTGTATCTCTTTTCGATTTATTCTTTTGATCTCAAACCTTGCTGGAGTCATACATACTTTTTTTCACTTTTTGGGCTGTTTTACTTAACGGCTAGTTTCCCCAGGATCATGTCCCCCACAAAGATATGTCGACACAAAACTCTGGACAGCTACCACCATCTATGAGCAACGGCGGCAACCAGACAATCGGCTTGCTGGCCTTGTTCGTAGATGGCGACAACATTTCCACTCTGGTCTTCACCAGAGTGGAAAGGCTGAATTTCTCTAGGCGTCGTCCTTGAGGTTGGCCTAAACGTCGTCTTAGAAGTTATCCTTGAGGTCGTCCTTGGTGTCATCCGAGAGGTTGTCCTCGAGGTCGTCCTAGAAGTCATTCTTGAGGTCATCCTAGACGTCTTCGTAATCGTCCTTGGGGTCGTCCTAGGCGTCGTCCTTGAGGTCGTCTAGATGTCGTCCCTGAGGTCGTCCTCTGGGCGTCGTCCTCGAGGTCGTCCTATACATCGTCCTTAAAGGCCGACGACCAGACTCGAGATTCTGCAAGGCAGAAGATCCTCCTCACCCTGGGGGTGAGGAGGATCTTCTGCCTGAGGAAACAGGCAACGGTGGACAGGGAAGAAAAGGGGAGAGGAGGAAGCGGGGGAAAAGTGGAAAGCGCGAACTGGTCGTCGGTCTTTAAGGTCGTCCAAAAAGTCGTTCTTGAGGTCGTCTGACCATAGTACAGCTTCGTTGGTCTTCCTTCTTCACCAGAGTGGAAAGGCTGAAAGTTTTTTTGGGGGCAGCTCTCGTGTTTAGTAGGCGAATTTTTGTTTAGGTTTGAAAAATTCAGTGAGCTGCTTTTGTCTGGTTAAGCTTCAAACAACTTCTGCCCTGTGAATATATTTTTCTTTCTGGTGAGATTTTGTTTGAGTTTTACGTGAGTAACGTCTGTATTCAGATGTCCGTAATGTCTAGCGTTACGTACCGATGGAACCCAGAATAAAAATTAAGTTACGTCCGACGTAACTTTAATTTTTATTTCGCGTTCCGTCGGACGTAACGCTAGCACTGCGAACATTTTTAGGGCGGGGAAAGAGGGGTTCTCAAAGATTTGACTGCACCACCGCACTGACCTTCACCTCCTCCTCCTCCTCCTCCTGGGAACACCTGCTCCCGCCACTGCGAGAAACCGAAAGTGATATCAAATCGAGTGGGATTTCTGACGTTCATTCGAGAGTTTTTGCCTGCAGCTTTATATACCCGGTGACAACTCTCAGATGTGAAGACCGCGCGTCGACAGCGGGGATCGACGCACGTTAAATAACCTTTTCCTCCTTGCACGATTTGTAAAAGAAAGTCTAAAATTAAAGGCAAGGGTTAACCTGCTGTTTTCGGTTTCATAATCTCTAAACGCAATTAAAAAAAAAAAAAAAAAAAAAAAAAAAAAAAAAACCACTTGCGTGTAACGAATTAAATTCAGGTAAATACTTTATATGTTCCATAGCCTTAAAATATATTAAATTCCGCCCCGTGTTAATGTGGGAAAGAGCACGACTGTCACGATTTGACACGACTTGACGGAAACCAACGTTGACGGAAACCGACCAGTGACCACAGGACCACAGTGCGCATGTCTCGTTGGGGGCTGCCAACATGGCAGACGATGTCGACCGAAAACAGAAAGTCGCAGCCGGTTTAAAAAAGGTACGCCGCATTCCCGTGCCCTTAGAAAAACTCGTACCTTTCACCGATTGACCCACAGAATCGTCGTAGCATGTCCTCGCCACCGAACATTGTCGGAGGCTCAAGGATACGGGCGCTGGCCGCCTAGTAACACCGCAAACACACGCTAGAGTTCCAGATATTTAGCTCCTGACGCAGCTGACACGTTATCAACTGTACGGGTCGACACTCCGCGTTGAGCTTTCTGTAGCTTGCAGAGGAAGTTACGTGAAATCCAAAAGCGGCCAAGATTCTCGTAACATATGTCCGTGGGCGGGGCTTGTTGTGGGCTTGACGAATATGGGAAAATAATTGCCAATTCGGTGATCGCTGGCATGTTCTTTTAGAAAGTAGTCGCACGCAGGCTTACATTTCTTAGATAAAAAACGTGTCAGTTCGGCGTTCTCATTGTAATCAACCTGGGTCCATCTCTTGCAGCTAAAACAGTTCCAGCAGAGATCCGCAAAGAAAACTACGAAGCGTAAATCTTCGGAAAGCATCTCGCCGCCAACTGTGCAGGTGAGTAGGATCAGCGCAGTGATATTTTTTTTCTTCTTAATTTGATCTCTTGTTTTGTTTGTTTGTTTCTTTTTAAATCAGAAATTAATACCATCTGACACATTGGCTTTCTAGGAGCTTCAAGAAGACACACCAGAAGTATGCTTTCTGGAGCAAAGGTCGGTTGTATCTGTTTTCGAACGTCTTCGAGCCGAGAAACAATCGAAGCAGTTTTTGCCTACGTGTGAATGGATTGATTAAACATGACGCGGTACTCGTTGACATTGAAAAACGCCAACTTCATAACGATTTTTTTTTTCAAGCTCCTCCATGGCTTTGCCGTCTAAACCGAAGGAGACCCAATCATTGACTGCTCACTCCTGCCAGGACCTCTCCCAGTTAGCAAGTGAGGACCAGCCAAGCAATAGGTGAGCGATTGGTTCGGTATGGACAGCGTGCTGGATTCCTGCCAGTACCAGCGACCTAGACCCAGTTACATAGACTTTTGTGGCTTAGTTACGTGTTCCAATCAGGACTGCATGTGCTATCAATTTTCCCCCTTTTCAAACTGATGCCTCAAATTTTTTAATTGAATTCTGTTAGTGAGGATCCCAAAAATGTGCAACTATGTTTTGCTACTGTACTGTTGTGCTCAATTAAATTGTATGATTCCACGTTGATCAACAGCATAAATTTGGACTTCCGAGCTCGTTAACCGTAGCATTTCATTTATCTTTCCTGCCTCGCACAGCACAAGAATGGAACCACGGCCCTGGTCTGATTGCTACCATCACTGATCGTAACCTGTTCCAAAATGCAATCTCTAACCATTTTTGCAGTGATCCGTGACCTGTCGGATTGTTTGCGCGTGATCTTATTAGTATTGTTCATTCGTTACACTTTTACACGACATACTAAAACCAGAGACAAAGGCAAAAAAGCAAAATAAACACAATGTCTCAAACACAGCTATAACAACCAGCCCGCCTGCCCAATGACGTCGTCTGCCTACGTTTTCATGCATCCACTCACCCCCTCTTTAATGCCTTTGGGCCCCAAGGGGACATTCAATAGATACATAATTAATGTTTCTATTGGGCCCAGTTTTACTGTGTTTCTTTCTGTTTTTCTTTATATACTGCCTTATATTTAAATTTGCCGTGCGCACGATTGTATCGAGTCTGGGGGTTTAAAACTCTTCCCGCGATTCTTACTGCAGTCTTGGTTGCTGAAGCGCTGGCTTATCTGTGGACTGACAACATTGATGCCTTTGACGCGATTGCATCCAGGGTGCTGTCGTCTGCGGAGAGTCTTCGGCAGATCACGCTGCAGCTAAACGGCCTGATGAACGACACCAACGCGGCTCTCAACGGAGACATTGCGGCGCTCGCGGACAGCTCCGGCGCCCCAAGGAACGATGCCCTCTTGCGGAGGAACCAGGAGCTGGCTACGAGCCTCGAGTCCCTGCAGCAAGACAGGGACCAGCTCGAGTTTCAGTTGCAGGAGCTGGTATGTACCACCTCTGCGCCCGTAACATGTTTCCGACCTGTGCGTCTAGCATTCTACTTTGCCTACTCATCGATGTTAGTCCCGTAGTGGCAATGTACGACATCGCGGAAGCCGGAGTGTCGCGCTGTTGGATGTCGCGGTTCTGGCGGTATAGTGTGGAAGTTCCGGAAAAAAAACGAGAGAATGCGATTGTCGTCGTTGTCGCGGCGCCCGAACTCCCAGCTGCCAAAGCCTCTGTGAACCAGTGGTTTGCAGGGCGATCTGTGGCAGAACAGACATCTGTCACGTCTGCCGTCGCTGCCGCGACGCCACCAGGATCACGGCTGGCAACGGCTCTATGTCAGGTGGAAATTAAAATTCGAATACGGGAAGCACACCAGTCAGAGGTGCGTTCCAGGTACAGTAGCCTCACGTCTCGCTCCCGATGCAGAGGGGCAAGCTGACACGGCAGCAGCGTGAGTTCGAGCGTGAGCAGCAGGAGCGGGAGGATCAGTCCCGGCGCGAGCTGGGGGCCATCAACGACCAGCTACAAGTGCACATCCAGACCATTGGCATCCTGGTGGCCGAGAAGACTGAGCTTCAGTCGGCACTCTCCCAGAGCCAGCAGACCGCCAAGCAGAAGGCCGGTGGGTGGTCCCCTCGCTTTTACGCCTTGTTACGAGCACTGTAGCCACTGACGGCGTTAGAGGGACACCGACACCCCCCAAAACTTCTGTTTTATTCTTTTGCCAGGCCTGTACCTGCATTTTTATCGTTTGTACACCTTACTTGTCAAAGCTGAGCAATGAAAGCTATTTGTACCTGTTTATATATACCTCTTTGCAAGTCAGTTTTATCACGTGTTACACTGTCATGCGGAGTTTTGCTTCATATGTTTTGTCTAGTTTGCGCGTAATTTTGTGAAAAATATTTGCAACTAAAAGTTTCTTGAAACTACCATTAAATTCACATTCATGTTAAGTTCACCTGCATGACATATTTTCTTTAGTTCCGAAAACCAGGTGACTATTATCCTTCATTTTAACTCTTAAAACTCGTATGCTGCTCCCAACTTGCTCCAAGACCTCATTTTTGCTGCTCCCAGCCAGCTCCAAACTGTAGTTGTTTCTGCTCCCAAGATTGCTCCGAAGCTGCTTTGCCAAGTTCCATATCTGATAATAGGAAATTTTTTTTTCTTTTTTATAGTGGAGACGGAAGAGCTGCAAGGAAGACTGAAAGCGGCTCGAGAGAGAAACACGGACTTGGAGCGAAAGTTGAACTCTGTCAGCAGCCAGAGCCAGGTTCAAGAAAAGGTGAGGTTGTCTTTAAATATTTTTGTTTGTATAATATATTTTGTAATGGCGTCACTAAGGCGACTGGGAAAATGCCTAAAATATGCACACATACCTCCTAGCTCGGTTCGTGCCACTCTCTATTGTCGCCGCAATTCCCTTTGATTTCTAAGAGCTTCCCGTGCCGTGAATGAATGTGCTTCTTTGATTTTACAGAGTTCCCAAGAGTACCTCAGGGAAATTGAGAGGCTCAAGACAGAGCAGTACAAATCAAGGTCAGTGTTTGCAGATTGTTGCCCTGTCTTACAACTGCAGTGGTAATGGTGGCAATATCTTAAAATGAATTCCATTGCTTTCTACATTGCTCAGCAAATCAATCGAAGAACTGAAGCAAGAACTTTCCGAGCTGAGCAACAAGCTTGGCAAGAAGGTCAGTTTGCCTCACAACTTTATGGGTGTACTGCTCATGTAAAAAACAAAGCAGGTAATAAAAAGAAAAAAAAAAAAAAGAAAAAAAAAAGTTCCTAGACTTTTTTGTGCGTGGGATCAGCAGGAGTAGAAGTTCGGGGTAAAGAAGAACTTTACAATGAAATCCGTGGTGGCAATCCTCATTGGCACTTTAGGCGAAGGACAATGAAGCCCTGCAACAGGAACTTGGCGACGTGAAGAAGGAGCTGTCCCTGGCGCAGCTTTATGCTCAGCAGCTCGGAGGCGCTCAGGCTTCTGAGAATGTGCACAGCCAGTTGGAGGAGCTCCACCAAGAGAAGTTGGACATGGAGAAGAAAGTCAACAAGGTGAGGTGTTCCTCGTGGCACTTGATTTTTAAACCGGCACTGCTGAGAAGCTAGTACCTACAACATACTGAGCATTCCAGATTGTCAAAGTGCGTCTGCGTTCCAACGAGCACGGGCCCGTCTTTTTCACCGCACGAGATTGTTGCAACATTGAAGTGTTTTTTAATGCGAAAGCATTACCTGGGGGGGGGGGGGGGGGGTTCACGTGGACCGAGCCGATGTCATCAGTTTGAAGCGCGAAAACGGCACCTTAAATCCTTTCTCCAAGTGCAGCCAGCTCCCAGCTATGAAACCACGCGAAAAGCCTGGACATGCCACCTAGTTTCCCCGATCCCAAAGGAGCGAAATAAAGCTGATGAATTTTTGGCTTTGGTGCCATTGGCTGCTGCACGTCAGTTTGAACGATCGCTCACCCAATGGCGCTTTGTGTCCGTGAGGCAGCGGCTCCACCATTCCACGCCCAAGGTCAGCGCGCTGTACGCCGCAGACGAAAGAAGGGAGCGAAAAGTGGCGTGCGTGCTTTCGCATTCACAACACGTAAGAAGTGCTTAAATGTACCTTGAGCCTTTATTTGTCTTCCATAAATAACTTCATCTGCATTTCTGTCCCAGTTTAAGGATGCGATGGAGCAGATTGCAGCAGAAAAGCAGCAGATGTCCTCTCACTACCAATCGTACGTGGACCGGCTCTCTCAGCAGTTGGAAACAAGCAAGGCAATGGTCAGTTTCTCTCGATTTAAAATGCACGGCGGACATGCGTTGCGTCCTGTTGGTTGCTAGTTGTCCCTGATGGTACCATCGAGACATGTAATGTTGCAGTAACTTCTCAAAATTGCTTCCAGCAGTGGCGTAGCCAGGGGGAGTGGCGTAGCCGGGGGGGGGGGGGGGGGGGGGGGGGGGGCTTATGGTGCTTCAGCCCCCCTCTCCCTCTCTGCACACCAAGTCACAAACATCCCTGCCACCTCAGCCAAGCACCCTCCCCCCCCCCCCCCCCCCTAAAAAAAATTTCTGGCTACGCCACTGGCTTCTAAAGACATTGGAATAATTTCTGTTGTTTTGAAGTGAACATTTGACACCCAATGATGGGAATCAAACGGTGCTGGTTGTCGAGCAAACTGATGCTGAATTAGCAAAGACGTGGTAGCGCTCGAAGACAAGGACAAAAGGAAGAGAATTGGATGCCACTGTGTGCTAACTTTCAATTATTAATTCACGGGAAAAGATGAAACTATATATACATTGTGCCATTGCACCACCCTCAGCCAATCCGGTGCCTCAGCACATTTTGCAAGAATGTGATTTCCTTAATTAAGTGAAGTGAGATATGTAATACTCTACAAGGTTTACTACCTGGGCCGGTTTTCTCAAAGCGATGGTAAATCCATTTTGGTAAACCACGGTGCCTAGGAAGGGAAAAGTAGCTAGGTACTGTAATAAACGGCTGGATATAGAACAACAATTATTATTTTTGATTGGGCAATAAGATGCGCCATCTATCGGTGAAACAAGCCAGTCATTTTGTTTATCCTCTTTTTCCGCTGGTTGTCATCGATCTAGTATGGTATTTTAAGTCAAAATATAGTAATGTTGTACTTGAAGACCAATTTATTTGCTTCCGATGGTACGAAGAAATTTGAGCTATTATGCTATAGTTTGTCGACGAATATTCGAAAATGTAAGAAACATTTCCTTCAATATGTTTCGCCATAAACAACGCATAACTTACCCGCATTTCTTCCAGTCTGGCAATGCCGGTGCTGTAGTCTCGTTTTCGCTCCTTGCGACGCACGTTTCTGCGATTCCTGCTGATCTCAACTGTTTGCCCTCTCTTCCGTTTGCCCAACCGATTCGCCGGTGACGAGAAGCTAAGCTTCTCGTCACAGTTGAATTGCTGGCCACCGGGGATATGTAGAAACCTCAATGCTGTCGGCATACTGCCGGCGCACTGTGGACAAAAAAACAGTACAATGTCTCAGCTGTTCACCCCGAACGAAGACTTTATTGTGGATAACCCCCTTTCTCCGCAAAGTAATCGCTGCTCATGAGTTGGCGTGCATAGTGTAACAAATTAAACATCTTAGCATAAATATGTACCAACACTCGTTTGCAAAACATTTTTTTTACTCACCATAAAAACACTTGCAAGGCTTATGTACCGTCATATGTCTTGGATCCCAGACTGCTGAAGAGTGATGCGTTCGCGGAATGCTGCTGTCGGTTAGTTTAGTAGTCCCTCTGAACTATCGCTTTGCTTGACGTGCTAATAGGTTGATGGTGAGTCATTAATATAACAGCCAGATCGAAATGAATGTTCAGCAGAACCAAGCAGAACTATTAGCCCTCATTAAGCGACGCTGTGGCCATTTTGCTTCTAGGTACTGCTCCTCCCTCGGCGCCCCTGCTCTCCCAGTCACGTGACCTGGAATTCCCCCTTCTAGGGACAATAGTTAACTTTAAACCACGGTTTGCGTTCGAAAAAACGGGTCCTGGTGTAAACTTTAGTTCACCTAAAACATGCTACTCATCTGAGTGGCAGATTCTGTTTGACTGTGCAGTTTGTTTTCTTGGATCTCACTGGGCCCCAAGGAATTGCTATCAAGTGTGACTAACATTGTAATTTATGCTAAATTCATTGTAGATGTGTCTTTTTGCTGTCAATTTTCTTGACAGTTCCATGTTCTCTTTTTATTTATTTCAGCTACTGCTGCTTTGCCTAAGCCACTGGCTAGCCGCAGTTTGTCCACTGATTTGGACATTTGTGTTTAATTGTTTTCTGTGTTATAAAGTGAAAATTACTATTTTTCTCGATTGACTCACAAGGTGGAGAAACTGACTCAGGAGAAGGTGGAGTTGGAGAAGAAGGCTGTCGAGTTGGAGAGCCGGCCACTGCCATCGTCCGTGCCGGGTGGGACTTACTTTCTTAATATTTGGATGAAACGAAAAGCATGGGTGACTTGCTTTTCAAATGGCTGGAATTTATCTCCCCGTATCTCTCTGCATCACAGCACCTGAGACGGAGGAATTGAAACTCAGGCTGGAACAGTGTCAGCGGGAGCTAGATTCACTCCGGAGCTCCAGCGAAGCGCAGGTAAGGAAGGCCATGCGATATATATTGTTCACTGTGCTGTTGAAGAGTCTTCTCTAATTTAGAATGTGTGCACTGTTTTTTTTTCTTAGTACGTCTAAAGTAAAGTACCCTTTATATCGCCAGCAAAGTCAATTTAACCAAATGTATGACAACATGGTGCACCAGCCAATCCGCATGCTGTATGTGCACTATTAACTGAAGATTAATTGAATTGAAGCATTCGGTCAAACTGAAGCATCCGGCTGAATCGAGAATTAAGCTGAATAGACTCTTTTCGAAATTTTGAAATGATGCATAGATTATGTGCAGCCGCTATTAGTTGGTCATGCACTGGGAGCACGCATTAAACATGAACACCCCGTCAGCATTTGGAGCATACTCGGATTGAAACGCATTTCACGCGAGTGCTGCGTTGGCGCTCGGTGCGAACTTGGAACCGCTCACAGGCTTCACGCGGAAAGCGGGGAAACCAACTAATGGCAGCTACGCATCCTCTATGCGTCATTTCACAGTTTTGGAAAGCGTCTATTAAGACATTCAGACGAAGCATTCAGTTGCATCAATGCTTCAGCAGAACGGACAGCTCGGACGAACCGAGATGTTGCCCTATTTGATGCGGGTTGGATCTCTGCCCAAAAAAGTTAGACGTTTACAATCCCCTGAAACCCCGAATTAGAGTGCAGCTCTTGAGGAGGTGGAGGGAAGGGTACTGAGGGGAGAAGGTGGAAAGTCCCCTACTACTAACATGGGTGTGGATCGACGTGTGCTTAACGCAAGTCGCAGAAAATGCACATCTTTGGTGAGAGCATCGCATGTAAATTTGGCGGGAATTTAGTGGGGCAATTTTTTCCCGTAACTTTAGCGGGGAATTTTTTCCCCTAACTTTAGCAGGAATGTTTTCACTAGAGTTAGCGGGGAAATTTTTTCCACTTAATTTAGCGGGGAATTTTTTTCCTTAACTTTAGCAGGGAATATTTTCCTCTAGATTTAGGAGGGAAATTTTTTCCACTAGAATTAGCGGGGAAATTCTTTCCACTAGATATAGCGGGGAAAGTTTTTCCGCTTAATTTAGCGGGGCAGTTTTTCCGCGAGTGACGTTGCACATGACGTCACTGATGACGTTATCAGTGGTGTCACGCGTCCCCTAATGAACCGCGCAGTTACGGCGACGGTGACGCCGCTCAAGCCGGAAACGGGCACCTAAGACCTGCGCTCCAAAGACACGACTCGCATATATGCAGCTTTCACCGCACCAATAGCTTAGATGGCAGCCTTTCGGACGGTAAGAACGCTAACACGACTATTTTGCATCCGCCTCCGACAGGCGAACGACAATCAGCAGCTGAGCCTCTTGGTGGCGGAGCGGGAGGCGAGGGCAGAAGAGCTGGAGCGGCAGCTAGCTCGAATCAAGGAGGATCATGTGGAGAGCAGCCGCCTGCTGGAGACGATCCAGAGCGACAAGGTGGCCGCCAGCCGAGCCCTGAGCCAGAACAAGGAGCTCAAGCGACAGCTGGAGGAGATGCAGGACGTCTTCGTCAAGCTGGTATGTGCCCTGGGCCTGCCCGGTCAATCTTCAAGGCTGGTTCACACACTAGCGACTGCTTACGACCAGGTGCCTCACAACCTCTTGGGATCTCTTACGTCCAGAAATTGGGTCCATATATAGGGCGGTACACGTGTCATTCTTTTTTCTTTTCAAACACCATTCTTTCTTTCTTGACCTTAACAGCTTTCAACAATGTTACAAATGACCATTTCTCATGATAGTATGTACATTTCTCGCAAGTACCGCAAAACCTTTGCTCTAGTGAAACGAAGTTCCAGGGTCACCTTATAGATGGCGGCAGCGTGCCAGTGTATTTTCTCGTCGCGAGAGATTTTAAGAACTAGGTCGTAAGCGAACGCTACTGTGTGATTGAGCCTTTTGGGAGGCCCGATCATACACTTGGGCGATACCATCTCTAGAAGATGGGTTTCCTACTTTTAGGGTTGTGTTCTTTGATATAATCATCTAGCAAAATATTGTTGCCGGGCTAGTTGGTGCATTTTTGTGGTACAAATAAAACGGTGCTGACAGGACAAAGCCGAGCAAGTAAGACGGGGCACGGGCTCTAACTTTCAACTAGCTTTATTTGGGAAAGTTTGCATAGTTTGAAGCGGTTGTCACTCGAGGAAAAACGAATGGACTGGCACAGAAAACAGCAAAATACCCCCTCTGAAATCGGCACTTTTGTGCCGTACTGTCGCCGTCGGCGCTAGGACAAGCGACCTGCCAGGTTGTGGAAGAAGCTTTGGTTTGCCTAGTAGGGCTTTTCAGTTTCAGTCGTGGAACCCTTCGACAAATTGAAGTTGATGCTTGCGAGGGCCATAGATGCCGCAGAAGGCCAGAACAGTGGTGCCTTTTGTAGTGTCCAGGGGTGCAAGTTTGGTACCGATCCTAGGATATTAAGGGAGGCCACTACCGAAAAGGGTCAACTTTTGAACCTTTGGCTTAATATGAATGAAATTTACAGCATATACTGGCACTTGTGACACACAATGCAGTGCAAAGTTTCATTTGTGTACACAAATTGTGAAAGAAATCATAGTCGTTTCTATCGGGAACACACCGATGCGAAAAGGTGGAACGGAGAAAAATGCGTTCAAGGTGCTTAGACCTCTACTTTTTCTTTAGCGTCGGTGGAAGGAAAAACACTTATAAAAAAATAACTATGCAATGTAAACAAATGAAACTTTCTGGGAATACTCTAGACGTAAATATGGCATTTTTCAAAATCAACTTTTTTTTTTACAGAATTTTTATTTTTTCTGAGTAGTCTCGCCCTTTAAATAGATTCGGCAAACTGTAGTGATATCCCAGTCTTTTGCCCGGAGCACCCGACCTTGTTGCATGCAGCTTTACAGATTGGCTGTTGGCAACTTGGAATCCTTGAAAACCTCAGGAATCGTCCCGTAACCGGCGCTTGCGCGGCGCCACTTACGTGCTACGGCTTTTCTGCATCCTTTGGCTTGTATCGGTGCGGATTCTCACATGGCTTTGCCCTCCTTATCCCTCCCTCCCTCGCTGCCTGGCTCAGAGCAATGACAAGCTGGAGCTGACCGAGCAGCTGCAGAAAGAGCAGCATGTCACCAAGGAGCTTGGGGAGCGCTTGGGCCAGCAGGAGGACGAGCTCAAGGAGCTCAGGGACCAGGTCAGGGCTCGCACGACCCTTCCCCGATGCAGTGCATATGAGACGCATTCACTAACAATACTGACATGTTCCTAGCTTTTGGTTCGTTATTCTTAAATGGAAGCTGAAGCACTTTTCAGAAAACCTGAATTAGAAGCGGGCTTCTATGCGGAGCGCAAGTTTTTCCGTTTTCTGCTTTATTTTTGCTGGGGTTGTGGTGACGTCAGAACGCCGAGCTCCGATTGGGTCTGATGGAAGGATAGTGGGTAGATCTCAAGGCAGCTTGCTTTGAGGTCTACCCACTATCCTCCAGTCAGAGCCAATCAGAGCTTGGCATTCTGACATCACCACACCATCTGGAAAAGATGCAGGTAAACTTGCCATCCGCATACCTTTTTGACTCGTGAATTTGATTATCACATTTGAATTGGGCAGGATTAAATGTAAACCGCCTCGATTTTAGGAAAACCAGCAGCGATTGAAGCAGGTCATCCGGCGAGCCTCTATGCTGCCTGTTCTCTGCCCTAGGCGTCGCGAAGTCATCGCGGGCATCTCGGAGCCAGCTTAGTGGCGAGCAAGGGTTATCTGATCCCGGCCGCCGACATGCTAGTATAAAACGTGTGTTTTGTAGGCTATGGATGGAAAGGATTAATTGTAGGCGGTTTTTAGTGAGAGTACAAAAAATCATTGCGTGGCCCTTTTAACCATTTGCGATCAGATGTCTGCCGTTGCCCGACACGGTGCTCCGGCGCTGCTGTTCCGCTCTTTTTGCTATATCAGTGCCACCATGTCTCGGGAAGTTTTGTCAACACTTTATTCTTGTCGTTCGAGTTCCTCCCATAGGGAGCAAAACCGTTCGTGAGCGGAAGACTTGTTCACGCTTTAAATTTTTCTGGCACAACTAAACGTGGCTTTGTATTTGCCACGTTTTACGGAAACTCGTTGCGTGACTGGGTCCAAAGTGAAGACGATCTTAATGACGACGACAATTACGTCCCTCCTTCCGATGACGAGGAGACATCCTCCGCCGATTACAACGATGAAGATGAAGCGAGTGTGCTAGACAGTCCCCTTTACCCTGAAGAATGCTTCGAAAAGTATCGCACATTGCCAAAGTTTCGCCAGAGGAACGTAAGGAAGCAGAAGCACCGCAAAAAAAAATACTTCACGTTGCTTTCGTACATGGCACTAATTTTATTTCCCCTGACCCATTTCTGCAATGAAATTTCTGACTGGATTGACCGCAAAGTCTGTCGGGGTGTCTGACCATGAAGGGTTAAGCGCGACAGAGCGTGCGTCGACCCACGCAGCTTGCGGTCAAGGAGGACAAGGTGCACGACCTGGAGCAGCTGTCGACCAAGGACATGTACCAGCAGAGCCAGCTGGCCGACCGCATGCGCCACTACCAGGCACAATGCCAGCTCACGGAGATCCTGCAGCAAGAACTTTCGCAAGCCCAGGTAGGGTCCCAACGCCTTTCTGGTGGCGTTCGTTGGCGCGTGCAAACTACGGTGCGTGGAATGTGTCTCCCGACTGGTCTGTTTACCACATCTTAAAAGTTGGTCCCTCCACTTCCGCTCGACGAGACGGTTCCACTAAAATGTCACGCTGTTGCCGGCCTCGATCTTGGCAGTGTCACAGCACCGGTGGTGGATGTGGGAGACGACTGTGCATCTGCCTCACCCACATCCATCGATGCACGGGCGGGATAGGACACCAAACAGACCAGTCGGAAGACGCGTTCGAGGTACCTCAGTGCAAACATACAAAACCAATTGCCGGGACCTACCGTTATTGAGACAGCAGGAGTCTTAGGCAGTTTCGTCGTTGCAGGCGAGGATAAGTGCCCTGGTCACGCAGAACTCCGACCTGAGGAAAGCGCTGGCCGAGAGGGCCCAGATGGCGGTCGACGTCAACGAGAAGGACTCTGGCAAAGTGCACGACCTGGTACGTGTCTGCTCTGGAAGACGGCGTTACAAGGGGCGGGAGGTCCGCCCCTTGTAACTCCAAAGCGCACTGTCGGCGCTTTGGGTATAACGCCGAGTTAGAGCTGAGATGCATGTTCTCGTATCGTGTGTAACTTGTTAGGTGTTTCAGGTTTTTGAGTGACATGTAGTGGCCTTGCAGGTGGGCTCCCTTTCAGCTTCAGTACAGCAGCTGGAATTGGAGCGGGACCAGCTGGTCAGGCAGCTAGACGAGCAAAAGGGTCAGCGGGAAACGCTTCAGCATCAGCTGATAGAGCTCAAGCAGAGCGAAGGTGGGTGTCCGCTTCATGGGTGAGGTGGCTGCGCCGTCATTTGTCTGCAGATTGTTTTTGCACCTCCTAATTGTTTATAGAGTCGGTGATTGGTTAAGAACCCAGTGGACGCTCTTCTTCACCACACGCTAGTTGTCTTTCGTTGAGCTTTGGCTGCTTGGCTGCATGTGCGACTAATTGTTATCACAGACGGATAGCTCACGCTTGAGTCAGAGCATCTACTGGGCTCTCAACCTGTCACCAACTATAGATAAGCATTCTTGCATTGCGCAAAGTGCATATTGCTGTAAGAAGTTTTTTAAAGACTCATTCGGGTCTAATAGTACTAAACATTCACGCTGGTTTAGGTTAGAAACAAAAGCAAAAGGATGCTCAACTTCGAAATTCACTCTCCTCGACAGGTAGTGCATGATGACACCATCAGTGGAAAAAAGGATTTTGGCATGGTTTCACCATGCAGCTGTCACTCCCAGTTTCTGCATCAATGTTTGCGACACCCGCAGCAGCGAATGAGTCGAGCTTTCTTTCCCTCCAACTGCTTTTGCGGTGTAGAGGTTCTATTTCAGCTTGTGGATGGCGAGATGTGAGGTTGGAACCCTCGTTGGTTCTTCCCCCAAACAGTCTTCAGGGCGTTGCTCACAGCCTTAGTTGCTTTGCGACGCGAAGCTTTAACCTTTGGTTTCTGTGCCCCCCTCGCAGACAGCCTCCTCTCCCGGGAGAGCGAGGAAGTGTCAAGGGAGAGCTACGCGAAGCTGAGGGCGGCGATGCAGAAGCTGGAGGAGCGCTTCAAGGCCACCATGGACCAGATCGCAGACCTGTCGGACCAGAAGCAGCAGCTGGAGCACCTGGTGACGCAGCTGCAGGGAGAGACTGACACCATTGCGGACTACATTGCCCTGTACCAGGTGCAGCGGGGCATCATGCGCAAGAGGGCCGCCGAGAAGGACGACTACATCTCCCAGCTGGCCAAGGACCGGGAGGACCTCAAGGTGGGCCGGGCTGACGTTGCATTGTGGAGGGCCGTCTAAACTGTACTCGGTAGAAGCCGCACGTGGCAAAAGCTGCACGCATTCGTTTTCAGTTGGACATCAACTGTGCAATCTGCTTGGCTCTCCTCCTCGCCTACTTGTTGTCTCTTCGCCTTTCTTGTTTTTGGGTGATTGGGGACGAAGGCAGAGGCCTGGACGACAGCCAACAGAGCACGTGAGGGGCTGTCCGGACCCACGTGACAAGCATGCCCTAAGCCTCCGTCCAAAGATGCAAGCGGAGGGGAAGCTTTTTCCTTGGCAAACGAAAGCATACAAAAGCAGATTGGACTGTGTGGCATATGGAGCGAATTTAGAAAATGTGGCATCTGCTCTGTCCTGTTTGGACAGCCTTTTACCTTGTGGTCGTGTGTACAGGCATGGTGCCTGGAGCGTTGCCAGGATTGTGACCGGCGACGGCATTACGCTTCTGTGATGTCATGGGGCGGAAATTGAGGGACCACTTTGAAGATGTGATAGACAGACCAGTCGGAGTTTTAGGCACCGTAGTACACTGCATTTTTTTTAAAGACGAAAAATAATTTAAAGGAATACGACACTGAAAGTAAAGAAATTATTCTTTTAGTGTTACGTGATCCACAGCGTTGAATGTAGGGTAAAAAGTGTAAAGCTTTGATTAGCAGATTAATTATTTTAAATCTACTGAATAACTTTTGTCAATGAAAAGTTGAATACCATGGCAATTCTTAGGTATTTGCTCAAAAGGACCATGAGACGGCAGGTGGCAGAGGTAAGCTGGACAGTCCTAATCTCACTTCTGAGGTTACCTACTTCGTAGTAGCCACTGCCAAGAGATAGCCTTCTTTTGTATGGTTTCGAGAAAGAATGAAAAGCTTCCCTTTATGCATGTGCGAAGAGTGAATTTTGAGTTCAAAGCGAATTGTGGTTTTGGCTGAATATATCCGGACCAAACATTGAGGAACAGTGACAAGGTATTTATAATCGCCAAGTCGCCAAGGCTTTTTTTTTTTTTTTTTTTTTTTTTACAGTGGAGCTGTTAAGGGCTAGGTTCCCCAGGATCGTGTCCGGTATGTTGACACAAACCTACCTGGACAGCTATCGCCATCTATAAGCGACGGCTGTAAGCACACAACCAGTATGGTTGCCGCCGTCGTTCGTAGATGGCGCCAACCTTTCCCACTATCCAGAGCCGTATATTGGGAGAGTTTGGCCTGTGGGTGTGGCGACGAAGGTGCCGGTGAGGAGAAAAGGAAATGAAAGGAAGGAGAGCGCCAAAGGAGCGAGAGAGAAAGAAGGGAGCAGAGAGGAAACGACCGCCATTTTAGAGCGCAGCTCTTAGGGGCCCGTTTCCGGCTTGAGTGGCGTCGGCGTCGCCGCCGTCGGCGTAACCGCGAGGTCACGTGAGCCCCCGAGTTCACTTGACCCACCCAGGTCACGTGACCCACCCAGGTCACGTGACACCCCCAGGTCACGTGACCCCCAGAAGTCACGTGACCCCCTGAAGTCACTTCTGCGGGTCACGTGACCTCAGGGGGTCACGTGACCCACCCAGGTCACGCGACACCCCTAGGTCACGTGACCCCCTGAAGTCACGTGACCCTTTTGAGGTCACGTGACCCCCTAAGGTCATGTGACTCCTTCAGGTCACGTGACCCCCAAAAGTCACGTGAGCACCTGAGGTCACGTGACCCCCTGAGGTCACGTAACCCCTGAGGTCACGTGACCCCCTGAAGTCACGTGACCTCAAGGAGTCACCTATCCTTCAGTATGCTTCCATCTTCCTCCTCAAGAGCTGCGCTCTAACCGGCGTTACAGGAAATTGTAAACGGCTTCCTTTTTTTTTTTAGCAACGCTGTCAGAGGCTGGTCGGAGAAGAGCACTGCTGAGGCTACGCGTCGTCTGCTACGGGCCGACTTCTTTTTCGCCTGAATAAAAGTTTCTGGCCATACGCCAAAAAATCTTCATTTATTAGCTTTTTAACCCACCGAGGAATAACAGAATGTCATTTTCTTGCGAGAGTCAGCAATATAAAAGGCAATAATGGAGATTTAGATACCGATCCCACGCATTCCGCCGGGAGAATGATCGAAGATGGCGGCCCTCCTCACTCAGGTGGGGGCAGCCGGGATTTCACGCTCATGCCTCTTGCTCTACGCCGCGTGCTGATTGGCTCACTTGGGAGGAGAGCGTTACGGCGGCGAGATCCTAGACTGACCAAACTCTCCCCATATACGGCTCTGCCACTATCATAGAAGAATGGATAGTTGGGCGGCGCGTTGGTGGGAATTCATTGTAGGAAACAGCCCGAAAAACAGACGACGAAGAAGAAGCACACTTTCTTCACGAGAGTGGAAAGGCTGAACGATTTTTTGCGTTTGTACTTGACGCATGAGAGACCAACTATCCAAAACACAATTTGCGGCTCGAAATTTGTTTTCTTTCCACCGGAAAACCCCCGATCAAGAACTGGCTGCTTTGAGTTGTGCCGACTCTCTTCTCTGTGGTCACGTGCCGTTTCCTATGGTTTAGGCACAACCACCAATGAACTCAAAGTCGTGGGTCATCAAGGCACACACTCGATATTAAAAATAGAAAAAGAAATATGATAGACACTTTTTGTTGCTTCTAAAAAGTTTGAAATATGATGCAAAAAAAAAAAAGTTTCATAACTGCGTGATTTTTGGCAACACTCTCCTCTATATTTCTTCTTTCTCTCCAGTCCAGTTTCGGTTTCGAGCAGTGCACTTTTTTTTTACTTTATTCAAAATATATGTAATGCTGTAGCAAAATATTGATTGGGTAGTCTTCTGACACCATTTTAGATCTCCTGGCAAAAAATTAAATAAAAAACAACAAAAAAAATTAAAATGCTTTCATGTTTTAGATTTTAGAAAAAAAAAAGAAAAGTCAAATGAGTGACGTTTCGGGCGCCTGCAAACCACCCTCAACTCGTACACCGTCTACCAAGTCTTGTGCGCAGTGATGCGCAAGGGGGATGGGGAGTATCCAATTGGGTTTTCTTTTAGAGCTTCCAGCTTGTGCGGCCTCTGACTGTACTTGAAGGCTGGTCTGAACAATCTGGAGAGGAGGGGGGGGAGGGAGAGAGCAAAGTGCTTTTCTGTCTGCAAGGAAGTTTGACTGACGTAGTAGCACAACGGGGTGAGGCTCAAGGGAGGGATACTGTTCTTCACCTCGGGCAGATGGTGCCACTAAAATTTAATATAGCACAACTTTGTCAATGATATGAGGTTTTCGACACACTTACTCATATTGAAACAACAATATTTATAATAAAATATCATTAGACTGAGCACATAATGGCACATCTTGCCAACTTATTACATTATACCCCTTCTGCGTCACACCTTAGTTCCCATGGCCGCAACCCAGCGGCTGCAAATCGTGAAATGTTCCCGTCCTTGTCTTTGCTATTACGCAACTGAGTCACAATATTTCAAAAGGAAGTGGTGTCTCCATTCCTTTGGGAAGATAAACAATGTAAAAATTTAAAACTGCAAATTCTTTCAAAGTTGAAATTGTTGCATCGCCTTTTTAACCAAAGACCCAGCTGAACCCTTAAAGGTTGTTTCTACCCTTCCACTTGTACATTTCAAGCTAAGTTAATTTTGATCTAACTATATTTATAAATTGCCCTCAAAAAGTCTGATGCCTACGTTTAATGGGACAGTAAACAAGTGATGCATTTGACAAAAAAGTAAGTCTATAGAGATGGCCAGGTATGTGTAACTAAGGGGATTACCTATTCGTCTTGCTATGTGCAAATATCCTTTCATCAATCTCAAATTTGAAAAAAAAATAGAAAGAAAAGCAGTTATTAATAATTGCAGGATGTTAGGGCATCTGTGCCCAAGGTAAACACTAGCATAATATCCACATTTTAATTTTGAAAATTGAACATTCACAAATTTTTTGTTTATTTTTAAATGCACTTATATGCACGCGTGCACCATCCTGCTTTGAAAGTGTGCTTTTGTCCTAAGCCCGCAGCTGCAATATTTGTACTTTTTAAAATGTTGATCGCAGCTGGTTTACCCTGTTGAGTGAGGCACTTTTTACCGAGCATCGACGCACTGTAGAGAAGCAACACCCGCCGAAGCGAGCTCCGCAGTGTACCGGTGCTCAAAAAGAAGCGTGCTTGATAGGGCTAACTTAGAGCCGTGTGTAGAGAGAGTTTGGTCAGTGGGAGGAGCGGGCAGAGCCAGGAGCGGCATCCACCAGATGCAGATAGAGGGCTGGACGTGCTCTCTTGGCCTACTACAGAAGCCGAAAATAATCCCCTTAGCGATGGTAGTGAGAAACACTTTAAAAAAGTGCTTAACGGTTAAATGTAGGAACTCTTCATGGTTGGAAATATGGTGCATGTGATGTTTTGATTATGATCATGCAAAAAGATGAAAGAAACGAATGTGCCGCTCAAACTCTGTTTTGCTTGGACGGCAGATGCACGGCCCTCGGCACCTGGAAGAGGAAGCAAAGGAAGTTGTTTGGAGCGCACGTTCGTTCATTCCATCATTTTGCATTTACTGTGATTGAAACATCATGTGCATTATATTTTCAGTCACCAAGAGTTACGCTGATGCACTTAATATTTTGTTTCTCGCAATCGTCGCCAGGGTATTATTCGCGGCTTCTGGTTGGCCACATTCGAATTGGTGAACACACCCAGCCCGCTTTTGCCCAATGGCGGCGCTTCGTTTGCCTCCTATACTTCCAAATTAATAGCCAAACTCTCTCTAGATACGGCTCTGAGCTAACCCACTGCAATCGACACCTAAAAAACTATGCAAATCTCAGTTCATCTCTGAGCGAGTATCTAATGGCATATATTTCGAATATTTGCGCAATACGTTTCCCTCTCAACATGTTGTGCACATATGGATACCTTTTTGCTCGAGAAAACGGCAGTCGAAGAGGAAAAAGCAACCTGATGCTCATTGGGTGTTTTTTTTTTTTCTTTTTTTCACACGTAAAGACAAAATATTCTATGCCTATTTTATGCGTTATGACTCGGAAGGTTTATTTGGAGGACTAGTTGCCTAAATTTAGTAAAGAACTTGTCTCAATGACTCAAACAATGAATTGCTAAGCCTGGAGGTTGGCTCAGCAACAAGGGGAAAGGAGGTGGAGGGTGTTGAGACTCGACCGACACAACTTTTGTTTCCATCGTGCAGGCCAAGCTGTCCGAACTGCAGTGCCTGATCGTGCGACTACTGGAGGAACGTCAGCAACAGCACCCCACACAATCCTTGCCGCCCCTTCCGGGAAAGGCGCTCACCCTGGCTTCGTTTTCTTGTGAGTTCAAGGCATCGTCTTGTACGGTCGCTAACGAAGTGAGAACAGCAGGGCGTGTCTTTTGAACGCCCGGCCCCCAGCACGTGCTCCGTTCATCCTGCCCCTCCACGCCGTACTCAATTTGTCAGCAACTATAGTGGTTCGCTTTTAGAGAAGATCGCCACGGGGCCTCGGGTGGTTTAGGACATAACCGAAATTGCAACGGTCGGTATCTTGGTCATTTGTGATGTCATAACCACGTGCCTTGGCAGAAACGTCTTATCACATGCTCTGCGGACATTGATGTCACAATAGGGTTGCGTGAATATTGGTTCAAATAGAATACAGTAGACTCTCATTAATTCAAACTACAGGAAGTCGCAGGTTTTAGTTTGAATTATCAGAAATTCATCTAAACATGAGACTAGATGACATTATGATTTGTTACATGGATAGCTACTCATACAAAGCAGATTTTTGCCAGTTTCCTCTACATAGGCCTAATTATAAGCAAATACATGCATAACACATTGGTGAAAGAGCTATGACGTTAAGTTTATTCATCCGGCAAAAAAGTTGTCGATTGTGCACTGTTTAGACAACATATGCGATCTCAAAACAAAATTTTCAATACCAGCCAACGCAAGTAGCTCTTTATGGGACTCTTCCTTTGCAGACAGAAATTTCTGGAGTTGAGCGATGTGCTTAAAGCTGTGGCTGTGACAGTTGGTAGCAAGTCATCCCTTTCTTCATCGTCATCTTCACTCTCACTGCTGCACTGTGCTGGCATTACTTCCTGTACTATGTCCTCTAATGAGTCATCACGACAAACACACGCATCGTCGTCAAGACTAGTTTATTCCGCCAGCTCGGCGTTCACATTATGTGCTTCAAGGCCAGAAAACATGATGCCGTTGAGCTGGTCCTTATCCTCGATATCATCTTGGTCATCTTTCTCGAAGCACATAATGTGAATGCTGTTTTCCGCTAATGTGTGCCCGCTTGAGCCCATTGAGTGCGCATCTTTTTGAGCACCAATGCACTGCAGAGAAGCAACACTCGCAAAAGCAAGCTCCGCAGGTATTGCTTCTCTGCGGTGCACCGTTGCTTGGAAGAGGCGCACTCAACGCGGCCGCGAGAACAAAAGAGTATGAATTAAGCAAAAACACAGTTCGAATTAGATGACTTATAAATACATTAAAAACATAGCGGGACAACCAAAATTTTCAAATCTGTTTGAATTATCGCAAGTCTATTGTAATGCTGTATTAGTCTTGGCCTTCACATTGCTGTGGGGAAACTGTGACGTAGTGGCGTGCTTCAAGACTAGGAATCATATCGTACTACTCCATTTAAAGCTGCATTGGCAAGTCTTTACGTAGCGGGCACAGTGGTCACAATCAGTTAGTGGCAGTATTAAACAAATGAAAGAAAATTCGTGCCAACCAGTAGCAATAACTAACATGCCACGATGCTCGTCTGCTTATGGCAATTGACATATTCAATTCACAGGGAACACTTGCGGTCCCCTACATTTCCTTTTTTTTTCATACGTCATTCATTTAATTATTTATTACCCAATTCATTCCTCCTTCATTTAATTTTAAGGCACTCGGTCGTAAGCAGTTGCGAACGTGTGAACCAGCCTTTAGCTTTCACATTGCTTTAAGCGAACTATGATGTGGTAGCCTTTTTTACATTGTTGAAGCTAGGAATATATGGCGCACCGTGCATTCACGAGTGCGCCCATCAAACCATTCTGTCAATCTTGGCCGCAAGGCAGCTCTGTTGCTGCCTCGCCTCAGACACAATCACATGGTCGTGTCGCCGCGGGGTCGATCGGGATCTCGAATTCGGCTCCCGACAGGCCGCCTTCTCTCCTAGCCACGGGATGGCGCTGCAGGCGCCTCGTGGCGGGCGAGGAGAAACCTTCTCGCCCATCGATCGATATATACTGATAGGCCAGGGGGCGAAGGGCCTCTCAAAACTTCAGACGAGACCGAGACGCAGGCAGGTGGGTGGCGATCGGATCTAGGATATCGCGGGACACGAGGCCTGGGGGCCCCCTTTGTGTTTAGCTTTGGGCTTAATGTGCGTTTGTAAATATTTGTGTAATGTTGCGTGTATTTGTAGCGTAGATTGAGTGTTTTGTAGCGTTGTTTTATTGTACCAATAAACGGGGAGCGGAATCCCGCTTCCGTGAAAGAACCAGGCTGCACTAGGTTTGTTGACAGACCACGTGGGAAATGGTGAATCGACGGCGGTACGCGATTTCCTACAAATGATACTGCACTATTTTGATCCAAAGTAGTATTTGCACATCCCTAGTTACGGGATGCTTAATTACAAAGGCGGTAGTCTTAAATAAGTTCTAAAACATTTGTCCCAACCAGTGGCAATAACTAGCTTACCACGATGCACATCAGCCTAGGGCGATGCACGCTTGAACACGAGCACTCAAAGGATTGTTTGTTGTTGCCGCATTCTATTTCAGCGTCGATGGCGGGCTCTCCCGACGCTGGAGACTCCGGTCGCGGCGAGGCCCCCACCACCAACGGGAACGGGGGTCAGCCTGAGGACGACGAGACGGCCCAGAAGATCATGCACCTGCTGACAGAGATCGAGACGTCGGGCGCCGTGGAGGGCTCCCCTGTTCCAGACACCTTCCACCCCTGCCCCGTCTGCTCTGGACGACTGCTGACCGTTTAACGGTAACCACCCGCCAGTTTTAAATGCGTGGCTTTTATACCCTGGTCAGACGAGCTCCTTTAAACGCAGCTAAGTGCAACCGAGGTCATGGTGTTTAGCACAGTTGGCGTATGTCCGTGGTGCTGGAACGTCGACGAGTCCGGAAATAGAAAACTCTCGGCTCTTTGTTTATGACACGCGAGACCATGGCGTCGTGTGATCACGCGACATAAGGTCACGTTACCCCATGTGCCACGTTTTCATTATGGTCACGTGCCACCAAGAGACACCGTTGCCACATGACCCTGTGTTATCATGGTGCCACGCGACATGACCCAAAGTCACGCGGCATCAAGTGACATCATAATGTCACGGAGGACCTAGAGATTCTACGCATTTAGAGTGCCTTTGGGATATACCTAGGGTTCCGTGTTTTTCGGATAAATCCAAAAAACTGGGAAGAACACTCGTCGGTAAAATTTTTGCTGATTTATCCGGAAAAAAAAACAACTGAATTTCAAAGATCCCGATGGAAAAATAAAAAGAAAAGAAGTTGTTTTAAGTTCAAGTTACGTGAGAGTGCAGCGTTGGTGTCCTGAGAAGAGGCCACTTCGGTTTCCTTTGAAGTCTTGTACTGTTGACAAAAGAGAGTTTAGCGTTCGTCGAGATTCATTCAGGACATCTGGCCATTTTGGACCACGACAAAAGCCTTTGTTTCGGTTTCCTGTTTGGAGCATACTATTTGTGCTTCTCAAAGGGAAGAGGAGTTGGTGCTTTTATAAGAGTGAAAGCTATAAACCTGCAGATTTCATAGAGGGGGCAGGGCAGCCGGAGCTTCCCAGTGACTACGTCCAGGTGTTTAGTCATTTCAAATGACTGATGTTAATTGGAGCAATGCTTCCTTGCAATACTTGTTGTGGGACAGTTAGCATTGACACTGGCAAGGGCCCCAATGCCAAATGCAGCTGCAGACATATAATTTGATACAGGTGAGTTCTATATGAATTTAATGTATGTATGTGTCCGAATAATATATGTTTTTTATTCTTCATTCTGAAAATATGAAAACGGTAATATTGAACTCAAAATTTCGGTGAATTGGAAATCTAAAAAAATACTCTAATAAACCCCAAATTTTTAGGGAAAAATGAACTCTAAAAAATACTTTCTGAATTTAATATAAAATAAACTCCGAAAACGCGGGATCTTATATACCAGAGACGGGCAGCTCTTTTAAGAATAGACACCGATTGGACGAGCACTTGCTTACAACTGGAAGTTTGATGAAAATTTAAAGGTAAACTTTGGCATCTGTGGAAAACAATAGAGGAGGTTTGCGAGAGAAGCGGGCTGTTTTTTACACCAGTTTAAGATTACCTGATTAATAACTGGTTGGAAGTGTTCACTGAGACGTCGCCAGCAGTCGGGTGGTCCTGCCGCGAAAAATGGCTTCCACTTTCCCATTGACAGTTTTCGAAATGACACTTCTACCTTTTAACTAGATAACTTCTAATTGCAAAACTTTGACGTCTCATCCTAACTAGCGATATTGAGATCAGGTGGCGCACGATCACACTGTGACGAGTTGCTGATTCTGCAGGTCTTTATGGCAAGACAACACAGGTCCAGCTTGCCGCAGCCGACTTCGAAGACCTCCCCCATCCTAGTCGTTCCACGGGAACATTCCACGGCGATCCATCCGAAACGCCGTCCCCAGTGCCTTCGGACTTCTCCCGTGCTTCGACAGGGGAGCAACGGTGTGCTGCAATTCCCGAGATGGAACACTCTGCCTGTCCAAAAACGACAATGGCAGTGCACTACAGTTGCCTCGGTTTTCGACGTAAAAAAGGCGAAACCACCGGTGAAAAGTTGCTCCGGATTTGTGGCCTCTTCCTTTCGACCGCACGGAAGGAAAGCATCGGTGCCGAGGCCTTTTCGGCGTGGGACCGACACAACGCGACGCCCTTCTTTTAGGGCGCGACGCACGATTGCTGCGACGGAATTATTTTTCTACCGCCGTCTTCTTCTTTGCACGCCGTACCTGTGCAGTCCCGAGACGGTTTCAGGGCGATTGGAATTTCGTGTCTGTCGGGAAGCGGTGCATTATCGTTGAAGGTAGCTTGTGCAGCATGTTGCAACATGGAGTTGTCTTTTGGGAGAAAGCTGTGATCCGTAAACAACCGTTTTGTAAAAAAAAATATCGTTTTTTTTTTTTTGGTGATTTTTTGCATGCATTAATTGCTCTCTCGTTTTGGCAGAACGTAGCAGTGTTTCTAATGGGCCTCGATGGTATTGTTTCTATGCATGCTGCCAACGTTTAGCCAGTAACCTTTTTTCAAAAATTATAGGCATTGCTTTTTCTTTCTTCAATGTGGTGTGTTATCCTGACGGAATGCATTACGTGCAAATTTGGATAATGTCACTCTTTTTGTGGTTCTCACTATCGATCTATTTAGAAAGCTGGCTGCACGGTCACTAAGAATGTATAATACTAGTACTGCCGGATAAAAATTGAGAGATAGCTATGTATATAATGCGCTCGTTCAAAGAAAAATGCTTTGTAAGAACCAAAACTTTCAATAAAATTGTAGACGTGAAAACAAGAAGAGTTTCTCCGTGATGGGATCGAATCGAGTAATTTTGGAGCAAATGGTTGTGCTCCAAAATGAACTTTTGTGTGCTTACAGTTCATTCTCATTCACTACACTGCATATAGTGGATTAAGGCTTGTGCATTGGCCTGTCCTACTAAATGACAATATCTTGTTTGTCTTACTACTGTGGTGCAACCACTTGTTGCCATCTATTGCACAGCAAGTTTGCTTTCCTGAAATACTCTACTGGTGTATAGTAGTTGTGCTTAAAAGTACTAAACAGCAACTATTAAGCCAATGCAACAAGAAGGTTGCTACAAAAGCCTATACTTGTTTGAAAGGCACGCTGCAACAGCTGCTATTGGAACACGATTCAACAAAGCTTGGGTGGGGGCTAGTTGGTTGTTCATCATGGATTTTAAACTGTGCTGCCAGCAGGTTAAAGACAAAAACTGAGACAAGGGAATAATGACACTAACATGAGAAGTGCAAACTAAAAACTGTTTAATTTTTTCCGTCCCACAGGAGAGGAAAACACTTGCAAAGAGAAGACATAAAAGGAGTAAAAAAAAACGGGTGAAGAAAACAAAAACAGATGGATGATTACTAGCACGACTATGCTCGATTCATTGCTGCTACACAGCTATCAACGCAGGCGTGAGCGCCCGTCATGTCGTGGCAAGGTGTTGAGCAATTCCATATCTTTTTTGTTAAGAAATATTGACGGCTCGCTGACACATGTGCTATGCCTTCCTGACACCATGATATAAACTTCCATAATTTTGCACTTCTGTTTTTCCTCCGATCTTGCCACGATTGAGGCCGTTTTGAACTGCGTCTTGCAATTGCATTTCGAGGTATGTGCTGCTAGGTCACTTGAAGCCTGGAGCAGACCACGCGCATATTTATGCTCCCTCAACTTGTCGTTGAGGCATCTCGTCTGCCCAATGTAGGATTCACCACAGGGTAAAGGTATTTTGTACACTACATTTTCAGCAGCACTCAACAAACTTATTCCTGCGTCGAACCCAACACTTGGTAGCTTGGCTTCGATTGTCATCATCCCACTTGTTCACCTTCCTAGAAAGTCCTTTAAAGGGATTCTTCAACGAAATTTGAAATGTACCCGTCATGTTCAGAAATAGGTTGAATATGATCCACAATATCCGTAAATGATAATCGCACGTTTGTATTTTGAGCCCGATGAGTGTATTTTTCATTATAAACGGCCCACTCTGGCAAGCGCTCCGAGAGCAGCCAGCAGAGGGCACATGACATCAGCCGCAATTGTGACGTAGTTAGTCTCAGGACGAGCAAAGCTGCGGTGAGGCTGACGTCGAGAGGATGTTTTAGCTGTTCCAGCCACCGAAGCGGCGGCTGTTTATGGCTAGGGTTCCTTGAACTTTTCGTGTGCGTGACCAAAATCTTTATGCTCGCACCGCCGCACGGGCACGCTTTCCCCGTATAAAAGATTCAAAGTAAATAACCAAAATAAAGTGTTGAAGAACATGCGTGCAAGGTGCCATTTGTTTTAGTCTTTTGCTTTAGAACAGTTACTGCTGCAGACGCCGGCACATGCGGTGCGTGGAACACCATTCCCTGCATTCACCTTGATGCTTGGGTAATTTAGCAATAGATTAGTCATTAATAGGCACCATTTTCAAGATCAGTAGGCTCTCAGGTAGGTAATAAAGCTCGAGGTACACCTTAGCATTTCTTATGAGTTGTGAATGCGAAAGCATGCAAGCCGCTCGTCCACTCCCTTTGTCATCTGCTGCTTACTTTTTGTCGCCGGTCAGCGTGCGTGCTCCCTTGGGCACGTTGACCTTGGACGCTCCATCACAACTCCGTGGGTGTCGCTTCTCTGAAGTGCACAAGCGTACAGAGAGAAGCACACTTAATGGAGCTAACTGTAATTCGTGTGAACAGACCACAAACAATGAGGAATATTGCTAAAGTTTTGACAGCCGTTAGTGTTTGTTCAAGGCAGTATTTCAAAGTTCTGAAACTTTTCTTGAGCCTATCGTAAGTTATTCATCAATGTAGCGATGCCCGAGCTATTAGTTTCCGTATTGATAAAGGGAAATTAATTTTTAAAGCAATGTTTGCGCAAATATTTATCATCTTGGCGCAGCAAAGCAGGACGTAGCAGAGTAATCCCCTTGGCGCAGTTTGGGACAAATGGCACAGCAATCTCACCACTGGTTTCTGAAAAGCAGTAGCTTTATTTTCTCAAATGTACATTGTTCTAAAATGTGCTACAAGTTGGAGTAGGTCTTGTAATTGGGCACATGTTTAGCACAGCAATTCTGGTTGGATTGAGCTGACTTATCTCGGAGCATTAGCAAATTTCAGTGCATCCTTATGAAACATTGAAACTCTTATTTTTGAAGCTGGTTTACCGTGAGTAGGGTCGGATATATATATATATATATATATATATATATATACTCAATACAATAATAGCCCTTAAAGGAGTTAGCCGAGGAGGTTGCCAAAAAAGAGATCAGTGAAACGTTTCGGGCCTGGTAGGCTCTTCGTCAGTCAGAAAGAAAAAAAAAAAAAAAAAAAAAAAAAAAACGTTTCGAGCCTACCAGGCCCGAAACGTTTCACTGATCTCTTTTTTGGCAACCTCCTCGGCTAACTCCTTTAAGGGCTATTATTGTATTGAGCATATTTCTCTCGAGTGCCGTCTTTTGTTCCCAGGTGCTGTTCCGTATATATATATATATATATATGTTTGTATATTTAAGATAAATCTATTATTAGCAAGATTTAAACCTTAGTTTTGACAGCATTATAGTGAAGAAGCAGAAGTTGTAAAAAGTTGGAATGGAAAAACTGTAGGGAGGTCCTTTTTTTTTTTTAAGTATACACACACATAGCTTTTTTTCAACATTGCTCGACGATAATGTGTAAAGCTTGGTGCACGGCTACAGCCACATTAATTTTTAACCAGACCCTCTCTTTCTTCAAGCTGTAGGCAGTTTCAAGCTTACCATTGAAACAGCTTTGTCCGTCTCAATTGCACACAGAGTTACCAACTCCTTGGACAGACTCTCCGTCCTCGACCATTAAGGCAACAACTGTACACACCTCACAATAAATAGCATATAGAGTCTGCCCAAAGCAGACATTTTTTTCCCAGAACAGGTTCTAAAAAAAACAAAACTAACACCCCTCAATGTAAGATCAGTTGGGAGAAGAGTCATTGAGGGCTCCAAGCACCAAAGCATACACTTTGTGTACTTGTATTCGCATCTATGTGGCATTATGTACAGAACACAAAAATATACTCGTTTCAAACCCCCCGAGTGCTCGCCAAGCCACGCAAACCTCCAGGAGATGAAAAGTAAAAAAACAATCCCGGAATAAAGATGCAGAAGCCTTTGTTATCACAGTGATGTGCATCAACACTAACAGCACGTGGGGCACAAAACAAACGTACACGCACCTCCTCACACGTCAAACCCTGCCACAGAAACGGCGACCTCGCCACACGTACACATTACACACACGCAACAAATCAAATCCTAAGCATCCGGACGCCCAATTCAAAATTTTCGTTCCGCCGGGCAAGAAGCAAACGCACACCGATTTTACCACTGGGATTCCTAACTTCTCCGTCTCTTTCAAAGCTCCGGCAAAGCCGGGGCTTGGTCGCCTCTCCAAACGACCCGAAACCACTGCTTCGAAGCGGAACTACGATGAACGCTACAACCGCAGGCAACGCCACTGTGTAGGATTTTTCGTTTGTTCTCTCCCGCACTTGTTGCCGACGGTCTTCGCCTCGACGTAACAACAGTGCCTGGAAGGCGTCTCCTACAATGTATTTCGCGTCCCATCCCGCCCACTTGTCGAAAGCAGTCCTGAAGTGGCAACAGATGATGTAACGAGAGCCGTACTGTCACGCCGTTGGATGTCGCCGTTGTTGCGGCGTTCCACCTTCTGGCTGCCGGAGCTTCCGCGGAGCGTCCAGCTGGAAAGCGACCTCCAGCAGAACAGGCATCTGCCACATCCACCACCACTACTGCGACACCGCCAGGATCGTGGCCCGGTGAGAAATCAAGGGACCATTCTTTCGGATGCGGTAAAAGGACCTGTCAGAGACGCCTTCCAAGAACCGCAACGTAACTCCTGCAAGCTTGGAAATGTGGGAAAGATGCGGGTTTTTGCCTTCGGCACGCAACACGACGGCCATTGTTCGAACACTCGTGGAAAGGATCTCTTCTCGCCGAGACGCGCCAGCCGCCGCCCACGGACCTCACGTCATGGTGACGCCCAGCGCTCGCCGCGTGTGTTCGTAGACGACGTAGCTGATGCTGACCGCGGGGGCCACCTTCATGAAGTTGGGCGTGATGCCTCGGTAGAGGCCTCCAAAGCCTTCTGTGCGGACAATGCCCTTGATGAGACCAATCATGGAGCCTTTTTCCTTCCTGCTATCTGCAAAGGCAGGCAGCAAATATTGGTCACGTCGCCCGCTAGACTCCTGGCAAAGTCAAAGTGGGAGCTCTCTGCAGAAATCGGTGTAAGAAACTAGGTGCCTAAAACAGTGCTGCAAGTTTACCGCATTCATTCATATTTCTATTTGCGGTGCGAGAACCCTGCCTCGAATTGAATGGCGCAGCGTCGTCACCCGCATTGATGCTGCAAAGAGAGCTGCTAAGTTGTAGGTTTTCCTAGCACTGTAAAGGCTACAAATGATAAAACGCTATTTGAATCAAAGTGCTATTCATTTAACCCCTAATTCTTATTATTCGGTAAAAAATGTCCAGTTTCCTACATCAAAATCATTATTAAATTTCTTTAACTTTAGGTGCATGTACTGGCATTATAGTACTAACTTACCATGAATTGACAAACACAGGTGCAGTACATAAAAGAAAACTGCACTCAACCAAAAAGTTTTTGCAACTTTTAGCTGCATCATGAGGGCTAAAAAAAAAAATTAAACATTGGAACTTGTGCACTGATACACACAATGTTCTAAACCACAGAGTCCAGTCCCTAGTCCCCTTAGTGGAATTAGATCTCTTTTGTATGCACGAAACAAGCTTCCTCTTTTCACACAAATGAAACAGATTATAAACTTACCTACATATTACAAACATACAGTCAATACCTAGAAAATATGCACAAAGTATGTGCCACGTCAGTAGGTACTCCCCCATTCATAAAACAATTGGCTGTGGTCATTTTGACTGCAATTTAACGGCATTTCCCCACAAGTATCCGTGATGATAGTCAATCTCCAACGTACGAGAGCAGCGCACAAGTTTGCCTAGCTCACTATACAGTCGTGCCTCGCTAATATGGACACCTCCATTCCTCCCAAACATTGTCCATAACGCGAGTCATTCATAGTACTAATGAGACAAAAATGCACATATTAAGGCAAAAGCCTTATACGTCCCATTACGGGAAAAGGCGGCGTTGGCATTGAGCCCGAAAGATGGCCATAAAAATATGCCATCAAACACACACCGCTCAAGGTCAAAGCGGACGCGCTTCAGAAGTAAAACGGAAAGAAAAGCACAGCAATGCAGATGCTTCGTCACGGAAGCTGTGAAGCTGGCGGGGGTGCCACACCTGCGCAGTGGGGGAGCGTGATTTCACCACAGGAGCACCGTGTGCAAAAGGAAGATGTGGCACGCTGGCTCCGGCGCGTCAGTTGTGCTTCAGACTTCATTTGTGCTTGTTGTGTGCTTTGTGCGATGGACTGCGAGGTGACTGCGTCTACATCTACAACCTCGACATAGGCAGCAGCATCTACATCTACGGCAGCACACCGAATACAATACCAGCAGAAACAACTTTAATACATGCAGAAACAATACTCGAAAACATTTCACCCATGGGACTATAATGCTTTTGCATTCCTACATGCAAGCAGTCTTAAAGGAGCTGTGCAACAATTTCAGGGCTTTGCTTAAATAATTGCGGAAGTTGATGCCCGACACTTCTGAAGTGAACTACAGAAAACAGATTTTACCTGGATGCCCTAGTTTCTATTTTAAAAAATTAAAAAAAGATCCAGGTTTTTGCCACCTCTCAACTCGTACATCGTCTTCCGGGTGATGTGCGCAGTGACGTCGATGGGGTAGGTGCGGGGTTCCGGAAAAGTTCTCTCTTTAGAGCCATCAGTGAGCAGCGAGAACTCATCCGCTCGCGACCGCGTGACCACGTGCTGGCGGGCGCAGCGCGAACAATATCGTGAAAGGAGGAAAGTTTCATCCGGGTCTGGGTAGCATATCGGCCATACCCGTCCGGCCCTGTCCCCTCCACCTCCGGCGGCTGTTCGCGGTAACAGATAGAGCTGACGGTTTTGTGGACCTAGGATAGATGGCGCCACTAAAACTCCGTACAATAAAAGTTTTCTTTATGATACCAGGTTTTTGACGCATTTATATTTATGTTGGAACGACAAGGTTTATAGAAAAGTTACCTTTTATCGAGCAGGTATTTGCAAAACTTGCCATCTTTCTACAAGACCCCCTTTGACGTCATGCCGCGTGTTTCTCATGGCCGCTGTTCGTGGCTGCAGGTCGAGGAATATTCTAATTTTTGCCTCGCTATTACACAACGGAATCACAACATTTCGATGAAAGGAGATGTGTTTTCTGTCATTTGACAAGGTGAACCATGTCAAAAAGTAGAAGATGCCAATTGTTGCACAGCTCCTTAAAGGGCTTCTGAAAAGGAAAAAAGATTTTTTCTTTTTAAATCTATTTGAGACACACTGTCAAAAAAAAATTGTATGCGAAAAATTTTTTCTTTACAGCAATATTGACGGCGAGTGATTTATTTGAAATTCTGTGTGTGAAGTCCATGACGTCATGAGTCATTCCGGAATGACCATCTCGATCATGAAGGCGAAGCTGATCCCCCTCTTTTCCACGCGCCCGAAATGCCGAGGAAGAAAACAAGTGGAAAGGTCGTGATTGCCGACTAAATTGCGTCTCGCACTGTCAATATTGCTTTGAATTTTTTTTCTTTTTCCGCATAAAATTTATTTTTTGACACGTGCGTCCCAATCAAGCCTTAAAAAAAAAAAAAATGTTTTTTCTTTTCAGGTTTTTTTTTTAAGTGTCTTCAGCGTGTTTTTACTTCATTCGTCCTCTGAAAACTCGTCTATAAAAAGGGGTATCCGTATCGAGGAGACATCACAATACTAGAACAGTCACTGTGCCAGCCGATGTGAGCACGGCTTTGAAGGAGTAAAGACAAGAGATCACCCTGCCTTGTGCCTGCAACCTTGTCCTGACCAGGGCCAGTGGGTAGCTGGCCACCTGGCCACAGGAGCTGCTGATGGTGCCACAGCCTAGGAGCACCAGGATGCCGGGGTCGTCGGTCAGGTCGTGCCTCCTCAGGTACAGCTTTTTCAGAGTCTGCGTGCAATCCGGCAACGGGGTCACATTACCGCCAACAAGCAATGAGGCAGTGCTAACTCTTTCCTGACCGCGTCCATAGGCCATCGATCACCGTTGATCGATGGTTTCCAATCCCCGTCAAGAAATTAAATTGAGTGCGGAGAATTATGTTTTGCAATCTCGTGGATAGCCGAATAACTCTAGTTTCGGGTTCAACGTAAGTTTAAGCTGTATCACAGGCTGGTGGGCTGTCAAAAATAGTTGTAGAAACGGTGGTTGCACTTGTCTAACATGGCTAACTGCTTGCATCAGTCTTCGTAACAAAGATGGCAATTTTTACATAATTCAACTGTGTTGTGGCATATGTTTTAGACCACAAGAGCTCTGGGAACACTTCAAATGATATTATTGGGGAGAAGATCAGACCGTGGTGCCCCAAGTGGTGAACTTTAGAACTATACGAATAGGGACAACAAATAACAATGACTCAGCACTCGGCTGACTTAACCCAACACCACGTCAGCATTCGACTGGTGTTCGTGTTGTCAGGTCGCCTGAGGGGAAAGGAGGTGCGCTTTGTTACCACCTTAGCCTGCATGAACAATGCGGCATGCACAATGCATATGCCCGGCTCAGCACAAAAGCCGAAGTAACTCAAGCTCCCTTCTCTGACGACTGCTTTCGGGAGAGATCTGGCACTAAGGATAAACGTCACTTCATTGATTGTTAGTATTTTTACGTTAAGACATGAACATGCCCACAAAGCCTGAGAGCATGTCCACAGGCCTTGTGTTAGGTAAACACGAAGGTGTGAGGATGACGATGATGATTGGTGTTTAATGGCGCAAGAGCGGAAGGTGTGGGGACAACAAAGGGGTCAGAGCACCACCTATAGTTCGATCTCCTCGCCAATAGGCATTGCTTCACAGGTGGCTGTCGGTAAGCATCGCAATAATTTCCAAGGCTGTCCTGAGCCGGTATGCACGTTTTATGTCCCCAACAAGGTGCACAAAAATTCTAAATATGAGGGAACTGCAATCGTGGCTATGACAAAACCAAGGTAGAAGACAAGGAAAGCATTCTGCTGGGGATGTGAGGTGTACTATCTGCGCTTCACCAATACAAGCATTCCTTCACTGAAAAGCACACACGTTACGGAGGCTAACTCTCCGACTAACCGAATATAGACGTCGGTTAGAGTACACTAACTTTCAGAAGTAATAGCTGTGGGCATGAGGCACATTTTTTATGCTTAAAATTTTTCTTATTTGTCGTTTAACTTGACATACCGTATTTACTCGCAAATGAACGCACCCCCCAAGTCGGCTCTCAAAATTTCGACTTTCTTTTTTTCACTCGCGTATTAAACGCACCCCCAACTCTGACGTTAAAACTTTGACCCCTTCCCCCCACACGCGCGAAATGAACACACTTTTTTATCCTGGTGCAGCAAGGTTGTGAATGCATGGGCAGCGTGAGCGAACAAAAACGCCTTGCAAAAGGCGTTAAAAAAATTAAAAAAGATCCAACGGAAGCAAGAAAAAAAAAACATGGAGAGGAGCTTCTTTTTTTTTTTTGCACAGCGCAGTTTGGACCTTGGGTTGTGCGCCGCGCGCAAGGAAATAAAAAAGAGGAGCGGAGAAGCCCTCGCCTAAGCAAAGCGCGCATAATGAAGGCATCCTGCCCTTGCCTCCTCCTTGCACTTTGGAAAGAGAAGGGAGAAGCCGTCGAAATGAACACACTTTTCTATCCTGGTGCCGCGAGGTCGCAAATGCATGGGCAGAGCGGGCAAACAAAACAACTTGCGAAAAGCAGGAAAAAAAAAAAAAAAAAAAAAAAAAAAACACGGAAGCAAGAAAAAAAACATGGAGAGAAGCTTTTTTTTTTTTTTTTTGCATCGCAGTTTAATTTTGGATTTGGGCGCCGTGCGCAGAGACAAGCATTTACGTCGATTTTTCAAATAAAAGGTCCGTTCATTACGTGAGTAAATAGAGCAGCTGTCGGCATTTACCGTAATATCCCGAGTCATCGCCCATCCCCGAGCCATCGCCCACCCCATTTTTGGGGCCAATATCGATTTCCGGAAAAACACCTAGTCATCGCCCACCCCTTCAAATACCCCAGCGCGGACTCTGGGATCCGCGAACGCTCATCCTACCCGAATGACGCGCCCGCGGACCTTACAGTTGGAGGACGTCCGTGACAAAGTGAAACGAAGGAGGGAAAGACACTTTTTTTTTGTTTACGCATTTCCTCCGTGAGCGACCCCAAAGTGGTCGTGTATCCGTGCGAAAAGAAAACGATGGAGATAACAAAATAAGAGTTTGTTAACGTAACCGCGGAGTGTTAGGTCAAAGTCTGTCTCCGCCGAAGTAAGGTCACCGCGAACCAGCTCCTTCTTCCCGCCCGTCGCGACCGCTGTTGTGCAATAGTTTAGGCAAAGCCAAAGCGTAAATAAAGCTTTGCTAGAACGTCCTACACAGACGTTTACAGAGCGTCCCAACCGTGCATTGATAGCCCGCCGTGCACGGACGCACGTATGTACGCACCAAACAAGAAAGTTGCGCAAGAGCTTGCAATTGACAAGGCGCCCGACTTGGCCCGACGCCAAAGTATTTGCCAACGCGACCACCGGCGTTCCCGCTTTCCCAGCATTGTTCTTGGTCGCTTCTTTGGTCCGCTCGCTCGCTCGTTGCGCCTGGTCGGTTTTTCTATTTTCTTGTAGACTTTTCTTTCTTTTTTTTTACTAACTGGGAGAACATAATGGTGACATTCTTTCACGGAACAAACGTTCGTGCTATATGCAGATCGGCGGTGTTTCTAGCGCGTATGCAAGCAACGGACTTCGCTATAGTAAAATATTCTTTCGTGAGCATTTTTTTCTATAAAACAATGAAACTAAATCGAGTTTCGAGTTTGATGTATCTCTTGTGCATCAGCGCTAGATACGCAGAGAAAAATAGGCGTTTTTTTCCACTTTTTTTCAAGTGTTTGTGCTCACCCACCGAGACATGGCCCACCCCACTTTTTTAACGAATTTCAGGCGGTTGGGGGGTGGGCGATGACTCGGTATATTACGGTATATGCTTTCTGCACGTACACTGTATTTTTAAGAAATAAAATTTTAAATCTTTTTCCCCACATTATATTAGCCTCTGTTCCTTTTGAGAACAACTAATTGGCCACATTTTGATATGTCATATTGCTCCATATGCAAGTTAGGAAAATAAAAGTGCTTGCACGGATCCTTTGAAAATTGCTACTTTTCCCGTGGTCAGAAAAAACTTACAAAGAATGTGTTGTGCATTGTTTTGCAAAGACGCTGCATGGACAAACTCGGTACTATGCATTTTGTGCCTTGACGGCATGACCATCGCCGTGCGAGGCGTCTGTGAACGAAAGCCCTACCAAAGCTAGCATTCCGGCGGGAGTGTAATGCCGCATATCTCGCAATGGCACACCCAAGCTTTGACTCGACTGTTTCGCATCTCTCCGTTTCCTCCGAGGCAAGCGCTTGTTCTGGTCCCCCTTGCCCGTTCTCCTACCATGTGTGCGAGCATGCTCACTCGTCACCTCTCGCATAATGGGGCCGCAGCACTAGATTTCCTACATCGTCTACCGGGACACAGACTGGCCACGAGTGCCGGGTCGGCGTTTCAACTCGCATTCAATTGGCAGGGACGCAGGTTCCAGCTCGATGCTAACGCAGCTTTTGCGTAACATTCTTCAGTTACAGAATACTTCCAAGAGCCAATCATAAAACACATCCTGCATTAAAAGAAAAGGCAGACAACAGGACACGAGTGCCAAAGGGAGCGGATACATGCCTCGTAGATGGCGAGGTCGATTCCGGCATAGGGGATAATGCCTAGGAGGTTGGGAAGGTAGCCCTTGTAGAAGCTGCGCAGCCCCTCGTTGGCGTAAATCTTGTACGCCGCGTCCACTATGCCCTTGTACTGGCCGGTCTTCCTCAAAGCCAGTCGAGTCTTGAGCACCTGAGGCGGATAACGCAAGTTGAAATTGAGTGTGATGCGACGACTATGCGTAAAAAAAGGTATGAAAATGGGCGTCGCAGGTTGTGCACAGGCTTTTCTCTGCATCCAGCTGAATCATCTCCTCGTGAACGACGGTTGCGGAAACGAACAGATTCTTGCCGAAACAGCAAGGTAACTAGGGATGCTGCGAACTACCCTAGGTTCGAATTCGAAAGGTTTCAATATTTTCGAACCGAACTGATGTTCGATTTCGAAAAGATTCAATATTTTCGACCGTAGGGAGGTTCGAATTCGAAAAATTCGCAACTTTCCAAAATTGTGGGGTTTCGAATTCGAAAAGTTTGAAGCTTTCACGGTTTCTAAAAGTTCACGCCTCACTGGTTTTCACGAAATCAGGTTTAGAAAAGTTTGGTTGTGATATTTAGACTGCGCGAAGTTGGTCAGGCAATTAAATGAGACGACGAGTGCCCCGGATGTGCTGGAATACTTGCCAGTGCAGTGACGTGTAACAATAGATAGTAATTGTGACCGCCAGCCCGGGGTGGTCATTAACGTGCATTACGAAGTAGTGATCCTACAAACGCACTGTTTAACGATACTCATCCAGTTCGAAACGGCCTGGGGCAGGCAGGTGGTTGAGGTTCAGAAAAACTTTGAAGTGATCTGGCGAACTGCCCCCCTACCCCCTTGCACGCTGGTAGTAATCCGATCAAATGCTGCTGGGGTGACGCTGGCATATAGTAAGTTTAGTTTGTACATGATGCAAAATCCTGAGACTGGGAATGAAATTTGAAAGAAAAAGTGCAAGAAGACAGAAAAAAGGGGAGAGGACAACGTCTCAAACTCAACTCAGCTGAAAACTCAGCTCAGGACAACGTCTCAAACTCAACTCAGCTGAAAACTCAGCTCAGGACAACGTCTCAAACTCAACTCAGCTGAGTTTGAGACGTTGTCCTGTCCCCTTCTTTTCTTTCTTCTTACACTATTTCTTGCGAATTTCATTCCCAGTCTCGGGATTTTGCATCATGATCAACATACACCAGGCCCCCTGCACCTTGACATTTTTTTTTTTTTTTTTTTTGTAATAGCTTTGGAGGTTTATTTCTTGAGGCGGAAGAAACACCGAGCAAAAAGCGCAGAAGCTGATGCAACTTGAGGTCGAGGAGTGTTCTACCATACCAGTGGCGTCAGAAGAGGAAAAACGGGGGGGGGGGGGAGGGGGGGGAGCTCCAGTCTCTCCCCCCCCCTTCCCAGATATTTCGGACTGTTAAAGAAAACAATACAGGGAAAGAAGGCATGGTCAAGCTTATTTTAATCTGAAATTATTTATGCATATGTATAGCTACTGTCGCTCTTCACTGCAAAAAAGACATGCAGCGAAGCGCTGATGTAACGCTGCTCACATGCCGTCAGGTACTTATCGTATGCCATGAACAACAGTTTTGACGGTGCGATACAAAGCTGGTGAACGCTCCCGTCGGCACGTGCTTAGCACGAGGTCAGCGCTATGCTTGTAGCACTCCGCTGCTTGTGTGAACAGGCCTTTAGAAACTCGTTGTCAGGAGGCACTACTCGTCACATGCTCGGTGGCTCGAAAGTTCAAAGCTATGTCTTTTCGACCTAAATAACTGTGCCATTGGTAAAAAATAATCAATAACTAAACATCACAATAAATCCAAAAATAAAAAGCTGGAGAGGAAAAAAAAACTATCAAGAACCTGTCGGAAGTGTTGTATTCTTGCATATTCAGAGGCCCAGAACTATGAAACAAGTTTCTCCTACCAAAAGGTGTACAGGCCAAAAGAAACACGTCCCAAGAGCGTAAAATGAGAAATAAAATATTTTTTTTTATGACGCGCTGAACTTGAACAGTTTTAGAAATCTTCCCCCGTGAGTTAATTTATTCCTCAATGTGAAAAACAACAATAAATACATTATTTTGTATTCTGCAGATGGTAATGATATGTACTGTCTCTGGTGTTAATTTAAATGCGATACCCAAACAATGTAGGCGAAAAAAATTACCAAGTTTAGGGCATAATTGTCCGTAGGTACATGTTTGGATATTTACTCAAAACTCGTCTTGAACAACAATAATCATATCTTAAGACGACACTCACCTAGGCTATACAGTCAAAACCGTTTATAACGAACAGCAACAAACACTACGATCAGTTCGATATAGCAAGTAGTTCGATATAGCAAAAACCATTTACAACGAACTTCCACGATGTGTTCGTTGTAAGGCGAGAGCTTCCCTCTCGTCCTCATCTCTTCACTTTTGCCTTGTAAGCCCGCGCTAAAACTTTTTTTTTTTTTTTGCATGCGTGCAGATTTTGTTTTTTTTTAGCTTATCTCCCCTTCTGAATCGCTTTTCTTCGTGAGCAAATGCTTTAAGATGAAAAGATATTTTTTTTTTGTGTGTGTGTGTGTGTGTGTGTGTGTGTGTGTGTGTGTGTGTGTGTGTGTGTGTGTGTGTGTGTGTGTGTGTGTGTGTGTGTGTGTGTGTGTGTGTGTGTGTGTGTGTGTGTGTGTGTGTGTGTGTGTGTGTGTGTGTGTGTGTGTGTGTGTGTGTGTGTGTGTGTGTGTGTGTGTGTGTGTGTGTGTGTGTGTGTGTGTGTGTGTTCCGTGCGTGCAGTGTATTTTTCAGCTTTCTCCCCTTCTGAATCGCCTCTCTGCGCTCAATTTTGTTCGCAACTTGAGCATTTGAAATTTTCTTTCTTTCTATACTTCTGTTTTGAGGGAAGGGACAGGCTAGAAGACGATTGTTTGCGCGTTTTGGAAGCCTTCCCGGAGGGAAAAGTTCGATATAGCCATTATGTCGTTCGTTATAAAAAGTACTGTTTACATACATTTTTATTTAATTTTTCTGTGAGTTCGATATCGACAATAAATCGCTGTACGTGGGTTCGTTCTAAACGGGTTTCACTGTATATAGATCATTCTTAAAAAGTTTAACATCTCTACCATAAATAGCTTCGGCTATAGCGCGCTTCAAATATGGCACAAATGACAATTGTCAGAAACCCGTCGTCCTTCCTCGCTCCTTCGGGAATCTATTTTTCTAAAACCAAGCATGCCAGATGATTGAAATGAACGGCATTGTCTTTCGCAAGGAATGCGTCACCCCATGTAAAATTGCAAAAAAAAAAATTACGAATGTACCTCGCTGCTTGAATCTAAATGAAACCACCCGCCGATCTTTCGAAGTTCGACGAGCTTCGAACTTTTACCCTAAAAGTTCGAAGTTCGTCTAACTTTTGACTTTTCAGGAATCGAGAGTTTGACAATTTTCGAATTCTTTAGATTAATAAGTTCGAAAGTTCGAAAATTATTGAATTTCTTAGCGTAGGAAGTTTGAAAGTTCGACAAGCATGGAATTTTGCAGCGTAATAAGTGTGAAAATTCGAAAAGCGTTGAACTTCTTAGTTTAATAGGTTCGAAAATTCGACTTCCGTCGAATTTCTCGATATGGAAAGGTAGAAAATTTGAAATCTTTCGAACATTTCGAATCGCTTGATTCGATCATCGAAACTTCGATTCGAAAAAAGTTTGCGGCATCCCTAAAGGTAACCCGGCTGGGCCTTTGCTGGCACACACTTTGCATCTGGGTCACCTTAGGACTCTTGTGTTTGCTTGTGAGAGAAAGCTTTGACGTGACAAAGAAACAAATGATGAAGCTATAGTCGGTGACAGGTCAAGAACGAAGTGGAAACTCCACCCACCCTTTTCCACTTCAGCAGAGCAAACGGTGGAGAGGAGGTCGCCTCCTCTCCAGCATTCGCTCTGACAAAGATGAGAGAGGTGGGAGGAGCTTCCACTTCGTTCTTGACCTGTCACCGACTATAGTAGTAGCATGACGTAAGAAGCATAGGGGAAAGCTGGAAGTTGAAGGGACTTGCACCTTTGCCGAGTTTGTAAAGAGCAGCCTCACCTCCATGGGGTAGATGGTCGTCTGGGCAATGCTGCCAGCGAGGGAGCCGGCAAAGAAGCGCTCAAACATGTGAAGGTCCCGGCTTGAATCCCCCTTGATAAACCTCTTGGCCTGCAAAGGCAGTATACAACAAAAAAAAATGAGTAGGGCTTCCATGGTGCAAAGACAAAATAGCAGAGGGTCGAAAGTAAAAAAAGAATAATCATAACAAACGAATACCCAACATTCTGTAACAAATGTTATAATAATCCTCCTCTAAAAAAAAAGTGAAAGCCGTTTACAACTCCCTGTAACGCAAGTACTGGGGGGGGGGGGGGGGGTTCAACTAACCAGGGGGGGGGGTCACGTGACCTTGGGGGGTCACGTGAGCTTGGGGGTCACATGACCCCCCCAATGCCGAAAATGTCATCACTGACGTCACTGATGACGTCATCAGTGACGATGCGGATACCGATGACGTCATTAGTGACGTCACTGATGACTTACCAGTGATGATGACGATGACGATGCGAATGTCGGTGACGTCATCAGTGACGTCACTGATGACGTCATCAGTGATGATGACGATGACGATGCGGATGCCGGTGACGACATCAGTGACGTCACTGATGACGTCATCAGTGATGATGACGATGACGATGCGGATGTCGGTAACGTCATCAGTGATGATGACGATGTGGATGCCGGTGACGTCATCAGTGACGTCACTAATGACGTCATCAGTGATGATGACAATGACGATGTGGATGCCGGTGACGTCATCAGTGACGATGACGTCATCGGGGGTCACGCGACATCGGCGGGGGTCACGTGACCCCCCCCCCCCCCCCCCCGAGGTCACGTGACCTCAGGGGAGTCACGTGACTTCGGGGGGTCACGTGACCTCGGGGGTGGTCACGTGCCCCCCACGAGGTCACGTGACCCTGGTGGGGGGCTCGCACGGTGCATTATGGGACATTTCCCATAATGCACCGCGCAGTTACGGCGACGCCGCTCAAGCCGGAAACGGGCCCCTAAGAGCTGCGCTCTAAAAAAACAACAACCATTTGATTATGTTTACAAAGACTGCTAAGCACCACTGATCTCCAGTAGGGGGCTGGATGGCGCACTGAGCAGACAGGTACTATGAAGCCAACGGAAGTAAGCAGCTTGTCCCGAAGGCGAGTGCATGACAGGCCTTTAAATTCTTCCGAGTGCTGCTTTGAACAGCTTTCAGGGCACTGTATTTTATCTTGTAATCTTAAGAGAGCCTGCTTGTTGCTTACCCCTGCAGACCTTGTAAAACATAATGCACTCGCTAGAGTGTGTTCGCTTATAGGTATGCACCCACAAGTGGCTCAGACTTGGTAAACTAGGAGTTAAACTTGGAAAAAAAAACTTCATTTAGGGGCAGGGATGGTCGAGCACATTTGAACCATAACAGAAAACCATAAAGTGTGAGGAGTGAATCACACTTCAACTAATGAAAGCAATACTTTTAAAATAGGATAAGGGTCAACAAGTTAGCAAACAGCCGCAGCACTCAGTGACAATAACTAGGCTACGGTGACCAACATTGTCATACTAACCCACTGTCATTGTAAATTGTGAATTGCCCTTGCCATAAATAGTTGCAACAGGTTGGCTCCACACATCAGAACAGGCTAAAAGTTTAACACCATAGATAAACTATCTAAAAAAAATGAGCTAAAAGCAAACAATTTCCTAAAACGAAAATCCGCAGAGCTGAAAATGGCACTCGAAATCTGATTCATTCATTTGGCACTTAGCTACAGGTGCACATACCTTCTCATAAGCCAGGAACTTGAGCGCACTCTCGGGCGCAATCTTGATGACGTTGATGCCGTTGCCACGCCAGAGGGAACCGACGCCTCCCTCGTTCAGCATGTGCCGCAAGCACTGCTGGATTGACCGGAACTCACTCCCCCTCACCTTGAAACAAACCAGACCATGCAGGAATCAAGCATGCTTTCAGCCCAAATTGCCAAACCCTAAAACGACACACTGGACCACTCACAATGCCAGCTGACGACTCATAACACTGATGACTGTGGTGTCCTAAGCGGAAACTACGGACCTCAGGCATATTTTCTAATACTTCATCAATCCTATCTCGCCACCATTGCATCCCATTGTCTAATAAACATTTAACAACGACCAAACTGCCTGGCTGGCTAGGTTTGCTGGCGTAAAATACTGAGCATGCGCCCACCCTCTTGAAAAGCTGAGGGATGGGCAGTCGTTATCTGAGAGAAAAAAATCCAGAAGGGGTGCAAAGTAAGGTGGGCTTCACAGCTTAGTACCAACTAATGCACGTCAAGCTTCACTGACTACATTGCACCAGCGTGCTTAGATAAGCGGCTGACATGGAAGAGTATCTCAATTACCTAGATGTGCTGAGAAGCCTGCAGAGCCGTATAGTAGAGAGTTTGGCCATTCGTTGGGAAGTATAGGAGACAAATGAGGAGGTGCCATTAGTCGAAAGCGGGCTGGGCGTGTTCCAAGGCGTCTTCACAAATTCGAATGTGACCAACCAGAGGCCGGAAATAATACCCTGGCGGTGGTCGCGAGAAACAAACCTGATAACTGCATCAGGGTAACTCTTGGTGACTGAAAATATGGTACACGTGATGTTTCAATCACGCTCATCCAAAATGATGGTGGAAGAGTGCGACTAGCGGAACGATCGACATAATCCTTACGGCAAGCGCCGAGGGCCGGGAATCTGCCGTCCGAGCGGTCACACTCTGTCCGAGCAAAACAGAGTTGAGCGGCGGATTCGTTTCTTACATCTTTCTGCATGATCATGATCAAAACAACACGTGCACCGTATTTTCAACCACAAAGAGTTACTACACTTCACTCCTATGCGCTTATTAAAACCATATACGAACATACACCTTTGATCAGAACTATTTCTTGCTACCACCGCTAGGGGATTCTTTTCGGCTTCTGGTTGGTCAAGAGAGCATGCCAAGCCCTCTTTCCAAGTCTGGTGCACGCCTTGGCTCTCTCTATACACGGCTCTGGAAGCCGGGGGTGGGCACTTGGTACGATGTCCTTTGTTTATTTTTTATATATTTCAAAAGTAGCGGATAGGTGCTTACTGGGATGTGGTTGGATGCTCGGTATTTTACGGTACGGGGGCAACTTAGCAGGTATACGCCAGACACCACGAAAAGAGTAAAACAAGCGTTCCATTTCATGTATAATACTGTGTTCAGCACGACACTCTTCTGCAGTGCGCTTTTGTAATTTCACTGTCTACACACAAAAAGTTAAGCCAACTTATACTGTCGAGACCGGTTATAACGAAGACAATGGGAGTCGGAAATCACTTCGCTATATCCGCTATTTTGTTTAAACCGAATTCAGTTAACGAAGTGCAAAAGGGAATGGGGAAATCGTGATTCCTTCGCTGTAGCCGCTATTTCGTTATAACCGACTTCGTTATAACCGGTCTCGTCAGTATACTAGGCTGTGCTATGCTCAGTAGCAACACACTTGTTGCATATTAGTGATGGGATCCCAAGTTGCCCATTCTGTATTCAGCAGTTCCCAACCAAGTGGACCCAGCTCATAAGCCTTTCCTTCTCAAATACATATGGTGCTACGCAACCCACAAACAACTTCTCATGTCAGCTTTGGCCTCGGGCTGTGCTCAGGTTGCATCAATACTAAATAATCGGAAGAAAGCCCACCCCATATTTTTTCAACATTAATCTCTTCATTTTGTTTGGGAGATGACTATGCTAAGACGTCTCTGATTTTGCCTAGCGAGACCCACTATTACATCAGAATCTTTAGCATGTCAGACAGATGTCTCAGGTGTCAGTACCGGTAACACCCGTTACCGCTACTTATCATTACCGCATTCATGTAAAATTGTGTTGTGTGTGTTTAGACAGCAAAAAGTCAGTCAGCTTCAACATGCATTTGGCGTCTTTGCTGTAGATGAGAAATTTAGCCAGTGCATTACCAGTGCCTGGCTGAAAACTTTAATGTGCATCACACAGTAGTGGTAGAGGACTGCGTGCGGTGTGATGCTCATCCAGATCAAAATAGGCAAGGAGAAGATTGAACCAAGGACCCTGGGTTCTGCATATCCATATTTCTGCTCTACAATCTCTCAGACATGCAAGAGCAATTGTAAAAGACAGGGCTAGCCCCTAGCAGCAATGTGCGGAAGCGGCGGAGGGCAAGGGGACTCTCGCGGAGTCGCGGGGAGTGCGAGAGCATCCCTGCTGCGTGAGGAGCTGTAATCGAAGAGAATGTGTTTAGGATGCACGTTCTGTGTCGACTGAAAAAGATTGAAAAGAACCGAGTACCATTTATAACACAATTTGGGATCTCACCGTCGATAACATTTCCCAAGCTTCCGTGCCCGCGCTCCAATGGATATCTCCCACATCTTCCATCTGCCATACTTCCTATGGGTTTCTAGCGGTTCTGACTCGGCAGCTTTTGCCACTGGCTCACCTGTAGAAACACTTTGAGTCGGTCCAGCGGGGCAGTGCAGGTTCGAGAGACGGCTCCGGCCACTCCGCCGGCCACCAAGTGCCGCCACCACATCCCGGTGTGGATCTCTTCGTCCGTGAAGTCGTCTGGCACCAGTGTGTCTTCGCCTATGTCGACGTACTGCAGAGACCCGCCCCCCAACGTGAGACAAAAACGAGGAGATTGTGTGCCGACCGGATTGCTGCAGTAGACCCTTTCCAAACTGCGCTACCATCTATAGTTAGGTGAGGGAAGGAAAAGCGGGAAAGGCTCCTCCTGCAAAAGCCCTCCACTCGTTCCATTTTACTAGACTGAACGCTGGAGAAGACACGAGGCAGAAAGCGAGTGCATTCTCCTTCTATCCAGCTTTTCTTAACCTGCAACAGAGCCTAGTGGTTCGAATGCCAATGGTGGTAAAGATGTACCGTAGAATACCGTGTGTCCAGGGTTGTAAAGTACCTAGGTACAAACACTGGAAATCACTATCTAGGTACTTTTGTTGTACCTGAGGTACAAAGGTACTTCCATTTCTCGGTATGTATCTGTATCTTAGATACATTTTCCAGTAACTTGTAACTAAGTGAAGTTACTTTTTACAGGTACTTTTCTATTCACTTCGTCAAAATGGTATAAACTATAAATATTGCTGTGTTAACACACTACCAGTGCCGTGATTAACGTTTAGTTGGGTACGACCTGGGAGGCACTGACTTGATAGAACGACGTTTTAGCGAACGAAGCACCGTTCATGATGTATCATCAACCACACTGTAGCGAATGGCGGTGTTAATTTGAGCGAACGGTGGATTAGCGGTGCCGTTCTAGCGACACCAATCTATCGAACCACTTCGGAACTCCGTTAAGGGAAAATAGCGACCTGCTTCCTTCATCTCAAACCTAAATCGACCTCATTCATACAGGGGAGGAGATAACTTCAAAGATGTGTGCAGTTTCTGTTGCCTGTATCTTGGTTTTGGGAAACTGGCCAAGGTGGAAAAGATTTATGCGAGCACAAACTGGCTCGCACCGGTCGCCTCTAATCGCCGACAGAGTGAGAACAGCAAGGCGCGCCTTTCGAATGCCCGGCCTCCGGAACGCGCTCCGAGCATTCCGCCGGACTTCGGCTATGCACGCACGTTCGAGGTGCACAAGATGCCGAAGTGTCGTCGGAGGAAGCAACCTTGCACCAGAGGTGGGACAACCGGAGCTCCTCCCTGCTGTCTTCACCTCGTCGGAGACTAGAGGGCGCGAAACGTGCTCAGTCTTTGGTGGAATTCGATTTATTCTTGCGCGGACTTGTGACGTTCACATGGGAATGTAATCGGAATCGACAAAACAGAGGTTCTAGCAGTCTGCGGCAAAGACGAGCCAAGTCGGGCCGTCCGCCACTGAACCGAGGCGCGTCGACTTACGGTGGCGTGCCTCCAGTGGCTGATGATGTCGTGAATCTCCGAACTAGGATGGAAGAGCAGGTAGTCTCTCCACTCTTCGAAGCTGATTGACAGAGATCCATCCTTGTCCATCCTACGGTAGCGTAGTGGAAGAAGGAAAACGGTGCAAACGGCTGCCTGATGATGCCCGCGTGACGCAGCTGCCGTCGCTGCTTACGTAAGAGAAAGCAACGGTACGAAGGCGCCATCTATAGAGCAGCCCTAAAACATATCCGTTATGCATACAAGTAGACTGGTCTCGCAGCAATTTGAAAAGTCAAATCTATGCCTATCGCAGCAATTTGAAAAGTCAAATCTATGCCTATCTATAAGAAATGGTCTCTCATAATATTGTTGGAATCATTTCGAGCACACGGCAAGTAATGCTCAATATATTCGCGGGTCGGAACTTCTCCGGGGCTGCTCGATAGAAGGCCCCGCATCGTTCTCGCATCTTTACAAACGGTTGCAACATACTTGATAACGCTTGAGCAAAAATGTGTGAAGCAGCCTTTATTAGATTGATTAAATGTGCAAAATCGCACGAATAAGCGGCGAGAAACTTCATGAAAATGAATACTACAAAAACCAAGGCAGTCCTTTTTCGCCCTAAATATAAGGAAATTTATATTTCGAAACCGGTTCTATACAACTCGTGCATTATTGAATCAACAAACTCGTTAAAAATCCTTGGAGTGTTGTTTACAAAGGACATGACTTGGAATAAGCAGATAGCTTCCGTTACATTTAGATTAGTGCAGACAGTCGGTCTAGTATGGCGTCACAGCTCCATACTTCCTACGAAAGTTAAATTATTACTGTGCAACTCCTTGTTTTATTTGCATATTAGTAATTGCTATCTTGTGTGGGGCACAACCACGATTACCAACCTAGAAAGAATTGATGTATTGCAGAAAAAGATGTTGTGCTCCATTTGTAATGCCTCTTACGATTGCCATGCTTTGCCGTTGTTTGAGAGGCTTTCAATTATAAACATCTTGGATTTGTATACCTATAGGTTATGTCAAAGCTTTCAATGAGAATTAAAACGTAATATGCAATATCTAGAACCGCTGGCTTCATTAACTAGAAACGATCCTGCCTACTCACATTGTCATAGCGAATACTGGAAGGTGGATATAAGCAGAACAAATTACGGAACACAAATGCTGAAATACTTGCTTCCCAAAGCTCTGAACGATCACCTCCAAGAACAAAATTGATTTGACTAATACTACATTATACAACCTAAGGTCAATGTACTTGTAGTTCTATAAGGTTCTGCTTGCTAAGATGGTGTTTATATCTTTTAACACGAAAGAGTATTTTGTGAACTTCAAGGATGTGAATATTTTTAGAGCACAGCTCTTAGGCACGCGTTTCCAGCTTGAGCAGCGTCGGCGTTGGCGTAACCGCACGGTGCATTATGGGAAACGTCCCATAATGCAACGCGTGGGCCGTTGTGACGTTACGAGGGTCGCTGGTAACGTCACAAGCGTGACGTTTCCTATATTGCTACGCGCAGACGTTTCAGGATGGGACGTTTCCCATAATGCAACGCACGGACGTTTCGGCACGGTGACGTTTCGGCACTGCGCGGGAGGGAGGAGGACGAGAAGGGAGAGGGAGGAGAAAAAGGGGGAGGAGGCAAGGAGCACGGGAAGACTAGATGAGGAGGGGAGGGTATGGATGAGGAAGAGGGGCATATTGTCCCCTCCCCTCCTCCCCCTCAAGGGCTGCACTCTAATTCGGCATTACAGAGAGTTGAAAACATCTTTCTTTTTTGTTTATTCGTTTTTTTTGGTGCTTGATGTAGCATGTTTGCGGTCGAAATTTCACTATGATACATGTTTTTAGAAAACACTTTAGATATTTATATTTTGTGACAACGCTGGCTCTGGAGCATTTTCGTTCTGTTTCTGACATTGTTTACAACGTAAAGGAACTACTAAGTTCATGTTTTAGAAATCTCTGGATCTTTTAATTTTGTAACAAGCTTTCTCCGAGATGTTAGTATTATTTTCATTGCTGCCACTGTAAGGGGGCCGAGGGCTCGTCCAGCTGCCTGTGGGTAGCTTTTTCCCTCGGTCTCCGCCATCAATGAATGGAAATAAAAGGATTTATTATTCTTATTCTTATAATAATTCTGCTTTGCATTCCGCCTGCAAGAGGGCACACACTCTGTTTTACGACTAGCGTGCGAAGTGTTTGGTTCAAACCTCCCCAAAAAAGATAAAATATGCCAAGATCACTTTTACGAAATTAGTTTTAACTGAAAGTGGTTGCCGTCTTAGAGCACGAAGGCGCATCTCATGAGTTCATACTGCTCTATGTTTTAGGTCCAATTACTCGGTTGTCGGATTGTCACTCCTTCATCTGGCAGTTGCGTACTCCCCATGGTAGTACCGCAAAATGCGTAAATTTGCTGGCTAAGACTGCCATGAAGTGCAGAGTTACAAATTTGTGGTACTTGTGGGAAAAAAAAGCCCAGTGTACCAAATTTACGACGCTTCCGCAACTGAGTAAACATAATAATGTCAGCAGAAAGATTGCGCCCGCCAGTATGAGAGGAGCAATTTGGGGGCAAGGCTGACATCGTACACTCACCTCCTAAGTAGCCGAACGGCCTCGTCGTAGTCTATGTTTACCCCCAGGCGTTGGAAAGAAGTCTGTATTTCGGTGGCATCCAATGTACCTTTGCAAGGAGCAAGGGAAGAGAGAGCCAGTTATACATGGCCAACACTGTGTCTCGGCAGAGAGAATGACGTACAGCTAACTGACACCGCTGGAGGTGGGACAGAGGAAAATTGGGACTCCCACCCATGTGGCTCCTGCCCTTTCTCCCAGTGGGCCCGGTGCCGGGGTAACGCCGACTAGGTTTGACCAGAGGAAAATTGGCGACTCCCTTGCCAGGGGGAAGAAGTGGGGGGTGATGTTTTTAGTTTTTTAGCCCGATCCCCCAAAGGTCATGGATGGATGGATGGATGGATGAATACGGCTGAGCCCTTTGGATCGGGCGGTAGCTTACGCCACCTAGCCATTTTGTTTTACCATTCAAGCTTAGAATATTTAAATGTGAAATCTATATTCACTCCGCAGTGCAAAGAAAATGAGGCTATGAAACCCCCTTGCCATCAGTGGATAAGAAAATACCTAGTTTTCTCTCGATTTCTGCCACCATTCACTTAATCTTTGCTTGGTAATCTCTACAGTCTTGAAATCCACTCTCCCTTCGCTGTCTCTAAAACCCAATGACTTTATTAAATCTATGTTGTCTTCGGTAGGAATAGGGTGAAGCATAGGGTCATCCTGGTGATATCCCACACCGCCTGGTGATAGTTACAAAATTGCAGAGGGTAAGCAAATTGGCGAAGTAAAGCAATCATACTTTTGGTTCTTAATTTCCAGGCTAGGTGGTGCAAGCTGCTGCACGTTATAAAGGGTATAGCTGTTAGCATCCATCCATCCATCCGAATTCGTCAGCATATACCACGTTTCTACGGTTACAGACAATTCAAGAAACGCAAGATTAGCCCAACTTCTACCCGCAAGGTTAAACCCAACTTAGTCTAGAGCCACCAAGTAGCCTCAGGATACCACATTCCATGGTGACTGCTGAGGCCGAAGATAGAGCTAGCTGATGGATAGACTGCAGTCGTGAATATGAACTATGTTCATTGATTTTATCTCAGTTTGACATCCAGTTAATATGTTGCTTGATAACTTAAAATTATGTTTTTCAACGTTTTAGGATTAACCTATGGACGAGGTGAGCGATGCATATAAAAGTATGATATGTCAAGAAGCTATATGGAGAGCAAGTCGTCTGCTTCTTGCATAGGTGTTACGGTGACGTCAGAACGACGCCGAGCTCTGATTGGCTTTGATTGAAAGGATAGTGGGTAGACCCCACTGCTAGATGCCTTGAGGTCTACCCACTATTTTTTCAATCAGCCAATAAGTGCTCGGCATTCTGACATCATTGCACCTCCTGCGCAAGAAGCAGACGACTTGCTCCCCAGGCGAGCTGCAGTGAGTCCCTAGTAGGCTAATTGTCACAATACACATAGCTTACCGTCCCTATTTGCGTCCAAACTTTTGAAGACAACCATGAGGTTCTTCTCGTGCTCGATGATGTAATGGACAAACTCCGCAAAGCTGACACTGCCATCCTTGCCTGTGTCCGAGGCTTGAATGAATTTCTGTGCACAGAAAGCGATGCTCCAGGTGTTAAGAGCTATATTTCCGCACACAGGAACACAGCTGTTTAACTTTAACCTATCAAAAACTAAAGTAAAAAGAAAAAAAAAAAAGATTAGATTTGTTTTGTGTGTTGGTACGAATTTTAACAATTTAACTAAAAGTTTACGTCACTAAAGCACTCCGCGGAATAGAATGCGATTTTTTTTTTTTCCTCCCGGAGCAAGAAGTTAGCAAAACGATCACGGATCGACGCCACGACCGATCTGGCAAAGTGTCTACTTTGGTCGGCTACATTGGTAACCACCCGAGCCAGGAGAGGAGGGCTTCTCCGCGACGCCGGAGACCTTCGGCAAAGCGACAAACAAAAAAGCACAAAAAAGAAAAAAAAAAAAAAAAACATATCGAACGCGCTGCCGCTACACATCCCGTATCTCACCGCCCGCCCGCATGCAAACGTGCACCGTGATTGAATGCCTCAAAAACAGTCGTTGCATAACGTAACGCGACTGGGTAGGCATTTCTGTCGAAACAAACGAACATCCAGTCGGGCTTGCAGTGTACACGTGACTCCACGGAAAGCCACGCTCAAGGCTTCCTTGTGGCTTCCTTCGTGCGTGGCCTTCGTCGCTAATAGTCGGCAATGAAAACCACACACTGCACGCTCGGCTAAACCGCGTCCCGAGGGGGCACCTTCGCCGGTCCTTAATGAGAAAGTAATCTGTAACACGGAGCACGTTAACAACCGAAGAGTTTCTCCGCGAACGCCGCACTCGCGCGAGCATGGCACGGTGAAATGCCATACATATCTCTTCGGTCAGCTGTGCGGATATTAGGCGACGATGAGGTATACTGACCTCCGCGCTTCCTGGGCTGTGCGGTAGTCCGAGTTTGCGGAGGCCCGTGGTGAGGTCCTTGATATCAATCTGCCCATCTTCGTTCACGTCCAACTTCTTGAAAAGCTTTTCGAGCCGTTCCTCCACCTCTATCGGCAGTTCAGGGTAGTAATGCGGTGGGTGCTGGCTGTTCTTCAGCGCGGCGCCGTTCGCCGGGGGTTTCATCTTGGCCTTAGCACATCCTGGTCGCTGCGGCTTCGATTGAATGAATGGATGGTCGATTTTCTTTTTTTTTGTCTCAGCCGGTCCGAGGTTCTCACTGCTGCTGTCGCTCGTAGGCGCGTTAGCTGATTTCTGTCCGGAGAAGAGCTTGATCCGTTGGACTGCCCGCGGTTAGCATTTGCCTGGCAAACGGTATCTACACCGGAGCCGACGTTGTACGCGAGGCCGGATGATTCGGGATATCATGATTATTATCACCACATTGCTACCGCTGGACGCTGGGCAAAGGTACGATACGTCACCTGCGTGGTTTCGTCACAGAGAACTACAGAGAACGATCTCTGCAACGTGAAATTCCGGCGTCGACCGCTATGCACAGTGGCGTCGCCGGCGTCGCAGCTGCTGTATATTTCTTTTTATGTTTAGGCTAGGTAGCGCAAGCTACCGCCCATTAGAAAGGGTACATTGCTCCATCTATCTTATTGAGTCTTGTGCTACCTCGTTGCTTTTGTGTCCGTTAATTAATTTTTGTGGTGCTAGCCATGGTAGCCTACGACGATAACGTAGCCTGGTTCACCCGGCCACTATGCATGTTAAACTGTTGAAAATAATATAATTTAACAAATTTAGAAATTAATGACACGGCAGTCTTTGGCCACTTGTGTCGCTCGCAGTGTCACTTTTCTTTCTTTTTTGTGCGTTTTATTTGCACCTTGTACAGTACGTGCTTCTCCTGTTTTGTGTTGCCGTGCATTGCAGTCTGTGCAGCTGCAGCTGCATTTGCAAGTTGAACGGGTTTAACTCTGTTGCTGTGCGTGTTGTAAAAAAAGTGTTGCAGATAAGTTGGAGCCTCACCCAAACCACAATATTCGCAACCAACACCCACGGGAGAAACGTAGGTTGTCTTGTCAATAACTACGAAACGCGATTTGATCGTCAACTTGCTCCGCCTCTTCGGTCGCTATTTTTCCTCCACGGGCCGATACGATCCTCACGCACATATTACTTGACGTAGCCTCTGCTTTTGAATTATGATGCAAATATTAATAATCACGTTTATTTCAGACGGATTTCAGATTGCGTCATAAATACCGGTGTTAAAGAAACAGTAAAAAGTAGCGTCACCGGTAGCGTGGCAAAGTTTCGTTTCATCCCAACCGCCATGCCGCGTTGGTCACACCTCTTCAAAACGATCTGCGGCTAATTTTTAGAGTACTTGCGCTTAAACCACCCTAATTTTTTTGTCTACTGCATCAAAAAGAAAACGCTGCCTGTTCTTTCGCAGTGTATTACTTAAAAGCTTTATATATATAAACGTTTTCTTGGAACGAACACGCGGCCAGACGCCGCGTTCGTCGGTGAGCATGCACGCATACCTTTCGGTCTTTTATTTTTTGCTTTTATGTACAAGTCTCAACGCATGGGAACTGATACTTGTGTGGTGACGGTTTTAGCTTGCAGATTTGCTGAACGAATCATGCGAGTAGAAGTTGCGCACGAAGCCCGTTTTGCGTCTCGCCCAAGCCGAGTCACACCGGGTGATGACTCACTGAGCGTGCTCGTTTTTCGACACATTTTTTCGTTTTCCTACACGCTCAACGTTTAATCTCGTTAATATATTTTGAGGCCGGCCTTCTAACTTTTGCGAAATTTTGTTTTATCGTGTTTCCAGTTGCTGGTACTGCGTCACAAATGAAGTGGTACGCACTTCTGCTGAACATCGTTCTATCGACCCGCGTTTTGTGATCCACATGTTGGAACGACATTTTGTCAACCAGCTGATGGCAGCAGATAATTTGGACGAGGCATGCAACTTGCTCGGGCAGTTAACGATGTAACTGCGAGGCAAATGCAATGCTCTGGCTGTTAATGATGAAGCTATGCTGTTGTGTTGTAATTAAATGGACCGACAGTGGATTAGCCTAGTCACAGAGCGTGACGCACATCTTTATTCTATCCTTTCTCCACTTTTCTCGCTCGCAGCACCTCCAGTCCTCGCTTCTTTCACAGCCAACACGACATATGCCTTGCAGCAGGGGCCCCCACACTCAAAACTCATTCGAGTGGGAACCAGATAACCCACCCCAAAATGTCGAGAGCCAACATAGGGTGTAGGCTTTGATATATACATGGGTTGCACTGTTGTCGCATCGCAAACTTTTGACCACCATGTAAGAGGAGGAAAGGGAAGCTGCTTTTATACGAATTTTGAGTGACGGGTTAATCTTCTATAATCTTCTGGGAGGGGAATAGCGACGCCTGTGCAAATCCGGGAGGCACAAAAGAAGGTTTTGATAAGAGGGGAGCTCCTTCTTGCCCTCTTCTTTGGTGGTCATCGGAGCGATCTTTGAATGACGTCACATGCAACCCATGTATAGGGTGTCCCAAGTCACCTGGCTCTGTCTAAAATAGACCGTAAAAATCGTAAAAATCAACACCTGCACGTAGCAGTCTAGATCTTTCGTCAAAGGTGTATTTCACAAGTCATTTTTTTTTTTGTAAAATTACAAAACATAACTTTCTTTTTGTAAAAAATAGGGCCAAGGTCAACGGCAGGCGGCGACGCAGACGACCAAGTCAAGTAGCGGGGCAGGATTGGCGCACGTATTGATAGATGGCGCTACCTCCTTATCGAGACTGCTCGCAACCACCGTGCTTTATTAAAACAAATATAATCTTTTTGTAATGTACCTTTGGTTAAAAAAATAAATGCAAATAATGAAAGCAAAGGGAAAGAAAACGTGTTTGCATAACGATGGCACTTTGCTGCCAACGGATTTCGTCTGCGTGTCATCTGCTTTCTTTCGCTGGACGGTTACACCTTTGGACGCTGCTCCCAACGCCATCTGTGAATGCGTGTGCCAAACACACCCCGCAACTCGACTCTGTCGTCTGCGTCGCCATCCGCCGTTGACTCTGGCAAGTTTTTTAGCCCTATGTTTTACAGAAAGAGAGCTACACTTTGTAATTTTACAATAAAAGCTGACCTGTGAAAAACACCTTTGATGAAAAGTTTAGATTGCTACGTGCAGGCGTCGATTTTTATGGTCCATTTTAGATCGAGCCTGGTGACTTGAGACACTATATATATCGGGACAAAATAAACAAGAAAACAAGAGCTATGGTCTTCCATGCTGCAAAGCAGCCAACTTTTTTAGTGGCACCCAGAGATTTGCTAAAGAAGGGACCTTGTGCTGTTTGCTTTTTGTGAAATGTTTGTTTTGCCTGTGCAGCCGTTAGCTTTTATTTATTCATATAACTGGTAACTTGGGGTTTGTACCTAATGCAATCACAAGATTTAAAATACCACTATCCAGCTAACGTGCTGGAATTTTTCAATACAACTAGAAACCAAGCATGCAATCATTGCTATGTCGCTCACTTCACTCGGGAAATATCAGAGTTGAATATGTATAGAAAAGAAATTCTTTTTGTATGGTAGTTTTTGCCTTCCTGACAATTTTTAGTGCAGAATTACAAGAAAATACTTGTGTCTTAGCAGTATCTAAGAAAACATTCCTCGACCTGAAAGAAGACAGATTAGTGCCAAATATGTTTAAACGTCTTAAAAGGCCTCTGACACACCAAAAACTTTTTTTTTATGCTAGGCATTGAATTGGCATATCAGGATGCAAAAAAATTGTTTCACTATAGAGTTGCATACAGGGATGGGCAGTATTTCAAATACAAGTATTTGAAATACGTATTTCAAATACTTTGTGTATTTTGCATTTGTATTTAATTACAAATTGGGTAATGTATTTCACGTGTGTATTTAAATACTAAAACGTGTGTATTTCAAATACAATTGTAATTAAATACAATTTTGTGGGCGAAAATACATCCCTCAAATTTATTGTCACTGTCCAGAGCAGGAAGAAAACTACGTTCTGTACCGAATGCAGTGTCTGTCAATCGAGCACAAGCGTTTAGTGACTTTGTGATTACGGTGCTAGTCCAGGGCAAGAATAGTGACGAAATCGACGTTCACAGGCAGACAGGCTAAATAAGTGCCTGTGACAACTTGTGATGCTTTCCAGCCTGATTTTCATCCATATTTTTGCCTGGAACATTCTAAATGCGCGGGTCGTCCAGATTTTCGTAACTGGCGCGAGTTGGAACAATAAAAAATTCCCTAGCTAGCGCTGCGCGTCTTGGTCGTCTCGGTTCTTTGTTGATCTAATGCCAAAATGTAATCGACAAAAAAAAAACTGCTTGAAGCTCTATACTTTTTTCACCTATTACGTCCAAGCTGATTACATTTTTCTGCGATTATATTTCTATTACGTTACTAGAGCCTCGCACACTAAATCCCGAGTGTGCGATGCAAAATTAAAATGAGATACTCAGAAACCCGTTGTAGGTGCCCTGAAGTCGCTGACGCAAATTTTGAGGAATGTATTTGGAAAAGTATTTGGAGGAGACCAAATACATTTGGTTGTATTTGTATCTTGTATTTAAATGCTTTTTTTGGAAATGTAATTAGATTTGTAATTAAATACATTTTTGACGAAGTATTTTGTATTTGTATTTCGATACATATTCGCATGTATTTTGCCCATCCCTGGTTGCATAGTTTTTTTTATAAAAGATAGAAATACGAGGCCCAATTCAAAGTTCCCGCCAGTGCACTGTGACGTAACGGTGTACCGCAAGGTGTCGGGGTGGTCAAAAGCGAGGCATCGACCTACGTCACTAAAAGTGGGTTCGCCGGAAGTTACGCGAGTTTCACTCCTTGTGCTATCCGCAATTGTGCCCAAGACTTTTTTTTTAATTTTTTTTATTCTGCTCCTCGTACGAGTGATCGTAGAAAACAAAGTTTCAGTTCCACTAGCTGTTTATCGCTGCACCATTGGTTAGTTTGCGTGCTGTAAAAGCTGAGGACGAAGAGTCAGTGGATCGACATGATGAAGGTCAATGATGAAAGCGTTGAGAGTACAAGCCAGTGTACGAGTGCATGCCGTCAGTCCGATAGTACAGAGCTATACTGGGCACAAAACAAGCTATCAACTTAAAAAAAAAAAAAAAAATTAGAACGCTCGCAGAAATTAGGATTGCTAACCCGATCGATCGCATTGCTGAAGGTTCAGACGCCGAGGTCGTTGAATCATCGGATGCTCTCCAGGCGGAAGATGCCATTTGAGCGCTGTTGCCGGCTGAACTGGAATATTTTTGTTAAATAGTTGTGTCTTTTCAAATGGATGTATCGGTTCATCAACGTGGGAATTAAAAAAAAAATTCCAAACCAGATAACATAATACTGGTACTGTGGGCTGTGGAATCGCAGCTTCTGATAGGTTGCATAACATCACACAAAGAATTCCCACTCGTTTGCTTGAATATAACAATGCTCAAGATTGCATACTTCGAACTTCACGACAGGAAGTTTCCAATGCCCAGGGTTATTCACAAGTTAGTCTAGTTTTGTTGCCTACAGTCTACAAGTTGAGGCTGGAGTTGAACGAAAATCACCGCACAGGAATTACCTTGACATTTTCAATTTGTTGTAATTTTAGGAAATACTGGTACACGGCGTACCAGCGATTCGTACGCTAGGTGTGGGGCAGGCTGGGCAGTTTTAGTAAACTTTGCCTAGGGTTGTAGTCTTCATCACTAAAGTGCGAGCGTATCCATCGCCTACCCACATATTCTAATAGCTGTCCTGCGAGAACCGCAGTTAGCCACCGGTCCATCTCTTGTATGTCTCTCGGAAATGCATGCAGTGTGATCTCTTCTTCAGTTGCTGAAATACCGGGACAGTCCCTCACACAGCACCTTCTAGGCATTGCGGTTGATCACGTCAATTTACTGACTCTTCTTCTACCTTTACAGCAACGTTAAGCAATGAAAAACAAATAAAGAAACCTTGTCTGCTTGGATCGCTAAGGAGATGCG